TCCGCGGCTTTATCCAATCAATTAGTCCTCCTCTGCCTTGTGCTTTTTCATCCTCTCTTGATCAGTCTCTTGTTACATTATACCCTTGGCTGAATAGATAGGCTGCTACTATCTATTGTAGGATTGTAGGGGTGAGCACGTGGGTGGTTAATCTGCGGATTGATATTGATCCACCCACAAATAACTCGACCCGCATGCAATGGGTGATTGATGTGGGCGGATTGCGGATTGTTAAATCTCCCAACCGAACTTATGTGGGTGGATGGTGGGTGGATTGCGGGTCACCCGTATGACCGGAATCCTATTTTTACATGAAAAAAATGTTGTTTCTTAAGTATTGTTCATCATATTTTCGAACCGCACTACAGTGTGACCATATACTGCAAAAGGTGGATAATAAAAAAATAGTTTTGACTACTATTATTGACAATGGATATTGGTATGCAAATTATTGTTAAAATCCATTAAATATTTTGATACAAACTATAAATAATTAATTGTATCAAAATCACAAATTATTGATACAATCTTACTAATGTGCTATGAACTTATTATAAATGTAGTCAATTTTCTTAATAGCTAGTTGGAGAATTGCTTTTGCGGGTTAACCCGCGACCCAACCGCACTCACCCGCCACCCACCTAACCCAACCCGCATAAGTATGAGGGTGGATTGCGGGTCACATATATTCCAACCCGCCCAATGCCCACCCCTAATCTATTGAATGATTAGGCCCGGTTTCCTACCAATGTAGTTAGAATGAATTGAAACCGAGTCATGGTCGAACCGAGACCGTTATCTTGAACCAATGGCACGACGAGACTGCTACCGGTTGAGTACACCGTGCAAAATTGTCGCATTCTGTTATGGCCAAAAAACATGGGGTCCAGTTTTGAAACTGTAAAGCGCGGGAAGTGTTCGAATGAGACATTTTCAACCCAAAAGTCCGATGGGGTGAAGATTATTAGTGTGGTTGTCAAATCCGACCCTTATCTCGGTTTAGCAAGTGTTATCGTCCAATCGTTTATGTCTGTTCAACAAGACATATAATGAAGTGGATAACCATTAAAATCAAATGAATTGCTTAATCTATGTTAAGCAGGGTCAACCCATTGTGGTGTGTCTAGAGTCGCTCTATCACAGGGGTCTCCTAATATTACGGGACTTCCAGGATAGGTTTTCATTAGTTGATCGGGTCTTATATTACATGATGATCTTGTGGTGTATGATTAATTTATTATGGTTATGATCATGTGTTTAATATTCGTGCTAGTCATTGATCATTATTCTCATGTATATATGAACGAGACATGTATACTCATCGTTGAAGTCATATTTATGTTATGAAAGGTCTAGTTGTGTTATATAAGGACACAAGATATTGTTAATGGATTAACAATGCTGATGATTGAAAATGATTTCTCATCGAATAAAAAGAGTGAAGAGTAGTTAGATGATTATTCCAAATTATTATTTAAATAATAATGATATGCTACGTGGCGGAGCCATAGTAAGGTGGTCTCCGGATCCACCTTGGTTCAAGAGAAAAATGTAAGGCCCTGTTCACTTCCATTTTCGTTTCCTGTTTTCATGTGATAAATTTGGCAACCGAAATGAGAAAACTTGTTTACTTTTCATTCTGTTTTCTATTCGTTTCCAACTATGAAAACAGAAAGTGGCAACTTCCTGCTGTTTTTGGAAACGACAAAATGTTGTTTTCACCTGTTTTCAACATCTGTTTTCTCAAAAACAGGAAACAGAAATAAAAGTAAACAGGCCCTAAGTATTTCTATAACCATACTACAACATAATGAACTTGGTTTATCTTCATTTATATATAGTTAATAGATTCAAGTTTCTACTTATTCAATATTTAATGTCCACATCCAAACGTTTTACTTGAATCCAATGAATAAGATCAAAACATCTTAATGTTCATACTTGAATTCGACAAATTTCTTTCTTTTTGTTAGTTAGTTCCACCAAAACAACATTTTGTTTAGAGACCGAAAAATTGACAGTTCTGGTCGATCACTCTTTTCTTTCTATCTATCTTTTTTACCGATTTTACTACCGCTTCACACCGGTGATCGTCTAGCCGATTTTCGTCGCCAGTATCGATTTAAATTGGTTGTACGGACGGGCATATTAGTCATTCGACAAGGGTAATTATTATAATTAGTGGTATAAAAATCTTAATAGTCAAATCCAAAACCGTTAGTATTTCACTTTGACCCTCCCCCTCTTCTCTTACCCTCTCGGTTTCTTTGGATGGGAAAAATCAAGCTTTGGAAAAATATGGTCAAGGCGGTTGAGTGATTTTCTGCGCGCACAAGTCTCGCCGGCGTAAAACAAAATTTAACAAAGAGACGTGCATGGCCATTTTATGTATTGTTTCCTTACTGAAATTGAATACCGCCACCGCCACTATAGATTATTGGTTCATTATAAGACCCTTTCGCGACCCTGAAATTAGTCCTTTTGCCACCACCTCTCTCAAATCGTGGTCTTTGATTGATAAATAGTTACCTCGATCGTGTTTCTTTTACCTCCCACAGTAGAGGCTCACAACATTCAATCTCTCTTTGTTGTTAGCGCGAGTGTCGTCACCGCGTCATGCAGGGTCGTAGGGAACCACCGCACGGTGGCTGGCGACCCTGCACAACAACATGATCGCGCGACGCTCGCGCGCGAAATTTCCAATCGATCGCGAGCAAAATCATTGCAAACACTCGTTGGTTTCAATCTGTAAACCTGCGAGTGGAAGCATGTGGTAATCAACTTTTAATAGTGACAAGTGTGCGCTTTCGCTTTGGTAAATTTCTTTTTCGTATACTTGATCACGTTCTTTGTTAATATACATATCAATTCAAAGGAAAAAAAATCTGTATAATCACTACACCAGTAAAGTCGTTGTAAGAGATTGATTTGACTAGTAGTTTAATTCCAGAAATTTAATTAGGTCCTCTCCGTTGCCGTTTGAATTTATCTCGCCGGCGGCTGGATTAATTGTGGCTTGTAATGAAGTTTACTTTAAACTACGTACGTTACGTGCATGGCATGGCTTACTATTAATTCGCATATAATAATGTAATCTACAATCGTTTAATTTTCTTAATAAAATATCTCAACTAATTATATTATGGTGGTTATCATCAGAGATTTACTTCGATTTGAAGAAGGATTATGATATTAAAAAAAATATATTTGAAAGAGTTATCCAAATAGAATTTCGAATTTCAGGAGAAAATTTTGATCGGCAAAAAATATATAAATATATAGAAATTGTGACCTAAACCAAAGCAAACTCCTACCTTCCTCTCCCACCACAATTCAAAATCCCCTGTGAAAAAATTCCCGATGGAAGAAGCCCTATCATCACCGACCGGCGGAGCTTCGTCCGTCACCGAGCTCGCCCGTTCGTCGTCGGCGGAGAGCTTTTCTCCTCTCCCGGCGGCGATGAAGCCCGAACCCTCGGCGACGGTGGAGCTTCCCAAGGATGAAGGCGGGGAGCTGGAGGATGTCAACTTAGTGGATCACGAGTACTTCGACTCGTTCCCGCCGGGTTACCGGTTCAACCCTTACGACGACGAGCTCGTCGAGCACTACCTGGCCAGGAAGGTGCTGGGCCAGCCCGTCCCGATGAACAAGATCGTCGAGGTCAATCTCTACAAGTACAACCCCGAGGAACTCGCCGGTAAATAAATACACTACGTCTCCCTTCTTTTCTTTTGTTGCGGTGTAAGTGTTCGACGAAATCACTGAATCAAATTTTGGTACCGTTTGGAAAAAAAACGCGACGCTCGAAACAGAGAAGTACAGGAACTGCGGGGAGAACGAGTGGTACTTCTTCACGCCGAGGGACAGGAAGTACAAGCACGGGAAGCGGCCCAACAGGGCCGCCGGGGACGGGTACTGGAAGGCGACCGGAGCTGACAAGCCGGTGAGGAAGCAGAATGGGGCAAAAGTCGGGTACAAGAAGGCGCTGGTTTTCTACAGAGGGAAGCCACCGAAAGGGATCAAGACCAACTGGATCATGCACGAGTATCGCGTCGAGGAGCATCCCGCGCCGCGTCCTCGAGCTGACAATGGCGCCGATGATATGAGGGTACGTAGTACTACGTGACATTCTTTCTGAAAATCATGGGTGATTACGTGTTAATGATTCTTTTGTGGGTTATATTCTGTGCAGCTGGATGATTACGTGTTGTGCAGGATTTACAAGAAGGTCGGCAATGGCAGCCTCAGGCGAACTCCTCGACAGAGGGAATTAGATTTGGGAGGCAACTTCTCCCCTGACCATGTTGATGCTGCTGATCATGATGAAGCTCAGGATGCTACAATCACTGGCCAGACCGTCATTGATTCCATGGCTGTAGATAACAACAGAGCTCTTCATCACCCTCACCCTCACTATTCCCATCATCTCCATGGAGAGGAGGAAGGTAATTTGTCAATGCTAGCAACTCACTATGCTAACCAGATGCAAATGGAGACGCATGTTGATCACTTCGGAAGAACCTATTATCCTTCGCAGCAGCATCCTTCGCAGCAGCAACAACAAATATTTACGGACGATGACTTGTGCCTAAGTGAGGACTTCTGGGGACCATCCAACGTGCAGTTCAACTACGATCATCATGATCGTGTTGTCGTCGATGGCCATTTGGCTAGCTATCGACAACAACACCATGGTGTTGGTGGTACTCTTGCAATGACAACATGGGACAACTCTGCTCCCGGTCTAACCTTTGAAGCTTGTGATACCAAGCCAAGATCTACTTATATGTAAATAGTTAGGAAAACTGTCGGATTTTCTAGATTGACTAGAAGTCTTTAGTTATGTTATTATTCGGTTTAAGGTTCGATTTGATTTCTTTTGCATAATGTCGATTGTAAATGCCCCTATTCAAGAGCGCGATTTGGTTTTCTCGTTTGTGTCGAAATCAACGATGTGGTAGCTTGTTATGTTGTTGGGCTCAAAAGAGAAACAAAGCCCTCTGCTAATGCTAATTTTATTTTTGTATGCACATATATAGAAATAAAGAACTCTGTTTCGTTTGCATGTTTTCTACAGCCACAACGGTTGCTTTGGCAGTGGCAATGGTACTGAGTTGCCAACATCTCTGAATGGAGATCTCTTGTGCCCACTGCCGACGCCTGCTGAAATTGACTTCCTTCTCTCTTCTCTTAACGCGTCCTTCAGCCTGAATTCTTGTTGCTCATGGTGTCGATTTTCCTTCATCCAGCACACCTGAACCTGCTTCTCCATCTCACTGGGAGTTCCTACTGGTAAATTTTGTCGTCTAGTGGCTCTATTATCTCTAGCTGCTTCCTTCTTTAGCCTCTCAATCTCCTTATGAAGCTCGGAAACTTGTTCTTCGAGCTCCTTCGATCTGTCCTCGAATGAACCAGCTTTCTGTCTCCACTCTTGCTCCTGTTTCCCAACCAGAAAGAAGCTTAGTTGGTTAATCATCTTCTGTACCAGAAGTCATTGCTTTAGGAGTGAAGTGTTTGTTTTACTTACGGATGAATGTAGTGATTGAAGTTTAGAATCTGCTTCGAGTGCTCTATCTTCCCAGAACTGTTTCGAAACTTGAAGCCCTTCCATCTCGTCCCTAACCTGCCCCAGTATTGCTTGCATTTGTGACCATTGCTCTGTCTCGGCCCTAACTTGCTCCATCACTCTCCGTACTATCGCCTTGCAGCTTCCCGTACATGCTTGCTGCTGCTGCTGCTGTTCTTCCCTGCTCTTTCTCTCCTGCAATGTTTGCAAATTCCCATAATTCAAAATCTAAGAAGCTTCGGTGGGCAGTTTCGTACTAAGGATTGCAGAAAACATGGATTTCACATATCCTGAAGATGTTGATAAGCAATTTCACCTTGTATGGATGTCTAACAGTAGCCATAGCCATTTCAGGAAGCTCAATCCTCCTGGAATTGGAGGCAGAGCTGGCTGCAGAGGTGCTGGCTGTCGAAAGCATCGATCCATACTCGTCTTCCATCCTCTCTAACAATGTCCCCCTCGATAATCCTTCCATTTTCCTCCTTAGTATCTCAATCTGCACGACCTTTATTCAATTCAAAGAGCAATCAACAAACGAACACCAAAAATGGCCACAAAAGAAAAGGATTTAAGTTCATGCATACATTGCAGTTGGCTTCTGAGATGAAATTCCCATCAGCAGCACTACTAGTAGTGGTAGTAGTAGTAGTACTGCTTCTGATTGACAAGCTTGCTTCAGCCATCTCCTGAATCTGCGCAATTCGCTTATCGAAATTGCTGCTCTTGATAGTTCCATTAGAGTTGGATGCTTTGCTCATTTTACTTGATCTCCTCTGTAGCTTCTCAAGCTTCTCTGCCAATTGCACAATCTCTGTCTCCAACTCAATCGTTCCATTCTCCCCGTTGCTAATCCTTTCCCTCCCCTGTTTTTGAAAAGGGAAATACAAACCGATCACTCCCCAAAGTTCCAAACTTTCTCACTTTTTCCAAACAGAGCTAGAAGAGAATGAGAGAAGGAGACTTACAGAGAGCAGAGTTTGAACAGCAGACTGCAGAGTCCTCTGCATCCTAACCTTCCTCCTCTCCACTTTCTTCAAAGCAATCTCCTTTTCCATCCTGAGAACATTACACTCCGCCCTCAGCATCTCAGCCTGAAACCTCCACTTCTCTTCCTCCACCACTGCCGCCGCCACCGAGCTTTCTCTCTCCTCAACCCTCTCCCTCCTCTTCTCCACTCCCGCTACTTCACCACCACCACCTTCGTCCCTCACCATTAGAATTGGCAGAGCTCCTCTTGCAAATTCCCTCTCCTGATCAAACAGAGACTCCAACTTCCCTCTCCTGTCCACCTTCGGTTTCGACGGCACCGGAGCCGGTGGTGCAATCTTCCGGCGAAGAGGCCTCCGAGGCAGGTGCAGGATTCTCGGGGTCGGCGGTGGCTGTGCGTATTTCCACTTTGGCCTTCTGGTAGTCAATGTGGTTATTGTCGAATGTTTCTCCATTCTTTTCAGCTCAAACTTCAAAACAGAGTCTCAGGGAGTGGAAAAGGAGGAGAGAAGAAGAGGAGCAGTGAAGAACAGAGCGCATGTGGGGATAAGAAGAACAAGTAGCGGGTATCTAATCTCTTTCTTGGATTTGAAATCACAGAGAAATGAGAAGGAAGAATTGGCAATAAGGACAAAGGACGGAAGGGAAATTTTTGCAGAGAGTTTGTTGGATACAGAACTGAGAGTGGGGACTTCTCTTTCTGGATAGTAACTGTTGGACTGAATCAATGACAGTCAATTTTTTCTTTTTTTGTTTGAAAGGGAAGTGAGACTGTGAGATCAGAGAGGTACCCACTACCCACTTCACTTTCCCCTCTCTCTGATTTGAAAAGAAAATTCACAAGGGGAAATGGGCTTAGGTGAAAACAGAACAGCAAGCAAACAAACATACCCTTAGCAGAAGAATCTGAACCCCATTCTTCCCTAAGCTTTTCCTTTCTATTATTGCTTCTTCTCCTTTCTAGGTAGTGAAAAGCCAGCAACGAACTGAAAGTATACAGGGTAGAGGAGCCTATGGAAGGTGGGTTTTCTCAGGAGGTCATATAAGGATTCACAACGCCAAACCAAAAGTCTTCTTTTTATGCTCGTTTGGAGGTGGGTGGAGAAGAAGGTGGCAGGGGATGTCAAAGTTTCGATCTTTTTCTCTGGGGCTTAATTGGGCAATGGAAAGTCGGGCTTGGGAGATAGAGGTTTTTATGGCTGTCAAGTGGGGATGAGAGAGAGAGAGAGAGAGAGAGAGAGAGAGAGAGAGAGGCCAAAGGCGTGTGCAACCTCGGGTATGTAAAAGGAACAGAGGTTTTCAAATGAAAGCTGGTTGTTTGAGTGAGACTCTGTTTTTGGTGTTCTGCATCTTTCCTTCTTTATTATGTTCCTAACAAGGAGTGTCATGGCAATAGTTTAGAGGTATGGAAAGAATTCGTGTTATGTTGATATATGTTATATGCTCTCTCAAATAGATGTGTTAATCTAGTTACTAAATACATTCATTGCTTTGCAGTTTGAAAATGGATGGAATTGAAACTAGTCTAAATTTAATAGATCAAGAACATAGAAACGCATTTCAAAACTAAGATTGAAAACAAGAATATCCCTCGGGCAGGAAAAAACAACGTTGTATTGATTTCTCTGTGATTTCTTTCTTTTACTACTATCTAGAGCAACCTTGATTTCCTGCCTTGCAACGAGAGATTAATGTTGCTTCGTAATGCAATTTTTTTGAGTACTCAAAGTTTCCGAACGAGGTAAAATTTCCATAATGACATTATCTTCTTGACCTTCTGATCCGCTTTACTGTCCATATCTCAACATATTCGAATGAAACGTCAAGGTTCAATCAATTGTGAGAAGCTGACATGATGTCAATAGACGGATGAAAACTTCCAATCTACCTGCAAATTCAAACTTTATATAAAACAACACTACTAAAAAAGGGAAACTGAATTTAAATTTCGCCGCTCACTATTCGTTTGTTTCGCTACTTCTATCTAACTCAATCCACAAATTTCTCTTTGTTAGAGAACCTCCCCTACCCAAGGGCCACAAAAACAGAGACAATGTAATGTGTAAGTTATTAATGGTGGATGATGCAGTGTACTAGACCTTCTCATAACCATTCTGCCTCACCACTTCACTTCATTTCATGATTCCCCACAACCCAACTTAACCACTTTTACACAGAACCCAATTTTAAGAGAGACAGAAGAGTATTGAATTTCATTGTTTAGTTTCCTAATTTCTATTGGACATTAAGTACTGCTGCAGGCAAGAAACCCAGACCAGCCCCTGAAAATGGCAAGAGCCAAAATACTGAAATAGACTTCCCTCCTTTTCCCCCCACCATGATTTGATTTAGCCATAGCTATAAAGCTACAAAGAACAGTGAGGTGACATGAGATACCTCTGAGCTTCTGATCAGTTTGTTTAATGTGTTTCTACTGAAATTGGGGACTTGAATGCAACTTAAAAAAAAAAAAAAACTTTATGAGGATCCTTCATCAGAATCAAGGTAAAACTTTGGTTAATCATGGGTTAATGACGGTTTGTTTAGCAATCTATGGTTGGAAGCAACTGACAAGTGAACCGATACACAACAATCTAACGAATATGATAACCCTGCTACGTGTTATCCTGCTAGCTCGATGTCGGAACAGTGTTGAATGTCATTGTAGTACGTGTTGAGATACACCGTATGATAAAAAAAATATGTATGTATGTGTTTACTAGCGTACATGCTCAACGATAGAAAAGTATGTACATTTTGTTCACAAAAGTGAGAACGATTGGATCATGAATAGGGCTCACAAGCTTGAATGCTCGATTCGTGAAGAAACACATGTACGTTAACAAGATATATAGATCTATACGACTTCATTGTTTTATAGCACTAATAATGTGGGTTGGAGTGGGATGATGATATGATGATCATAAAGCATCGTGGGAGCCTTGGAGGAGCTTGCTTAGCTCATAAATTTGAATATGGTAAACAGGGTACCAGCCGGAGGTCTTAGCTCTAGCTTGCTTAGCTCATAAATTTGAATATGGTAAACCCTAAAAATTAAGTCGATAAAGTCACCTAACTAGCTATTCACCTACTAGTTCACTTCAAATGCTTGCCGCGGTAACAATATTCCCAATCCAACGTCTCTCTTTGATGTATGATTACTATAAGATCGAGTTGGTAATTGTACAATATCAAAACCAATAATTTTCAAACAATGTTTAATTAATTAGCTATTAAGAGGGTAATTGAAATTGAACCTGCGTGCCGTTAAAGTTCAAATGTTCTGTCATTTGTTTAATAATAATAATAATAATAATTACTGACTGATGACTGACTGGGATTGATTGATTCTTCTTCTTTCCTCGTTGGTCTATTTTCCCTTTGCTTACAATTGGTTTCTCTTAATTGGGTTAATTTTTAACTTTCTTTTACCTTTCCAACAAAACCCTAATTAGCTGACAAAACTAATTCCCTGGCCTTTCCTTCTTCAGTCTCCAATCTGACACACTCTGTCGGTTGGTTCTAATTATGAAAAGAAACCCTAATTTGTAAATTATCAAGAAGCTGGCCTCTCTTTCTTCTTCTTCTTCTTCTTCTCTATAAGAGCTCTGATTCTCTCTTTGATTTTCACGTCGCAGTTTTCCCGATGGAAACAGCACACCAATCCACAAGAGACCACCAAAACCCTAAACCCAAAGAAGCTTTTCTCTCTAGCTTGCCCCATTTTTATAATATATGGGTGCAATGTTATATGTCTAGTGATTCTCCAACGTTTTTGTTTCTCCAAGACCTCATACAAAACTTATTGTTGTCTCAAACTCTCGACGCATGAACTTATTTGTTAAAACAACATGATAAAACTAGTGACGAAAGTTAAAAGAACATGTATCTTCCCCTCTCTTTTTTTAGAAGGTGGATTGATTTTCCGAAGATGTTGATTTTGTATGGGTCAGCGTAAATTATGTTGCATTTTAAATTATTTTTTTACTTCAGCTTCATTAGGACCTTTCGGGTTGTTGACCTGTAGCATTTTACATCACTAACTATGCCGCCATATCGTAACCTTTTCTATTGGTGTCATCAATCCGTTTTCCGCTTTCTTATTTATGTCTCTAAAAACTTTGAAAACAACAGATTCAATTCATCCTTTAAGACTTCATTTAATTTATGCCTTATTTTTCCAATTCGAATGAGAAAATTATATAATATATACCTTATCTTCTATAACAACTAGCTAGCTAGCGAGAAATTGTCATTATGTGAACTTGAATTGGGTAGGCTGATACCTTTAGAATATCGTCCTATACATAATGTTAACCAGACAACACTAGCTTAATAGACAAAACAGGCATCTTAATTTGATTAATCCTACTTTAGTCTTAACTAATTTATATAATATATTACAGAATAACATGCATGCATGGCGCGACATGTTACACATATGAATATATGTATGTGTTATGTATATGAACCAAATCGATCCAACGTTGGTATATTTTATAAAATAGACCACTTCCAATTTGCTTGATTAAAAATTATAATAACATACCCTCATATAAAAAATATATATTTTGTTGGGTGGCTAATTTGGTACCATAGTACGATCTTTATGCTTGTCTCACTACTCTCATTAATTGCACCTCTAGAAAATTCATGCCGTGAACATTTCATAGGACGACACGTAAATATTTGATCGTTGAATTTGTGATTTTGAACTATTTGCAAAGCAAAGATTTGTAATCGGTGATTATTTCTTCATCGTCATCCAACACTCTACTCGAGTAAAGAATATATGACTACTCGAGACTTAGCAAACAATATTGGATTGAAAAAAAAAAAAAACTAATTCTCCTACCTTATTGGCGTTCCTCTATGTACTTGTCATTAGAGAGTTTGGCTAACTTGTAGTTTTCTTACCTCTACTATATATCTTTAATTAACTACCTTTCATTTGCTAGCTTTTAGTCGTTTGTCTTACAATACTAGTCATTTATACATTATGAATTACTCGCCTCTTTATCGCTATTTATCGTGATATAGAGTTATTGGTATTGAGTGGAATAAACATTATGTACCACGATTTTTTAGTTTGTTTGTCTGTCTACGATCCTCGATCACCAATTTAAAATCAAGATAACTAGTGGTTATAAAATGATACTGATCTTTGGTTTTCAAAATAAAACATATATATTTACATAAGAAAATGAACTATATAAGACCAAATATGTAGTTTACAAAGTTTGAGATGAAGATTTTGTCTCTATTCATTTGTATTTATTGACAAGGAACCCACAGCACAACCCATATGCATCAAATCTCCAACAATATCACTCAACTCAATGTAGTCTTGTATATACATAGTTTCAATGTAATTTCCAAAAAAAAAAAAACATTAAAATCGATTAAATTAATTATTTTTACACATATACATACATATGCATTGTTGTCAACAATAAAACAAAACAACAACCATGTTTGTCTTGTCTCCAACTCTCCATACCCTCCTGCCTATAAAGCCTAGATTATATCTAATGTTTTGCATAATTCCAAAAAGCTAAAAAATGAAAACATAAAAAGAAGAAAAAAAGGAATAAATAATAAGAATATTTGTATATTTGTAGGAACAAGTAAGATTGATGGAGGAGCGGATCGATCCAATATAATGGTGATCATGGGGGTTGCTACTTGCCTTACCCCGTCGGGAAAGCAACAATGGGGCAAATTCAAACCCTAAAACCCAACAATAAAAAAAGAAAAGAGACATTGAAGTGTATGTTAATAGTTTTCCTACATTCAAACTAGTTTGAAACACTAGCTAGGTAAGTGTTGTGGCAAATTGAGTGACCAAAGTATGGTCCATATGCATCCTAGCTAGAGCATATGATCTCTTGAGATTGAGATTCCCAAAAAAATATGTACACGACGTGGAAGTCTCGTACTTGATGGACGGTGCAGACGAATTTGTAATGACACGAGGAAAAAAAAAATAAGACCTGAATTGAAAGAAAAATAAGGGATTACTTACATGATAAAGGAACTAAAATGTTGTAGGTACGGATCTTAGGCACCCGGATTAACGTAACAAGATAGATTTTTGATAGGGATATAGACTGGTTGAGAGGACAATTGGGCAGAATTTGATGATTTAGAATTGAGGATTATGGTTCTTGAGAGAGACTAAAGAGAAGAGGAATAATCTGACTATACTTTGATAGGTTTTTCATTTATATCCCTAACGATAGAACTCAAATACATTATATAGACTCTGGCCCGAAAACCCTAATCGACTAATCCTGATAAAATACAAAACTTCCCTCAAACCCCTAATCGTACCCTCAACAATGAAACATGCCAAATACCCTCGATATGGAGATAAGGGCAATTAAGTGTATTTTTACATACTTGGCAATATTACACTCATATTTCTTCCATGGAACAAGATCAGGATAGCGTTTATGGGAGCGTTTCCTTGTCTATCATGGAGTTCACGAGCTTGCACATTGCTGCCTGCTTCCATCTCTTGCCCTTCACATTCATGCACGCAAGTTCCCCAAAGATGAAGGTAATGCCTAGCTAGCTACTTAATAGAGGCCAAAGCTTCCCCGTGAAGAACACAACATGATTCATAATACCCCATTTGAGTAATGGATTCGAAATTTAGTATAGTTTTTGTTGTTGCTGTTGTGGTTGCAGCGGAGTTGACACAACTCTGATGCAACCACAACAACATGAATATAGAAAACAAAAGGTTGTTTAGTTCTTTCTTCTAAGAAGCCATAAAAACTTGCAACAAAATATAAACACGTTTAGTTACTTCTAACAAGAACTTCAAATTAGAAAATGATGGAAATGTTCTCAAACTCAAAGTATAGTCTCACCAAAAGTAATCATACTAAACATCAATAATTTTTGTCACAAGAAATTATTAATTTTTATAATCATTCCACATCGAATCTGTAATTGCATCCCGCGTTTTCATTCATTTCATGCGATGCAGCAGTATTGCCGATTGTTGTTTTACTTAATTTGTGTAAGGTGGTTTTTTTTTCTTAATGGTGTGACTGAAAGAGGAGTGGGCAGCGTACGATAAAACACGTGCATAAGCGAGTGCATATCAGATGAGCTTGTCTGTCGTGTTATAGTTGCCTCATCTATATTGAATGGTAAGAGTCCATCATGCTATCACTAAAGTAAAATGTCCTGATTGGATAAGAACTATACGCCAATAATATTTTTGACGTCAAAACATCTTCGTATCTACAACATTTCAACACAATCCTTAGTTGAGTTGGAATTCAGTTCTCACAATCTCTTTTTAACCACTAAATTATGCAAATTAAATTGAACAAGATCATCCAAAGTAGCAAAACTCTCCCTATCAAACAATTAGCAAAATCATATTCCCAATACCTCATTCCAAAACCTCCACAAGCTCCATGCTCAAACCAATGGTCTGATAGGCTGCTAACACGTATCAGGATTAGGACGTATTAGCGTGATCCTTGATCATTGGATTGCACGTTTCATATTCCACAACAAGTAATCGTGAATCAGGAAACATGCAAATCCAGCAATCATTTCCAATGTTTATGAACGTGAGTACATTACGTAATCACATTATCACATACCATGGCCAAGATATGGGCTTTACAGCACGTAACATAGTGCCAATACTACGCGAGCCTGCATTCCCATTCAGTCCATGACAATATGGGCCTGACGACCCAAGCCCAAATTTAAGGCCTATAAATCCACAGGCCATCACTCCTTTGCCCAAACTCTCCACGGCCCAAACCCACAAAACCCTAGGGTAAAATTTCTACCCAACTCATCTGCTACATATAAATACCCTGATCCCCGCCTTAACGCCGCTCTCTCCTTCACTCTCTGCTATCGCCTCTGCAGCTCCATTTCGGTTTCTAGTTCTCCAGAAACCCTAATTTCCCCCCCCGCAACACAACCATGGCTGACAGAGCTCCGGGAGACAGACCACCGCGCAGAGGCTTCGGAGACCGCGGACGTGGCGACAGAGGCAGGGGCCGCCGACGCGGGCGTCGCGATGAGGAAGAGAAGTGGGTTCCGGTCACCAAGCTCGGCCGGCTCGTGAGGGAGGGCAAAATCAAATCCCTGGAGCAAATCTATCTCCACTCGCTGCCGATCAAGGAGTACCAGATCATCGACACTCTCGTCGGTCCTGGAGTGCTGAAGGATGAGGTCATGAAGATCTCCCCTGTCCAGAAGCAGACTCGCGCCGGTCAGAGGACCAGGTTCAAGGCCTTTGTCGTCGTCGGCGACGGGAACGGCCATGTGGGGCTGGGCGTGAAGTGCTCGAAGGAGGTTGCTACTGCTATTCGTGGCGCCATCATTCTGGCTAAGCTGTCTGTGATCCCGGTGAGGAGGGGTTACTGGGGGAACAAGATCGGGTTGCCTCATACTGTGCCGTGCAAGGTGACCGGGAAGTGTGGTTCCGTCACCGTGAGGATGGTTCCGGCTCCTCGTGGCGCTGGGATTGTGGCTGCTAGGGTGCCGAAGAAGGTTCTGCAGTTTGCTGGGATTGAGGATGTGTTTACTTCCTCCCGTGGGTCTACCAAGACTCTTGGCAACTTCGTCAAGGTTTGGATTTATCTCATCATGATGTATTTTTTTAGATATTGAATTTGGATGACTGCTGGATTGATTGAATTGTTGGGTGTTAGGTTATAGCCAATGCTAGAGGTTTAGTGGAGCATTTGATGATTATCAACCACTGTGTTTTGAAATCCCAAATAGCCATTTCATGATAATCAGTTGCGGCGTTGAGTACCCTGGGTTGACCATTTTGTTAGATGAGATTTGTGTCGATGGGATTATGTTGAGGTTCTGAACATTGATTGGCATGGATTGATGGGATTTCATTGATTGCTGTGTTTGAGGCTATCCTGAATGTATTTGGTGTTGTAATATAGCAGGTGACCACTGTGCGATTGTCAATGAATTGGCTATCAAATGTTCAGAGCCCAATTAGGTTTGGTAGTTAATACTTAATATATAGTTTCTACTCCTCTTAGGTTAGGATTAATGTTTTATACTGTCGTTCTCACAGTTCGCTTGCTATCTGTTTCTATCATGATGTATCATCTCAGGATGTTGTGTCTGCCTGCGTATGAATCTATTTGCTGAATTTAACCCTTTGCTGTAAATGATGACTTTACAGGCCACATTCGACTGCCTGTTGAAGACCTATGGTTTCTTGACACCTGATTTCTGGAAGGATACCCGTTTCACCAAGTCACCATTCCAAGAGTTCACTGATCTCTTGGGAAAGCCAACCAAGGCACTCATCCTTGAGGATGTCGTACCAGAAGCTTGATTCTTCTTCGTATGATCGAGCAAAGACAGTAGTAGCTGAATGTTTAGATTTTGTCTTGAGAACTCCAATCTTGTTATCACTTTGGTTTTGTTCTTCATTTGGCCATGACATGATTTTTGCAATACTTTTTTGAGACTCTTGTGTTAAATGGCGACCTTATTTCAGTAAATTTAAGGCTTTGTTCTGCATTTACTCTTTGTTTAAGCATACTATCCTATTATGGTTCCTACTTGATTATGTCTATGTTCATAATGTATGTATATGGTGTTCATTTCGTAGGCCTGGGTCCAAGCTTGCATGTCATGAAATGTGTAGAAGTAGAAAAAAGAATGTATGAATTTAACATGAAACTAGGTTGGACTGAATGCTCGAAATATGTATGATTCAAAAGGATTTCAACTACTTCCAAGTTGCAACCCTCATGATTTCAGCTCTTCACAATCTGTATGTGTTGCTAATGTATAATTCCTATATATTAGAGATCATTTATGAAGTGTTAACTTGGTTAGTAGTATGTGGTTAAGCCCAAAAGACTTTCAAAGCATAAGAAAAGAAAAGTAAAGAGAATCAAGGAAGTACATTGTCAAATCTTATTCTCCAAAATGTGCTGATAAGATATTGGAGAAAACTAATTATTAATATTGAGATATTTATTCTAGCAAAAAATTGCCTTTTCCTCATAAAATTATCATAATTGGTTCAATAATTTCAATATGGGCAGCCATGCCAATCGAATTGGCAAGTTTAGGTGAGTAAATAATAATAAACTAAGAGTGCGTGAAAATAGAATATCTATTGAGATTTAACATCTTTACCTCTAATATAGGTTCTGCAACTATTTTTCAACATCAAAATTTCGCTTGACAATATTGTAGCTGTCAATCCTTATTCTCGTACCGATTAACCAAAACGACCATCATTAGGTGGCTAATAGTGAATAAACTCTTCTCCGTCTAAGTTGTCCCTGCCCATTAGCTCTACTAATCAATTTTATATCCCAAAAACTTCAAAAGTGCATAAGAAGGGTCCTAATTAAGAAGCCTCATCTATTACCCTCGTTGTCAGAGCTCAAAAGGTCCGAACGATATTGCAAATAGAAAGGATGAAAAGACAATAGTCATATGAATATTATTATTAAGAATACCACTAAAATCATTTATTAGACTCCATCAATCCCTAATTCTTCAAAAGCTTTAAAGCAACAAAAAGTTGTAATTAAACATTACTAAAACTAGAATCCATATATCTTACAAAGAAAGAGTCACATGTGAGTCCAACATGTGGATGCACGAAGGTTAGGCTTGAGAAAAAAAATTATCGAATCCCAAGTGATAATTTCAGCTTTGAGGGGAAATACGTAAGGAGCATATGTACAAAAATCAAATGAATATTCAGAATATGAGAAAACTTATTTGTCACTCCATCCATCCCAATCCTTCAAAAAGCTTGAGGCAACACAAATTTGTAAGTATACATTTACTAAAATCAAACTCCAAATTACTACACAAAACAATCACGATGGATCCAGGAGGTTTAGGGTTTGGAAAAAATTGTCGAGTCCCAAATAGTAATTTCAGGTTTAGGGGAAATACGAAATGGCAAATGTACAAACACATATGAATATTCAGAATCTAAAGAAAACCATTTGTTAGACTCCATCAATTTCAATCCTTCAGAAAGTTTGAGACAACAAGAAGTTGTCAGTATACATTTACTAAAATCCCACGTAGTAATTTTAGGCTTGAGGGAAAGAAACTAGTAATTCCTAGACTTCGAATCCTTGATCTTGTAGTTATTTACAAAAGAAAAAAAATGTTGTCCACTACACCACAAGTTCATTTTTATGATATTTAAATAATAAATGTATTTATACATCTAACAAACTCCAACTAAATTGCTCAATTTTATCAGAATCCTAAATAACTGAAAACCAATTTCTATTTATTGTATCCCTCTCCTCCGATCTCACGAATTAAGAAAGAAGCATCCTACTTAGCTCGAAGTGACTCCCTCTTCTTCTCACTTCTTCAATTATGCGAGACTCCCTTCCAGTATGGTCATTCCGACCTCTGAAAATTATTACCAATGTGTTAAGAATGATGAGAGATTTCATGAATTAAAAGGAATTGATGAATTAGCTCAACTGGTGGTGATGGCAAAAGTGAATTTAACATATCTATCAATGTATTTGCTTATGGAATTTATATTAGTTTTATAGGTTGAATCAAGAACAACCTCCATCATCGAATATTCAATCAATTTGTGAATGATTGTCTAGGAGGATTTACTGAAAAAAAATTGTTGAATACAATAAACATTGAGTGAATTTTATAAATTTTTAGAACATAAATGTATTTTTTAAACTTATACTAGTAATGAACTCTCTTAATTTAGATATTCTATATTATTTAAACCAATCAAAGGTAGAGATGCTAGCGGAGATGAGTATTGGTCATTTAGTAAGGAAATATACTTCTCAAAGACACCATAAAAAAGATTGTACCTAAGTATCAAGCTAACATTTATGTAAATGTATTTTTCTAAAGAACATTGGTCGTTTCATTAATATGAAACACAGTGTACAGAGTTGTAACAACGCTAAAAGAAAGAGAGAAAAAAGCTCATTGAACAAGAAATCTAAAAAATAAGTTTACAACAACCCAAAATCCAAACGAAGCCCAAAGCATGGTCCGGCGAATAGTTGGACCCCCGAAGCCTACCCCAAGAAACTTTAAATCAGCCGACCCAAATTCGAGTGGTGGCCTTCGATTGCATCCCCGGAAGATGTCGTTCCAGAAACAATCTGGAGGGTTCTCATCTCTGTGTCCATAAGCTCATTTTCTCCCTCAAGATAGACAGAACATTTTGAGAATCCCAATACCGAGACAATCAGCAGAAGACAAGAGAATCTGGGGAAGGGATAAGTCTGGTCTATACTCTGTGAAGTCGGCTTATAAGGCGTTGAGAGCTAGCAAAGAGGCAGAAATGGGAGAAATCTACACCCCTATTAACTGGGATCGAATTTGGAAGCTCCAAATCCCTCATAAAGTTAAAGTGTTTGCGTGGAGATGGATTCACAATATCTTACCAGCATGAGCTAATATTCTTAAGAGAACGACTAAAGGGTGCGATGAATGTCCATTTGTGGACAAGAGGAGACACAAAACCATCTCTTTCAAGACTGTGGTTGGGTTAGGAGAGTTTGGTGCCCTAGTTCCTTAAAGCTTTGTTTCGAGAAGGGTAAGGATCTAACTTGCGAAGAGTGGATGGTGGCTCTCCAGGAGGCCGAGTCTGACGAGCAGATAGCCCAATTTCTGGTGGCCCTCTGGTTCATATGGGGAGAATGGAACAGTCAGTGTTGGAACAAGAAGAAATTGGAAGAATTTGAAATAATGGGAAAAGCGGAGCGTTGGTTGGCTGAGTACCTGGAATATCAGCAAAAAGGATCGAAGATGGCTCCCAGGCAGGTGGCCCGATGGAAACCTCCAGACATTGCCGCTTTCAAGTTCAATGTCGACGCAACGACGTTTGCCGGAGCTGGCACCGGGTTGAGGGTTGTGGTTCAGGATAGAAATGGGGGTTTTGCTGTGCTGCAGTTAAAAGAACAAGAATTCAATGGCCAGCGGAATTGGTTGAGTTGCAAGCTATAAAGTTTGGATTAGAGATTGCGATGGATAAGGGTTTTGTGCCTAGAGAAATTGATTCGGATTGTCTCAGGTCTATGCAACAAATTGAAAAGGAAGAGATGTCGATGACGGAGGAAGGAGTGGAGAGCGCTGAAGTGCGAGAGATGATCGACAATTTCGATGGGTCGATGGAGATCCGGTTTGCGGGCCGAGAAAGCAATAAGGCGGCCCACACTATGGCACATATCCAATATGGGTGGGATGAAACTGAACTTTGGGCCTCTAGGCCACCAATTTTCCTGGTGGACCAACTTATCCTTGATTCCCGTAATATTTCACATTAATGAAATAATACAGGTTGTTCTATAAAAAAAAGAAACAATATGGAGGGGAATGGCATTGGCTTTAGCATCTAGGTTTCTTGCTCTTCTTTATGTCGTGTTTCAAAAAGGGTTTATCTAGGTCATCCAGTTAATGTGCTCGTACAATCTCTGCAATTTTATAGAGGAAATTTTACAGTTTAGTTAAGAGTAAATACAATTTTTTTGTTAAATCTTTCAAACTTCTTAAATGATAAGTCACACCTTATGAAATACAATTTATTAGTCAAACGTTTAGCCTACGTTAAAAGTTATGTTAGTAATGCTATCTTGGCAACATGATGTTGAGCTGGAAGAGACATGACGATCAAAATTTCAAAATTTAGTATTTTAATTAAATAAATAGTTATAAAATTAGTAACGGTATATTATGATGTGTTTCAAAAGATTTTGCTAATATTTTGCATTTCAAAAGATTTGTCTAATAATTTGAAAATTTGTCTAATGAATTTTATTTACTCTTTAGTTAATGACATGGATAAAGTAGAAATAAAAAATGTATGATCCTGGTATGATGTGAAAGTTGGTTGGACTTGATAAATCCTGGAGATAGGCATGATTGTAAAGCATTTCAAGTTGCAACCCTCGTGAATGAAACCTCTTCACAATCAACATGTTGGTTATGTATAATTCATATAAATATTAGAGACCATTTGAGAAGTAGGTTGAGCCCGAAAGGATTTTGCTTTACTTTACTATAAAAAGTACCTGCAATGAACAAGTACAGAACTCCAAATGAGTGGATAAAATTTTTCAAATCTTAAGGTAAGAAACCCAAAAAGTGTAAGGAGAAAAATTATGAAACCTTATTCCTGAAATGTGAAGATAAATTGTCAAATTTTAATGTCAAAAATGTGTTTTAAGATATTGGAGGAAACTAATTACTGATTTTGAATCTTTCATCCTAGTACCAATGGATAATTTGACTATGTGTCTATGATCATTATCATCATGATCATCTTGTCATTGATGACCTCTTGGCTAGCTATTCACAATAGCACCGTGGTGCTAGTAGTACTCTTGCAATGATAACACGGGAAAATTATGTTTTTTGACTAACCCTTGACATGGAAGCTTGTGTTATAAACTAAGATTTACTAGAGAAAATTTTCGACTTTCCCGATTGATATGGATTCTTAGTTATGCTATTATTCGGGTTTTAAGGTTTTGATTTGATTTTGTTTGCATAACGTTGGTTGTAGCCGCTCTTTTATAAAAGTGCAAACTGGTTTTGTCCTTTTTATTGAGATTATCAGTATAATAGCATGTTGTGTCATTGGTATCGGAAGTACAAGAAAGCGCTTTGCTAATACTAATCTTCTTTTCGTATGCACATATGAAGAGTAGGACTTGGTTTCTTTTGTAGGTTTCTACAACCCCAAATGATGCTTTGGCAATGACAATGGCACCAGGGGCGGATCTAGGTGTTGCGTAGGGGTGTCGTCTGACACCCCTTCGCCCGGAAATTTTGTGAAGAACCTATATTTTTTGGTACAAAAATTTTAATACGAGATTTCTAACACCGCTTTAATAATTATAATCGATACTCATTCATTAGGCGACACCCCTCTTCAACAATCCTGGGTCCGCCACTGAATGACACTGAGCTGTCAACATCTTTGAATGATGATCTCTTGAGCTCACTGCCAATGCCTACTGAGATTGACTTCCTTCTCTCTTCCTTTAATGTGTCATTCAGTCTGAATAGTTGTTTTTTTTATTCTCCTTCTTCATGCATACCAAAACTCGCTTCTCCATCTAATTGGGAGCTACTGTTGGTAAATTTAGTCGTCCTCCACTTGCTCTATTATCTCTAGTTGTTTTCTTCTTTAGCCTCAATCTCCTTCCAAAGCTTGAAAACTTGTTCTTCGAGCTCCTTCTATCTGTCCTCGAAGGAACTGGCTTTCTGATTACACTCTTGTTCTTGTTTTTCAACGATAAAGAAGCTTAGTTAGTTAATCATTCTCTCTACCAGAAGTCATTCATTTAGGAGTTAAGTGTTCATAAAAAAGCAGAGAAACTGCCTCACTCCAAATGTACACAAACTTACAATAGAATCTTTGAAATAATGTAAAAGATTTTTAAGATTGTGAGAAGAAAAAGGAAAAATAAAAAAAAATTCCGCAAACAACAGGAAAGCATTCCCCGAGAAACCTTAGAGTATTTAGGGATTTTGACAATGACCATAAAATATATCATATTTTTCTCTATATATTTAGTTACTCTTCACGGTTTTTCTCCACTCATCTCGGAGTTTGAATCGAATTATCTCAATCACGTGTTTATCATCTCAACAATGAAAAAATGTGGGTATGACTTGTAGTTTGACGCTGACTTGATGAACTTTGTGATAGCCTTTGACCAATTAAATTCACACGTTGGTAATGAAACACCTCGTACTCTTCCCATTTCTTCCTCTCCTCCAGACGATGAGCTATCTGAGAAACTTATGAATTATGATGAATGCTTTTGCTTTAGAACGAGCAAAAGTTTCAAATGAGTATACTAAGTTGATGGCAAATGACAAATTGCAATAAAAAGCTACATAAATAATTTTGTTTTAAAAAACAATAACGAACTATAAAAAAAATTAGCATACAAATAAAAATAAGTGCAGTTTATTGAAAGAAATAATAAAACCAGAAATCTAAATTTGAAAGATTGTAGGGTTGAAAGTTGAAACATGAAAAATTTAGCTCAAGTTAAATCTAATGGATGTGTATGACCAGCTATTCTCACTTTACTGACTTTTTAAACGGGTTGGAAGGTGGTCGCTGGCACATTGCTTCTTTGGCTGCACCTTCATGATTGCTTGATGACTTCAAGAATGGATTGGAGGTACGGCTTGTTTCCTGGTTTCCTGCTGCTGCTGTTGTTCTGAGCTCCGCTGATCCCCCACTAGTTGCAGCTTCTGGCTGAACTTCTCTCGCAGTTTGGTTATGGTCACTCCTCCCCTTCTGTGCACCTCTGTTAACCACTTTCTTGACGAAATGAGGCGCTGACAATGTGGTGGATGAAGATGGGATGCAGCTGGGCTCTGACGATACCTCACTTGATGTCCCATTTCGTCCCAAACCCGAACCCTGGTTAACTGCAACACCAGCTGCCTCTGACATATCTTTTGTTTCGTTCAGCATTCGCTCCTGAAACATGCATGGAAACCATTAATACCAGGTGGATAGAACCAAAACTCCTGAAAGTTGGTTCATTGAAAAGATACGAGTTCGAAGTACCTCGAGTATGTTGTTGAAGCGATCTGCAAGATTTGGTAGTTTGAGAGCAGTGACGAGCTTTATTGCTCCTTTCATCGATTTCTCCAGCGTCAGGAGTTTCACCAGTTCAGTGGCTCGTACAAGTTTGTCGCCTGAAAGTTCAAGCAAACAACCATCAAGTTTAGAGCTCGTACGTGAGGGTTGCAGTAGGTAGAATAGAATTGTAATCCGTGGTTGCATTCATGCAATCACTATTTCCTTCCAATGTTAAAATTTCAACCACTCACATTCTGACCCCTGAAACCAGATTTCTCGGGAACTTACTGTTGCAACACGAAGCAATGAGCCTCAGGATACATCTATCTTGAGCTGCCTCCGTGCTGAAAGCTTCATCATCGAGTTCAGTGGTGTCCCTACCGTCAGATGAACTCTCTTCTATTCTTTTCTGGATCTGCCAGAAAACAAATTGGGAAGAGAAGATTTAGACAGCACATATATAAGTTTGTTTGGCAACTTGCTAGAACAATGAATATAACAAAGCATAGATAAAAGCACGGCCTATTCTAAGAAGAAGGTATAAAAGAGGGAACCTGAAAGAGATGGAGGTTGTTCAAAATAAATTCATTCTCAAGGACATCTGCTCCCAGATCGGAAGATGCTAGGGGGGACGACAGATCCAGCAAAGTGAGAATCGGTTTGGGCATCACCTGAACAAAGGCAAACGATTCAGTATGGAGATCACGACGTACTTATATAACAAAAAGTAGCAATCTTCTTGTTTACCTGAGGAAATACTTCAGGACTCTTGCAAACTATGCAGAATAACTTGCTTGCGTTCAACCCCACAACCCAGTAGTTTTCATCTGACTTCTTTGTTTTATTGGCACTGCAGGGAACAAACCAACACGTTATATTCCACTTCAACGCAAAAAACAAGGGTAGGATCATGCTTTTGCATTACAGAAGAGTTTTTGAACCTGAACAGCGGGAGCCAACTGCCGCCATACTGGCTTGTATAAACCCTCAAGACACCCTACAAAATTAGCTCATAGTTGGTGGATGCAATGAAAATATAGATATATAAACTTTTAAGTAGTATTCAGTCTCGTTCACTGAGAAAGAAAGCAGTACATACCTTTGAATCATATGAACTCAATAGTCCTTCCTCGCTAAACCCAAACCAAATAAGATGTGAACCAGGAGACAATGGAAGTCGCCCCCTAGAGGGCCTTGTACCATTACGTATATCAAATACATGGAATTCAAGCACCTGCATGGTTCAAACCAAGAAATGCTGTTTAGGAACAGTTCTAAAGTTAATAGATACTGGTATATAACATTTGTTTCAGGCTTTCAGCCAATAAGGTTTACGGTTGAAAGCAAGTAACGTTTGTAGTCTGGATGAAGCTTGTATCTTTCAGTTAGAAACAAATGAAAAGTGGTAGTGAGAAAGAAAAAAGGATAGACCTGATCATTTGAAGGAAGACAGTTAGAAGCATGAGTGACAACTGCAAGCCGATTTTTGGAACCTGATGCAGTCACTGCTGGACCATCAAGGGAAAGAATATGCTTCTGCGCACGAGATCATAGGGTGAAACTCTTGATGTTAGATGAAAGAACAAATTATCGAGATTACGGTAGACCAAACCTAAGCTACTCAGTTGACACTACACGATGGCAAGGATTAAAATAAATTTGGAGGTACACATTGATCTAATGCACGTAAATAGATCAACTATAGATCCGTTGATAATACAAATTAAACTTCCATCCCTTTCTTCTATCCCTTCTAAACTGGGGGGAAATTGCAAAATACATGAACAGAAGATATCAGATGGACAAATATGATAAAGACTCTCCTAATCCTGCTCGCCACTCCACCCCAACTAAACATGCTCTCTCAGAAGACTGCAATCAACCAGTTCACCAGACAAACCTGCAAACCACCATCAGTAAAGATGCGGAGATAATTTAGACTAGTGATCGCCGCAACCCAATGAACACCAAGTGCAACAACTTTGACTTCTTCTCCCTCAAACCGCATATACCACTGCATTTGCACATGTAACAAATGTCAGCTAACGGAATATTTACTCACAGTATTCATGCGTAATAGAATATAAGCAGAGTGCAGCCCATCCCAATCCCCAGACGGAGAAGTTTATTTTCAATGGATAAAGCATCTGACCTCACTGTTGTTTGCCCAACTGCTGAACGGGCGATACATGAGAGTACTCATGTTCTTGTCACCCTTGCAAGGATTGGCAAAAACACTCCCATTCTCATTCAAACAAGCCATCGTGAAACCAAAATGATCCGTCATTGCAGGAACTCGAGGTCCTCTACTAGTATCATGAAAGTCTATCTGCACCAGGTGGACATGAACAATTGCAAAGCAGAACGTAATGATCAATACGATCAATAACTACGAAGAAATGCAAAGAGGAACGTAATTAAACGGTCAAATCCTGCTCAACTACCTCTATATGAGAGTACCCATCATATTCCATTGTAGTGATAGTTCCAAGCATATTGTAGCACAAGAAGCGCCTCTTCCCTGGCTGCACAGGAGTAACACCAGGCTGGAAAGCTTCCTGCATTTTGGACCTCACCGATATGGCTGTGCTTCTTAGTTCTTCATTAGCTCCCTTGTCCAACTGTTCTCTTGCTCTTTTGGGAGCCATGCGTTGAGGAAGCAGGCCATAATCATCAATTGTATTCTCAGTGGAACGATCTTCATCAAATTCAGAACGCTTCCGTATTCTTTTCCTGCTTGGCGGGCCTGATTCACCTATGCTATCCTCACCGTTATCACCTAGACTGCCAGATGAACAAGGCTCCTGCCCCTCTTCTTCAAATAACAGTAGCCCGTTGCTCTTTTTTGAACTCTGTGGAATATCTTCAGTGGGAGATTTCATGGATGACGGGACAACTGATTCCCACAGGCCATACTTGCCAGAAACATCAACAACAGCCAATGTATTACCAACTGGTTTCCACGCCATGCAACAGATTCTGTCCTCAAATTTCTGACGGTCAATATCTTGCTTTTTAAGGACATCCCATATCAGAACCTGCCTATCCAAACTTGATGTCGCCATATATTTCCCATTAGGCGACCAAGACAAGAAACATAAAGGTAGCAGATGGTCGCCCCTCAATGTAAACACCTTTTCGGCTGTGTCTCTATCATACATCACCACATCATTCCTCAGACCAGGGACCGCCAGCATCTCCCCGTCGGGACTCCAGCTTAGTATATTGACCAGGGAAGTGTCTAACCCAGTATTAGGAGCTACACCTTTTAGGGTATGCAATATTGTCCCCGACTGCAACTCCCAAAATAAGACTGTTCCCATGGAATCAATTGATGCCAAGTACTCACCCATAGGATCAAAAGCTAATCCAGTGACAGACCCTTTGTGCCCTTTCAGAACCCTAGCTATTGAGCCATCAACAGTGTTTATCAGCTTAATACCATCGTCATCCCCGGCAGCCGCCAGCATGCTCCCTGATTGATTGAATGCAAGAGCACGGATTGGAAGTGTAAACCTAGTGATGTTCGTCTCAAATTCCCCACCTTTATAATTCAAACAAATAACCATTAATGCTGTCAGTACTCACATTAAAAAAAAAAAACACACACACACACACAAATCACAGGGGCAATTTAGGGCAAAGGATTCACAAATGTTTGTTTAAGCTAAAGCCAATTTCTTTCTGTCTACCTAGTGAAATCAGAAGCAATTAGACGTTACCCGGGAACTTGTAGAGCTTGACGGAGTTGTCGATAGATCCGGAGGCGAGGCAGGTGGAGTTAGGGCTGAGCGCCAGCGCGGTGACGCCGTCACGGTGGTGCCGGAGAATCTTGGGAGTGGTCGAAGGCAGAAGAGCGTCGTGGATGGAGATTCCGGAATCCGAGGAGGAAGCAGTTACCAAATGGCGAGCTTGCTGATCCCATAGGATGGAGCAGAAGGAGGATCCATTGGCCGCGCCGTACGCAGCGCTGGGTTTGTGTGCTTCTCGTAGCTTCAGTGTTCGGATTTTCATGGCGGCGAGCAGCTTTTTGGGGATATGAGAAACTGGAAGTGCGAAACTTCGAAATCCTTGGAGGGTTTGGTAGCCTTTACTCTTCACTCTCCAGCGTGGCTTGAGATTTTGTTTCTCCCCCAATCATTTGGCGCGAACAAGAGGAATTTTTCGTTTTTTTGGCGGGAGTTGTCCAAGGGACTAAAATGTAGAGCTTCTTAAGTTTGGGTGTAATAACTGCTATGTTATAGTTATGGGGGTGGAAGAGAGTTTTTCCAATTTGATAAAATTGAAACAACCCCTAATCTCCTCTCCTCTTTCGCTCGCAGCGCCTCAACTTCAAGCAAGAAGCTGCCTCTCCAACTACAGAACCGCCGCCGGCCACGCCCGTCACTCCAAGGTCGCCGCCGCTCTCCTTTTAGGGAAAACTTGTTTATATGCACTGAACTTGCGACTCTGAAGTCATTTGGTGATTTGCTAATTAGCGGAGATGGTTGAGAGAAAGAGAAAATCCAGAGATGAGACGAGGCAGGGGAGGGAGAAGGGCAACAGTAAGTCGAGAAAAATGTCGAGCAATAAGAAGGGTGGCAAGGAGAAAGGTAAGAGGACTGGTCCTCGGTTGCCCAACGCGCTCATGAAACAGTTGGATCGAATAAACCCTAGGAGCCGGTTTGATGACGACGACGACGTCAGCTCGGATGGAGGGAAAGACCTGTATGAGTACGAGGAGGAGGTGGCTGAAGAGGAAGCTGGGAAGAACCGCCGTTTCGATGCTATTAAAAACTTTGACTATGAGTTGCCGGAGGATTTCGTGGTATCGCTTTCTTCTATACCTTCTCTTCATTTTTCTCTGTCTTTGTTTCAATTTGAGCTTCAAAGTTGTAGGATTTTTTTTCCTACTTTCCATAAGGGGTTCTGTGCAGTTGGCAAATTGATGTGGTGGATAATGACTTGATTCGCTAATGGTTTTGCAGGATGAGAATGTACAATCGGAAGATGATGATGATGATGATGATGATCACAGTGCCAGCAGTGAGGATGAAGACCATAATGATGGAAAGCAAAGTTCAGGAGCTGCCGATGATGAAAAGCATTTGAGGATGCTGCAAGAAATCACTCAGATGCCAAGTGAAGTTTTTGAAGGTATATCCTTGCATTGCCTGCTTTCACTCCAGTAGAAGAAGAGAGATGGAGAAACTTAATGAGAAATGAGTTTTTTAAGTTTCAGACTTTCAGTTGAATGGGGTGTAAGGGACTAGGAAGTTAATGTTCATAGTGGATATGGAATTACTCATGGAGAACATGTCCTTAAATTTTTGAAGGAGATTTTTTTTCTCTCCCTCCATCTGCCCATCTCCTCCCAAACTTCATTCATGCTAATGTCTGGGTACTTTCTTTCATGTCTCGATTTCTAGGCAGGCGGAAAAAGAATGAAATTGTTGTATCAGAGCCTTATCCAGAATCGGAGTACAATCCCAGCAGTGATGTTCTAGACGGCGTTGGACGTGTTAGTATTGGTGATCTTCTGGGGAGTCTTCAGCAAAATCCTGCTTATAGCAAACTCAGGAAAGAAATGCGTCATGTGGAGGCAAAGAGTATGCCCCTTGCAGCTCCACTTTCCAAGGAAGCAATAGACAAGGTGGAGAGGCAAAAAGCATATGAAATATCCAAGAAAGATATCACTAAATGGGAACCTTTGATTAAGAGGAACAGGGAAGCCCCTTCTGTTATTTTCGACAAAGATATTGATGTGGGGTTTTCAACGGTTGGAGCCATAGCATCAGAGTTTGAGCCTAGAACTGAGTTTGAGAAGAAAATGGCTTCATTAGTTTCTGATGATAAGGTTATGGAAGCTCACAAAGAAGATGGTGCTAAGCTCCTCGAACTGAATAAGGTAATGGACATGGGATCTTTTGGTTTAACTTCCAGTTGTGGCTGATGTTACAACATTGATGTTTAGGTTAAATGTTAATATAAATCCGACTGTGGCAGTAAGGTTTTGAAGCCAAACTGTTGGCTAAAGAGTGAATGTCAGTTATATAAGTTGGTCCTTCAAACTAAAGGAAAAGGTGATGATCATACCTCATGGATGAGGCACTTTATCTTTCTTCTGTAGATACCTGTGTTCAGACTCTTGTCTTGATCCATGAAGTTTGAGGCAATCAAATTAGCTAGTGCTGTATGTTTTGCTGTTGGTGCAAACGTTTTGGGTGTTTTTTATCTTATCATCCCAGCATTTTCCCCTACATTGCTGAATTGAAATGTTCCTATTCCTTGAAGTTGTTTCCCGATCACGAATAGAATCTTAGCTACAGTCTTATGAAATATGATGATCATTGGGCCTGATTTTGAAGCTGCTCTGGATGATTTTCCCCCTCCATGTGACACTTCTGTAGTTGCAGCAACTTCGGTGGACTTTGGTTTGTTTGTGTCTTTGCATCTTTTTCTTTTTTGCATTCTGATGTGCTCCTGTGTTTAACGTTTTTGCTGTTGACTGGCCAACTCCTTATAATTTCAACGTTTTATGTTCTTCAGATGTGTCCCATTGACCTTGTTGTTCTTTCTCAATTGTTCGTTATTTCTTGTGTTGCCGATGGGCTGCAGATATCTTCGGAGGATTATAAAAACAGTCGGGATCACATTGCTAAAATGCGAACCCTTCTCTTCCGACATGAAGTGAAGATGAAACGCTTAAAAAAGATAAAGTCTAAGACACATCGCCGGATGTTGAAGAAAGATAGAATGAAGGGAGTATCTGGTGAAATGCAGATGGATTCTGAAGCGGCTAAAGAATTGGCGATAAAGCAAGAGTTCAAGCGAGCTGAGGTAATCAAGGACTTACTCTTAGTGTCATGAAGTTGTGATATTCTACCAGTTGATTGCCCACAGACCCTGAGTCTGACAGCCGCTTTTGAATAGTTTTAATTTTTCGTGCTACTCTACATATATGCAGGAACGCTTGACCTTAAGGCACAAAAACAAGTCAAAATGGGCAAAACGTGTATTGGAGCGTGGTCTGAATGCTCAAGATGAGGGCACCCGAGCAGCCATTACAGAACAACTCAGTCAGCATGCTCGTTTGACTAGAAAAATGAATTCTATGAATGACAGTAGCAACAGTGATAACAGCAGCGACGAGGAATATGATGAAGATTCTGATGTTTCAGAACAAGATAGAGCTTCTAAGGTGTTGATGAAAGCAAAAGAAAAGACACAAAGTATATTAGAGGAAGAAGATGAAGTGCCTACATCCGGAGTTCTTTCTCTGCCTTTTATGGTAAGAATTAAGGTCACGAAACAGAAAAAGGTTTTAGAGAGACAAGAGCGAGAGAGTATCCTTATTGCACCCTGTTCTGGCATTTTCTTGCTGAATCATGTAAAACGGTGATTTAGTAAATATGATATAATCTTCCATTTTATTCTTTGGTAGAACCTGCATCTAATATATTTTCCCCCGGTTTGAAACAGGCACGAGGATTGAAAAAACGGAAGGATGAGGCTAATGAGGAAGCCAAACTTGCGCTTCAAGAGTATGAAGCCGCACTGGGTCAAAAACATGACTCAGCTGATACAAAAACAGCTGCGGGAAATGGAAGAAGGGTATTTGGAGGACCAACACAGAAGGTTGCTTTACCAACTAAGAAGAAGAATTTGAATGATAACTCCACCAACAGTGACAGTGAGGCCGAGTTTGAACCTGAAGAAAATATTGTTGATGAAAGAAGTGATGGGAGGCAGAAGGATGTTCGTGTCAGCTATTCCTTGCTTAATGAAGGCTCTGAGTCTAATCAGGAACCTCCATTCGCGGTTTGTTTATGTTTGCTTTCCTTATCTTTCGTAGTGTTCTGTGTTGCATGCTGCTTTTCTTGTTCAAACTTTTACTTGCAGTTTTGTCCTTATACAGCTTCTATAGCCTGATTCCATATGTTTTACAGGATTCTGAGAAGATGGCTGTGGATGCTGGCCCAAAGACGGCATATGAAGTTGCGATTTTTGCATCAAACACATGGAGAAAAGTATCTCTCCGTTCCCATTTCATGTGCTTTTATTTTGAATTATTATTGGCAAACTCAGTTTCTTCCTCATCTTCGATTATTTTCTCTTTTGACCTGCTGTTACTTTGTAGATGAGCGAGAAGAGTGAAGTGGAAGCCAGTACCAAAAAGGCTCCAACCGATGTTCAGTCTGTTGTGAAGAATAAACATCCAGAGGTAATACCTCCCTTTTTCATTGCTTGATTTTACTGGTTACTTTTTTATATAGTATAGTTTCTCACTCCCAGTGGATTTGAAAGGAAACCGGCGAGGAAAGTGATAGTGACGATGAAGCACAGATGATCGATGGGAACTTGTCATCAGGCCGTAGAGCAGCATATGAGCTGCCTTCTCAAGCAGAGCTTATCCATGAGGCTTTTGCTGGAGATGATGTGGAAGAGGAGTTTGCCAAATATAAGGATGAAGCATTAAGTAAAGAAAATCCCGAGCCAGAAAAGCCTGTTCTACTTCCTGGGTGGGGCCAATGGACTAATGTACAGAAAAGGAAAGGCTTGCCTTCATGGATGGAGGAAGAACATAAACTAGCTCAGCAGAAGAGAGACGAGGCTATTAAGAAAAGGAAGGATGCACATCTCAAGCATGTTGTTATATCTGAAAAGTTGGATAAAAAGGTTAGCATATCTCCATTGTTTTCTTTTATGTTCCCGTGTGTTAATACCCCTTCGTTCAGGCTGTTTTCTGGGCGTAAACATTTCGCCGATAAACTGACTATTGAACATTACAGGCTGAGAAACTACACACAAAGTCATTGCCTTTCCCTTTCACGTCCAAGGAAGTGTTCGAACAAAGCATCCGTATGCCAATTGGACCTGAGTTCAATCCTGCAACAGCCGTTGGAGCTCTTAACCGACCTGAGGTGAGTGACTATGTAATGCTTGAACATAATTTCCCTCATGCACTAAAGAGGTTTGGCTACAAATACGAGTCGGCGATAATCTGCTAACCACGTCATTATGCTACATTTCTCCCGTTGCAGGTGTTGAAGAAACCTGGAGTGATCATCAAGCCGATCAACTACGAGGATGTCGACCCACATGAGAAGGTGGTGCAGCATAAGCAAGGGGGTGACAAGAAGCAGCACAAGCGAAAACAACCACCCAAGTCGAAAACCGAGGGTAAGCGGCATAGAATGAAGCCGGTGATGGTGAAATCTTGAGAAATGGAGCAATTCGTATTCGGTTTTCTGTTTCATCCAGTTTTGGTAGAATCCCCTTGTACGTGCAATTTTTGCCAGGGCATAGTCATATGTGTCAAGATGTATTAGAATGACAGTGTACTGAATTTATTTGCAGTATATGTTCTCTTTTCTATGTTTTCGGCGATTATGCTCTGCTTTCAGCAAATCTCGTCAGTTTTGTCATGGTGGGAGTTGGTCACTGACTTCTATCAGTGGCACGAAACTACTCCTTTGTGTCTCCTATTCTCAGTCCTAAGGACAAGTTGCAGAGTCCCCATTTATTCGTTACCTCTGTGTAGAGGTGGCAAATGGATTGGATTTATAGATTGGTGGATTGGATTGGTGGATTTATAGATTGGTGGATTGGATTAATTGGATTCAATGGATTGGTGGATTGATCCATACATTCAAATGACTTTCAAGTCTTGGACTAAAATGTAAAATGTAAAAAATTTAGGTATTAAAATGTCATATAAAAAAATTTTAGATGCCAAAACGTAATTTTTCAATGATATTTTTAGTATCAAAATATAAACTTAAGGTTTCAAAATTTAAAATTAAAAAATTATGGATACCAAATATGTTGGTGAGATATAAAATCTAACAAATTTATGAATTACCAACAAGCGAATGATGAACTATTTACTCGATGCTCATAACTTCATAAGTTGCTAGTTGAGGTGGCTTGCTAGTCATACTATCGAGCCAGCTCATAGCTCAAAATGAGCTAGCTCACGAGTTGAGCTCAATAAGTCATTGAATCGAGCTGCTCACGTGCCTTGTGAGCCAAACATGGTTCAACTCAAGTTCCACTCATTAGTAAACGAACAAAGTGTCAAATGAGCTTTTTCCGAGCCAAACGTCGAGTGTGACTGTGAGCATGTTGGCTCATTCTGATGGACTGACAGAATTGCGTTGAAAAATTAATTTGTGCACAAATTATTCAACTCGATGAATGTTAGAGAGTGGTCATGTGTTCGAATCTCCACGATCCCCAATATTAACCGTTGTCTTTCAAGCACATGGTATGATGGGCCTGTGCAAATTTCAAGCCCATGGGTTGGCTTTCGTTTGAGGGGGCGTGTTAAAGAGTGGTATAAAATCCAACATAACCTTCTCCCAACAACTCGAGTTATTGGGACCAACTGATTTATCACCTTAGAAAATTATAATTCTGAACATTTTGACCTTCTTCCCATCATAATTCTATCGAATTCGTGAAACCCTTAGAATTATTTTCTTCTCGAATAAATGAAGTAGTCAAAATAAACTTTATGCATATATATTCTTCTATCTTAATTTTACTTCATTCTTTCGTATTCTTACCATGACGCCCATGCAAATGGGTTATATATTTTGTAATTGTTAATATACCTACATCGTTGTATTGATCGATACAGACTTCTCCCACATATGTGTATATCATATCGACCTAATTAGTAATTCGCAGTCTTTTGGGAAAAAAATCCAAAAGTACCACTGTTTAAAAAAAAAATCCAAAAATACCACCCAATCCCAAAAATTCCAAAAATACCATCATTTTTCAAAAACCGCCACCCCACCCTGCGGTTTACACGAAAACCGTTTGTCGGGGGCGCGGTTTTCTATGTAAACCGCGGGCCTAGGGGGCGGTTGTAAAAAAAAAATTGGACCAAACCGCTGGGTGGGGTGGCGGTTTGACCCAAAACCGCCACCCCACCCAGCGGTTTGGTCCAAAATGTTTTTTTTTTCCGATCAACTCCTAACTTCGGCCGAAACTTCAAACGAACGTAACTTTGCACTCGGATATCCGATCGATGCGATTTTTTTTTTCATTTCGCATAACTTTTCAAGATCTACAACTTTTAGTAGGATAAAATTTTCAAAACAGGAACTATTTGTGGATATACGGGACCTTGGGAATAACTTTACCTTTACTTTTCACAAAACCATTTACATTTTGAAATTATGATTATATTAAAAGTTGTAGATCTTGAAAAGTTATGTGGAATCAAAAAAAATTCATGACATTCGGATTTTGGAGCACAAAGTTCTGGCCGCCCAAAGTTTGACGAAATAAAAAAAAGGCTCGTTCGGGGTGGCAAATGACGTTTTTTCGAGACGAAGGCAGGACCCAACGGTTTGCGGCTTGCAAGATCTCAAAAAGTTATTCGGATTCAAAAAATGGGGGCCGCAAACTTTGTGAGATCTTGCAAGCCGCATACCGCCGGGTCTCGCATTTCGTCAAACTTTGGGCGGTCATAACTTTGTGCTCCAAAATCCGAATGTTATAATTTTTTTTTGATTCCGCATAACTTTTCAAGATCTACAACTTTTAATATAATCATAATTTCAAAATGTACATGTATTTGTGAAAAGTAAAGGTAAAGTTATTCTCAAGGTCCCGTATATCCACAAATAGTTCCTGTTTTGAAAATTTCATCCTTCTAAAAGTTGTAGATCTTGAAAAGTTATGCGAAATAAAAAAAAATCGCATCGATCGGATACCCGAGTGCAAAGTTACGTTCGTTTGAAGTTTCGGCCGAAGTTAGGAGTTGATCGAAAAAAAAAAAAAATTGGACCAAACCGCTGGGTGGGGTGGCGGTTTTGGGTCAAACCGCCACCCCACCCAGCGGTTTGGTCCAAATTTTTTTTTTATAACCGCCCCCTAGGCCCGCGGTTTGCATAGAAAACCGCGCCCCCGACAAACGGTTTTCGTGTAAACCGCATGGTGGGGTGGCGGTTTTTGAAAAAGGGTGGTATTTTTGGAATTTTTTGGGATTGGGTGGTATTTTTGGAATTTTTTTTTTAAACAGTGGTACTTTTGGATTTTTTCCAGTCTTTTGTGATATCAAATCAACATGTCGTGTGGTTGATGATGATTCGTTATAAAAAAAGTATATATATCCATTACTTCATTTTTTTTAATCATTATAGTAACACAATCCAGCTACATCATCCTTGTAACACAATCCAGCTGCATCTATATACCACTAGAAGCAAGAATTGAAATACTGTACCGGAGGTTGTACCGGAAAAGTCAGCGATAGGATATTTTATATTACAATCGTGGTTCAACCGCTTAATACCGCCGGTACGATATTTTCTGGTCAAACCGCCGATACGGTACGGTATTTCAATCCTTGATTAGAAGTTCTCATCCTTGTCTAGTATTTTCTGCCAGGGTTAATCACACGAATCATGTAGGAAAGAAGAACCAAGCATGAAACCAGGTTGGACTTGGTTAAACCCCTCGAGATATGGCATTGAAGAGGCTTTCAACTTACCATTCTCGTGAATGTAAGCTCAACACTATCTACGTGTTGGATTTGTATAATATGTTTGATACTAGAGGTCATTTTGGAGGTGCTGAAACTTGGTTAGTAGTTAGTGTATTTGGTTGCCCATTGAGAAAAGCATAAGAAAAGGGAGGCTAATGGGTGAGCTAAAGAGGCTCAAAGAGGTGTATTTTTAGATCTTAGTTTAAGATATTGGAGGAAAACTAAACGTGATTGTTTAGAGTGTGATGTCGGTCGGTGGTGTGCGTTTATCATTATCGGTTGACAACTCAAGCTTGTTATTCGAATATCCTTCATTGGACAATTTTGTTTAGAGCTTTCGTATTCATACCCAACTCGGTTTTCGCTAGACAGTCCTCAAATTCTCCTGTGGTTGAACCTCGACCTCGAATCGCTCTTTCTTCCAGTCAACGTCTTCATTGAAGCATACATGATACACCAAGCGATTCAGTTTGTTCCTTTTGTGAAATTTTATTGTATTCGGCTTTAGATTCAGTTCGAAGTGGATTGCATAGCATCAATTGTAAATTCTCCTACGTGCTTGCACAATTTTTACCCCCTTATTTTGTTATGCGAACTTGTAGTAAGAATCATATCGCGGATTTCTAGAAATGGATGTCATAGCAAGCCAGTCCTTTATCCTTTCATCATTTTCAAATATATATCTTGGGACTAGCAAAGTTAAGTCAACGTTGCGAATCTATTATGTGTATGGATTATCAAAATTGAAAAAAGTTTACAAGCTATTTTTAGTTTCTATTTTTCGTTCCATGTTGATAAAAATGACTGGATGGTTACATGGTTGATGATTGTATACAAGCAATAATGAACTAAAATATAAATTTCATCTCTATTAATAATAGTCAAAATTTTCATTCCAAAATTAAAGAATGAAATGATGAACAGATGGAGAAATTCGAAATATAAATAAATCAGTGGCAGATTTTAACGCTTTTGTTGGGCCAATCCAAACCTAGCCTATGCCATTTGCCAACCCTTTTCATCTTCGAGCCCATATCCAATCACAGAAACTTAGGTATCGTTTGGAAGTTGCGATTGTTTTGTTGAGATTGTCATTATGTATGTATTGTTTACAATCGTTTTTTTAGCGGAAACAATACATGGATTGTTTCTATGACGTGACAGAAACTATCACTCATTTTGAGTGATTGTTATATCTCAACTTTTAGTTGTGATTGTTGAGATAGTTGAGTTGAGATTGTTTTGTCTCAACTTTTAGCTGATGCGACATACACAATCACACATACCAAACGTTGTATTCTACAATGCATCAAATTCGACAATACATGTATAATATTATACATGCATTCTCAACAAAAAATCTATTTAACAATCGCAAATTCCAAACGACACCTTACATTTTCGTGACGTCCACAGACCTTTCAAGACCACAAAGTTCAATCCAAGATAGACCTAGACGCCACGTGGCAAGAACCCATTAGTCCCAGTCGTCCATATGGGATAAGGAAATGGATGATTGTGGCCTCCCTGAACTGAAATCTCAATAGCCAACAATTCCCTACCCTTTAACCATACTTTCCCACTCAAAAATCTCCCTACCCTTTACCCATTTGAGAATTTGAGTTTGCCATCCAAAACCCTTCTACCAAAGAAATGGCGTCAATGACCATGGCAGCATCTTTCCTAGCTGGATCCACCATGATCGCCAAGCCCATGACAGCTCCACGCAGAGGCCTGATCATGGCGGCCAAGGCATCATCATCATCATCCAATGATGTGGAGATCAAGAACAACAAGAAGGAAGAGAGCAACAACGGAAGGAGGGACTTGATGTTCGGAGCTGCTGCAGCAGCAGCTTACTCCATCGCCAGAGCTGCCATGGCCGATGAAGATGAGCCCAAGAGAGGTACCCCACAGGCCAAGAAGAAGTATGCCCCTGTTTGTGTCACCAATCCCACTGCTCGCATCTGTCGCTACTGATGTAAAAATAGAGATGTCAGCTTTGCATCTCTCTCTCCCTCTCTCTTCTTTTGAGTTGCTGCAGAAATGCTTTGATTTGATGAACTATTGATGTTCGCTGCTTTAATGTAAGAAACTACGAGTTCGTGGTTGGCTGTATGCATGTATGTACACTTTGAACAATCACTCTTCGTAATCTCCATCATTTCCTTTTCCTTGACTGCTCTGTTTTGGGATAATCAAGTTGTCCCTCTCGGCTGCAGTATCCTTTGGCGATTGAATCCATCATCTTTAATCTTTCTCAAAGTTGATTACTTTGTGCTACCGTGAGCTGTATTGATACAGTTGAGTTAGAGATGCAATTAGATGCAATGCAATGGTACCACGCATAAGTTTCATGTTACAGTTGGGTGCAGTCAGCTGTAAACATTAGCTATGACTGTGTCTTATTCAATCAGTGGGCACCAATGGACTCTACTCCGATCGCTTCTAGTAATTTTATCCTTGATGTGTGGCTGTCAAAGTTTAACGATCATTCCTTGGAAGAAGTTTAATGTGCTGAATTGTCCTCAGTTGTAAGGTCTGCTCTTGCTTAGAACTGGATTGAATGGATATGAGACAAGATGGTCCACTATAGAACTGGATCTACTCGGACAGTCGGACTCATCAAAAACTAAGGAAACTTTCCGGATCAAAATCATATAAAAAAGTATATTTGATATAGAAAGGGAGGCATTTCAGCTCAAGAAAAGATTAACACACTCTTGATTCAAAGGTAAGAGAGATTAAAGACCACATAATCTCCCGCCAAATCAGTTTTGAGTACATGGCTAGCTCTCGCTATTATTCATAGACACTCTAGGTAGGAAGACAGGTCCGAAGGAAAAGCCTGTACAGCTAAAGCACAAAAATGGGATACAAAATGGCTATCCAAAATCCAGAACCAGGTTTGTTGATTCTCATAAACAAACTGTGCTTATCAAAACCAGGAAGATCTCAGGTTCGCGCTTGGAACCAACCCTTCTGCTGACAGAGTTATTCTGCTTTACCGTTCTCCTGGGCAGCAACGTAACTGCGAACAATTTCCATAGCCAACTGATGAGCAGTCTTGTTCTGCAGCTTAGCTAGTCCGTCCATCTTATCGTACGTATCCTTGTCTGAGAACAGCCTCAAGTTGTACCTGGTTGGTGCAGCTTCCATGCCTTCCCATTTGTCCACCCACTCTTGCAGTTTCTCGAATCCCTGGAAACAGGTGGTCGGCGTCAAAAGAGTGTCTACCAATGCAGATAGCAAGGTTCACAAATAGGGAATCGATTAGTAGCTTACCACTCGGTTTGTGAAGTCGCCAAATGATTCCTTGGATTGTCTTCTCCGCTTCCAGTGATAGAACAGAGGCTCAAAGACATTTTCAAGGTCTTGAACTTTGACCTTGTTCAAGAATGTTCTAGCTAACACCGTTTGGTTTGGAGCTCCCCCCAGCCAGATCTGTTTCAACAGAACAATGTCCAAGTTCGGTTCTTTGAGTGACAAGAAGAAAGAAGCATGGAACAAACTTGAACAAAGATATAACCTGGTAGCTGTTGGGACCATCTCCAACAAGTCCAAGTTCAGCCATGTATGGTCTGGCACAGCCATTAGGACAGCCAGTCACTCTTATTACCACAGACTCGTTGTACTTCAGACCGACCTGAAAAACAATTTAACAGATAATTTAGTTGGATATATTGGCATAGTAATACTTGCCATAACAAAAAATTGAAGACATATAATATTCATTTATAAAGACATTGAACCGAAGACCCAATTACACTTCGGCAACTAGCTCAGATTGGGATCTTACTACAACAGAACTTCAACAAGTGAGTGCCAAGTTTAGATGTCTGATGAACTAGTTCAGCAAGCCAAGCTAAAGTACCTTTTCAAACACAGCTCTAACACGTTTCAGGATATCAGGTATCCCACGTTCAGCTTCAGTTATGGCCAATGGGCAAAGCGGGAAAGCTGGACATGCCATGGCTGTCAAGTTGAGCGGGTCAACATATTTTGGTTGCTGTCAATGTTAATGAGAATTGTCAGAAACCCGAACAATAGAAATACGAATTGGAAACCGAAACATCACATGTGAATGGCCTGAATATCTTACCAGCAAGCCAGCTTGAGCCAGAGTTGTGGTAATAGGGCGCTTCCATGCTTTCTTTATCCCACACAAGATTATGTTCTGGTTTGCTGTGATACGAACATCCAAGTTGTACTTCTCTATCACCTCCCTCAATGTCGTCTTCATTTTTCCTCCAACTCGGCCATTGTCCACATGCAGGCCACAGAATAATGCACCATCTCCCTAGGTTTTCACAACCCATCAGAATACATACATAATGTGGGGAAAAAGGACAGAGCTCGTGTGAGAATAAATGAACAGCAATAGGGACAAACCTGCTCATGCCATCCCAAGTGACTCTTAAACTCCCACTCAGGCAATTCGCGGAATTGCTCGAATTTCTTCCCATAGTATTGCTCAACAACATCCCGGAACTTTTCGATCCCCCATGAGTCGATCAAATACTTCATTCGACTGTACCTCCGGTCATCTCTCCTACCGTTCTCTCTCTGAGTAACAACAATAGCTTTAATTGCATACAATATGTCCTCTTTTGGCACATACCCTAATGGATCAGCTAATCGGGGAAATGTACTCTCCATCCTATGGGTTCTTCCCATGCCACCACCAACCTGAAACAAAACCGCACGTTATCAAATACAGAGTTCGCGACATTCTTAACAAAGCAATTAGTCTATTAAATTGATTCAATCTTACATAGATATTGAAACCCTGAGGCTCGCCATTCTCATCACTAACCACAACCACACCAATGTCATTCGTCAGAATATCCACAGAGTTATCCCCCGGCACAGTAACCGCAATCTTGAACTTCCTAGGCAAGAACTGAGTCCCGTAGATTGGTTCAGGCGAATCAGGAAAATTCGTCCCATGAGAATTATCATTCCTAGCCTTCACCACCTCAGGAGCCTCAGCAGTCATGAACTTCTCCCCATCAACCCACATATCATAGTAGAAGCCGGACTGTGGAGTCAGCAGGGCAGCAATATCCTCAGCAGTCTGCTGAGCAAACAGATAGTCCTTTTTCGCCAACGGAGCAGGCGGAGCAAGAACATTTCTATTAAGATCTCCACAAGCTCCAAGTGTCGACCCCATGCTGTGAATGATGCTGCTCATCACAGTCTTGAGGTCTTTCTTCACAACTCCATGGAGCTGGAACGTCTGTCTGGTGGTTAGGCGAAGAGTCCCGATCCCGAATTGATCCGCGAGATCGTCCATGGTTAAGTAGAGCTTGTTGGGAACCTTGCCACAAGGGTTCTTGGTACGAAGCATAAAGGAATAAGATCTCCCACCTCTTTCTTCACGGTTGTACTGCTGGTAGCTCCCATGGAACTTGATGAGCTGAACCGCGCTCTCGTTAACATTGGGAGCCTCTGTCAATAGCTCTTCGTTGAGCGGGTATCTTATGAAATTGCTGTGCTCTTTGATGATCTCGACCTTGCTCCGCTTAGTCTCGGTCGCAGGCTTCACCGGCTGCAAATCGTGAACCAAATTCGTTCATTTCCCAGTTCCCAAACAGCAAAATGAACATGAAAAGAATGCAAAGATTCCATCTTCATTGCATCCAAGGCAGTAATGTCGACAGAGAAATACATTCAAGCGCAAAAGTAAACCCATCTTCGATCAAATTGAAAAACCCAGAAAGCAGAAACAAAAAGGGAAAACCGAAAAAGAGAAGGGCGAGGGAATCTTACGGTGGAGACAGCTTTGATGGTGGAAAGGCGCCGGGGAGAATGAAGCGAGAAGACACTGAAATGTCTGGTGAGAGCGAGGGAATTAGAGGAGGAAGAAGAAGAGCTCCTCAACCCGTCGAAGCTCCGAAGCTGAATCGCGGGTTCCTTCAACGTCGCCGTCGTATTGGCAGCTCCGAACGTCGCCGCCGCCATAGGAGCGAGTGGAGGAGGAATGGATTAGCGAAAGACAGGAAATGGAAGAGGGGAAAGCGAAAGCCGAAGAGTGTGGCTGTCGAAGTGGGTAAATATATATCTGGCTCCATGTGGAATCTTCACGTGCATGACACGAGTACCTTCTCCACACGCGCCGCCAGGGGCCAGGCTCGAACAAGTGGCAAACCACGAACAGAGGCGGCGGCGCGTGAATACAGAGTATAGGCAGTGTGGCAGACATGCGAAATCCAAATTGGATTCTGTGTAACATTGAACATGGACGCTATTCCGTACTCTCTTAAATGGGCCGCGAGCCCAATTAGAGAATCGGGTCAAACCGCAGATGAAAACGGCCGTTGGCTGCCACAAAGGGATCAGAGTGGAAGAAAGTTTGGCTCTTCACTCTGCATGTTCATGATAGACGAACAAAAACCAGTGAGAGAAAATTTTGGACGTTTCTATTGTTTCAACCTACATATTCGGATAAATCGATTTATTTCAATGCATTCATATATCGATTTAAATAAACATATGTTCTATTTCGGTTATTAGTTACATAACGAACTGATTTAATCAACCAGTCGCTATGTTTCGGCCGTTACATTGCATAATGCATATCTACTTGGTAGTTGTCATTCCATAACGATTTAATCAACCATTGGCTCTAGCTTTATTGTATATGTCAAGTACCATTGGAGGTTCTACCTTGTGTTGACTAATGAGAGCTACCACCCTTAGGGGTGTCAGTTCGGGTCGGGTTCGGTTACCCGAACCGAAACCCGAAAACCCAAAACCGAAAATTCCTGAAATTGAACCCAAACTCGATAAGGATTTGCGGGTTCCGATTATCCGAAACCCGAAAAATTCATTATCGGGTTCGGGTTCGGTTAAAGCAAAACCGAAACCCGAAAACCCGAACGCCTAAGAATACATACTGAGTTCTATTCATTGGAGGTTTTTAGCCGGAACCCGAAAAACCGATAAGCAAAACCGAACCCGAAACCGAAAAAACCGAAACCCGAAACGAACCCGAACCCGAAAAACCGAAATGTATATAATTGGGTCGGTTTAGGGTAAACCCAAAAAACCGAACCCGAATGGACACCCCTAACCACCCTGACATCAGAACAAGCTTCTAGTCCTTGTTGAACTGAATTCAAATCGATGGAGTTCCTAGGGGTTTCTTGTTTCCATCCATGTAAACTTAGAACAAGAACCTTATCTTGCATGAAGTGGGATTGCAAGAACATGAAGAGAGCATAAGAATGTAGTTAATAAAGGAGTTTACTTCCTGAGAATGGGACTGTAGGTCTGAAGCCATGTTCCCCAATCCCACCAAAAGATCAAAGACCTCAACTTTCACATACAACCCGGTAAAGGGCCAAAATGGTGACTAGACTACTACTACCGGTTCTTTTGTGGGCTATATCTACACAAGACATTAGACATATACCTAGCTTAGCTACTAGCCTATTACCTTTCATCTCCACTGTTAATTCTTTTGTTCTCTCCATTTTGCTCTCATTTGCTTGCCTGCCTGCCTCCCTTTGGTCTGAAAGGATTGTCAATCAACATTCTCAGAAACCACACCTTCAGATTCATGTGAAACATGTCCATCACTGTCACCTGATAACTCATCCAAATCTCCTTCACTGGTCACTTCTTCTGCTGAATCTTTGACTCTTTTTTTGGACTTGGGTTCGTGTTGCACGATCTTGAAATCCTCATGGGGCAGAACTTGCAGCTCGAATTTCTCTTTCTTCAAGTCAAGATCTTCCTTATCACCATCATCGTACACAACATGATGCAGCTTCTTCCTTCTGTGAAAGCTTTCAATCTTTCCGGTGAACCATCTCCTTGATCCGGACCAATACACTTTCACCCTTTTCCCCACAATCCTTTTATCATCCTTGTCATCCAAGTTCACCATTCGAAACACAGGCACCAGTTTTCTAGGACGAAACCTTGACGGTGGTGGTGCCGAGTTACCCTTTGCTGAGGACAGATATGAACTTACTATCTCAGCATCTGCTCCTCTCCTCTTTTTCTTCTGATTCGGGTGCGGAGTTTTCAGCACCTTCTCTGGAGCTGCTCCCCTGGTAACTTGATCATTCCTTTCCACCAGACCCCTCTTCTTGTTCTTCTTCTGATAATAATTCAATGTTGGAGTAGTCAGCAACTTCTCTCTGTCACCACCAGCAACTTCTTCCTCATTCAGTTTGTTCTTCTTTGGCTTGTTCTTGGGTGACACTGCTGCTCCTGCAGGCTTCTCCTTCTCCTTCACATTGTTACGGCGGCCTCTTAGTTTGTACGTCTTTATCAGTGCGTTCTCATCCCTCGGCTTGGTTGCAGCTTCTTCCCCAGTCACTTGATCATTCAATTCCACCACTGCCACTCCATGAGCTATGACACCATCTTGAGAAACTGGCCTCTTCTCTTCCATCTGAATAACACTAAGAAAATGCACGCGATAAAGGAGATGCTTGAGCATCCTAAAGAATGGTATCCATGAAGCCCAAATTGAAAACAAATGCCTGCAAATGCTGTTCTACGTACGTATAAAGCAACTAGACTGCTTGAAACAAGAAGTAACCAAAATTCTCCGAGTTATCAGACATTGCTAACACTCCAAGTTATCAGAAAATGCATGTAAAGCAACTGGACAGTATGCAACAAGTAAACAGATTCTTCAAGTTATCAGATCTTGGTAACATTCCCGACCCTATATGCCCCTGAAACTTTACATTTGGGTAGAGGCTAGAGGGTTTTAGGAAAGGCTGTTCAGTGAGACACATGAAAGAGGAAGAACCCAAAAGCAACCTCTTTTTTGCGGCGGTTTGACAGTTTGAAACAAGAAGTACCCAAAATTCTTCAAGTTATCAGACCTTGCTAACACTCCAAGTTATCAGAAAATGCATGCGAACAAAAGAGAAGGATACCCTAGCATCCTTTAGAATGGTACCGAAGCCCAAATTGACAACAATGCCAGCAAATGATGTTCAATGATACACAAGGAAACACTCAAACATATGAAGCAATTCGACAGTTTGCAAAAGGAGGTTATCATACCTTGCCGTTCCAAACCCTATATGGCCATGAAACTTCACATTTGGGAAGATGCTCGAGGTTTTAAGGAAAGGTTGTTCAGTGAGACACATGGAAGAGGAAGAACCCGAAAGCAAACTCTTTACTGTGACTCAAGCCCCCAAAACCCCAGAGAAAACGCCTCTAAAATGGGTTTACTATGCTGTCAAAACCTAGGTTTTCATGGAATCGAAACAGGTGTAAATGCAAGAATTTCAGGCAGATACGGGTTCAAACAAATGGAATCTGCTAAAATGAGGAACCTACACTCTCAAACCCTACAGAAAAGACCCTAGTTCCAGAGCAACATTCTGGAAAACCTACACTCTCAAACTCACTCCATAGCTTCAAGCATCAACAATGAGGAACCCGGTAATAAACAATATGCAGGGCATTCATCAGTAAGAGCCGAAGGAAAGCAAGAAAATTGGAAAAAATGGATGGAAACAACAGAAAACCAACCTGATAAAGCTTGCTCCTTTTCCGCTAGAAGCCTAGAACTGCGCCTCTAAACCCCTAACCCAGAGAAAAGACCTCTGTCTTCTGGGTCTCTCAGAGAAAAGGAACCCAACGGGGGAGCAGAGGAGGAGCCAAATTCCCAAAAAGACCCCGGCTTTGGTACTGCTTGGCAACCACGAACACAACAAGACAGGTCCCGTATTCTGTGTGAGAGGTTTGAAAACTGTGAACTGTGGCAGACCTGGCAGCCTTTGCGTGGAGTTAATCCTCTTGAGGGGTGTTTTGGGGAACTTGAAAGTGAATTTGGCAAAGGCTGTGACTGTGAGGCACATCATCAGTCACTGAAGTGGCGGGAAAGGTGATGAGGTATGCCAAGTGGACGCCTTGACTATGTTCTTGTAACACTCCTGTAACATTAGCGGGTCACCGAAAGCAGGGTCAACCAGGCAAACTGAAGGAATGACAGCTTGTTTTTATTCATCAGTGATTGTAGCAGAAGTGAGCTTCAATGCTCTGTGGCACTACGATATCAGCCACCGATGATCTTTCTTAGATGTCATGTTTAGATTCGTTTGATAGTGTTGATTTTGTGATATTCTAGTCGGATTAGGATTAGGTTCATACTTATGCGACGTAAAAAAGATCAGGTGACTAAATCGTTGCTTAACTGACACTCTTCATCAAAATGGAATCCAAATTCTTGAACTGTACTGGTAGAAAACTAGAAATAATCAAACTCAAAATCAAAACTTAATGCTCTTGGATGAATGAGAGTATGTGTGCCAACAATGGGCAATAAATGAATGGTGATCAGTAGGATAGAAAGAACAATAAGCATAACCAACTGAAATTGTCGAAATAATGTATTTACAACCACCAACTTGTGAATTCTGTTGATGTCCACTACTCACTCACTCAACAGATTTCCCCATCCAAAAAATCATCTTTGATTTTTCTGCATTTCTACATAACTCTCTTAACAAAATAATTCTGCACAAACTCATCAGAATGACCAAACAAACAAAAGAATAGTAGTGCTAATATCACTCTATTTGCTCTTTCAACTGCCTATCATCCCCAAATGATCCTCCCCCAAGGAGTAATATGAATGGAAGAAAAAATGATGAAGTAATACCAGCAAGTTTAGAGAGAACCAAACAAAAAATATTTCCCCCCTTTTCCTTTGGGACACAAGGTGGGTTTTCCTTTCCTCCTGATTTGTGCCTAACTAGCTACCTGCAAAGAACCATCTCTCATCAACTTCAGGCTTAGGTTGTTGAATCTTTCCCTCGAGTATTGCCTCGATGCTTTTCTCCAGTCTGTGCCTGATTTCATCATCGTTGCAAACTCCTCATAGCTTATTCGCCCATCCTGCAAGAGAACCCCTCCAGATGTCAATTTCATCTTCACGCTAACTATATGCTATAGCCTTTTACGACTGGTGGGTTTTGCAACAAAATCAAACCTTGTCAGTGTCAACGTCTTGCATGATAGCAATCAGAACGTCCTCACTACATGTGTCTATGTCATCATTCAAGGCTTCTCTCAACTCCTCCATCTCGATGTAACCACTCTTATTTTGATCAAAGAATCCAAAGGCTTTGTGCAGATGCTCGTCGTTTCCCATCTTTTTTATGTGAATGGTAACCGCGACAAACTCTCCATAGTTTAGAGTTCCATCACCATCAATGTCAGCCTAAAGAAGAATGAAAAAGGTAAAGTTAGCCCTTCTGTCAAACATATACAAGAGTTATTTGTTCATTTTGGAAGAGTTGAATATGAAGAGAATACTTACACCTTCCATAAGAATTTGAAGATCAGGATCAGTAATCTGTTGGCCGAGCTTTTGCAATCCAACTCTAAGCTGATCAATGTTAATCCTGCCCTTTTTGGTAGTGTCCATCATGTCAAATGCCTCCTTTATGCCAGCCACTTCCTCTGATGATAAGTGCTCGGCTATCACCTACAAATGAACAGCTCAAAACTATGAGTGGAAGCACCACAAATAACAAAGTTTTGAAGCAACTGTTTGAACAGATCGTATTATTGAGTTAGTTCAATGATGAACAGTTCAAAACTACATAGCCAAATTAGTAGATAATAATTACCCTCAAAGCTCTCTTCTTGAGTTTGTTCATCATTGAAAACTGTTTGAGCCTTGTTCTCACAGTCTCACCCAATGGGACATTCGAAGCCTTCTTAGCATTCTGTAGCCAAGTGTGATCTGGAAACAGGAAGATGAAACAAGTGAACCCATGCGGCTAAGGCAAAAATTAAGTTGTGGAACAGTACCGATCAACAAGCATAACCATACCAAACACTTGCTGAGCTGTGAGGCGCTGTTTAGGATCAGGATTGAGCATCTTCCTCACTAGATCCTTTGCATTATCTGAAACTTTAGGCCATGGATCCCTCTTGAAATCTATGACAGATCGTATTATTGCTTGTGCTACGCCCTGCTCCGTTTCTGTATGAACAAGCAAAGTAGTTTCTTAGGATTAAAATTTAAAATCAACAACTAAAACAGTTTTCAAAGCAAATGGAGACTAGCAATGATAACATGATGAAGCACTTGTAATGTTCTACATGCCTCATAGATAAAGATATGTTAACATTTGAGTTCCAAGAACAAACCTGCCCAAAAGGGTGGCACTCCACAAAGCAGAATGTAGAGGATAACTCCAGCACTCCACACATCAACTTCTGGGCCATAATTACGTTTCAGGACCTCAGGAGCCATATAATAAGGACTTCCCACTATCTCATTAAACCTCTCTCCTATAGAAACAACAAAAGCACACATTCAAGCCATTAGAATCATCAAAATAACATGCTGCATCGAGATCACAACCCAAAATCCGTAGCATATAGTATCATACATACAGTACAATACCAGATTTAAAGAAGACGGACAACCCAAAATCGATCGCCTTTAATGCAGACGTCTCCTTCTTATTTTCAAACAGGAAGTTCTCAGGCTTGAGATCACGGTGCATCACCCCATGCTTATGACACATCTATCGGCATAGATACAAGAATTCATAATCAGTTACCTTTGACCAAGCTATATGATGAATAACAAGCTGGTCAAGACTAAACTAACCTGAACAACTTCAACAATCGTACGCATAACAGCAGCTGCTTCCCTCTCAGTGTAATGCCCCCTCGAAACAATCCTATCGAAAAGCTCCCCTCCCTCGCAAAGCTCCATCACAATGTGAACATCACTATCATCCTCGTACGTGTCCTTAATCGAGACGATGTTGGGATGGTGTGGCAAATGCTTCATGATCTCCACCTCCCTCCTCACATCTTCAATATCAATTGCAGTTCTCAGCTTCTTCTTCGAGATCGATTTGCAGGCGTACTTATTATCAGTGCTCGTTTCAGTAGCCAAATACGTGATCCCAAACTCTCCTCGGCCAAGCTCCCGCCCCAGATCATAGTTAGCTGAGATGTCGCGTCCTGTGGGCTCTTTCAATACCTGGAGCTTCTCGTTAGATCCATTGACGACGTAGTCAGTCTCGAATGATGGGTTGCTGCCTTTGTTCTTGTTCTTGGCTTTATCTTGTTTGTTCTTTCTCCCAGGGGATCCATGGGGAGAACTGTTACTACCAGGGCTTGCGCAGCAGTTCCCCATGTCGATCCCAAAATCTCGGCAACAGCAGCAGCAGCAAGCAAAAGTTCAAACCTTTCTGAACTAATATGCAGAAAACAGAATCTGAAAAATCACCATGAAGCCAAAGCAAGAAGAACAAATAGAACTATCAAGAATATGGAATCCCCACAACCAGGTCTTTGATTCCAAGAGGGACACCCCCTCAAAATGCTGAGATTTGACATCAAATTGAAACAACCATACATCAATATCCAATAACTAAATCCACATCAGGCACCAAAAACCCAGAGATGAAATGGCAGCACCACCTTTCTGAACAAATCTTTTTTTATGCATGAGAATTGCTCTCTCTAGAAAAAAACACACACACACAGTCTCTCTCTTGGGATTCAAAGATGAATTCATGATGCAAGCAAGGATACAGAAACGAAATATGCAAAAACAATTCAATTTGTTTACCCTTTTCTCTGTTGTGTTCACTTCTTCATTTGTTTACTTCCTTCCCTCCCTGTTCTCGCTTTCTTTCCCTCTGCCCTAAACATTAGTTTTACACAAATGGGAAAGGAAGAAAGGGCAATCCTCTCTCTCCCCCCAATTAATTTCTCCCTCTTACCGAGAGAAAATTTAAATATGAATTTGCAAACTTTTTTTACAAAGATACTCAAACCATGGAAGGGGACTGGCTTCTAAATTTGGGTTTTTCTTGTTACAAGTGGGTTGTTAGTGATGTTTTGGTTAAATGACAAAGCATTGTAAAAAAAAAAAAAGAAGGTTAAATGACAAAGCCAGAATTAAGAGCGAGTAAGTATAATCAAATTTGATGATTGAACTTAAATTTTGGAGGGATGGAAAGTCGGGCTTAATATAGCATTGATTTGGTCATACTACTTTTTAATGTTTCTCACCTGTCCAAATGGCTGGAGGAACGAGGGAGCTTTCTTTCCTTTTACCCCTTTAAGCAGCTAAAATGAGGGGATGGTGGCTGGTGGTGGGTGGAGTTTGGAGAAGGAAAGATCAAATCTTTAACCAAATCCCCCGAGTGATTAGGCTACAAAAATGCGAGGAAAATATGTTTTGGAACGATAGGTATATGTTTCGATCGAAATCAAGATTTGCATTGCATGATAACTTGATTCACAATTGAGCTGGATTCGATTGAATTGCAATATAGTGTGTAGGTAATTGAAAGTTTGGTCCTTTTTGCAATTGCCTGTCTTTTCTAGAAATTGGTTCACGTATGGTTGGAAACCAATGCATTTGAATATCCTTATGGAGATAGAATAAATGATGGTTGACAAGTTACTCAAGTGCTTCTAGTTGCATTATCTTTTGTGTTGGGCAGAGCATGCATGAGCGAATGGGCAAGTTATGTTCATTGATCAAGTTATAAAATTTTGTATCTGATGCATATGGATCATATGGGTATTGCAACATTTGGTGAATGTGTTAATATAGGAACCGTTTGGAATTATCTCAGAGTCATGTATAATCTAGATTATCGACACTGAGTTGGGCATGTAATGCAATGTTTACGAAGCTCATTTGCCATGTTAGTTTGAGATCTTACAACCTCTCCACCAATATATCCGACCAAGCCAATTCTCCTTTGTTTTACATTGTGTTATGTCGAGTGCAATTGGTGTGACTATAGATCATTTAGATCCATTGATTTCTTTTACTAGTCAAAATGGACAGAGTTGATTGTTACCGTTCTCAATTACTATTGAGCAATTCACAAAATTTGTAAAAGAGTGGAAGATTATGGCGACCTTTCACTTTTCGCACACCATAGAGAGAGTGATTCTTCATGAAATCGTTCACAAACAACAATGAACCATCGCCATAATGTGTAGGTATACTCAACCATTCACAAAATTTGCAAAAAGGAGGGGAAATTTTGATAATGCTTATGAATTGAAACCACGAGTTGGTATTTTACGTCAAGAAGAGGAGAGATTGAAACTGTGGACATGAGACTGAAGTGACAATTCAAGCATTTGCAACTTATAAGGCCAAGGGTTAGAGTTGTCACTGCTTATTTAGTCTAATCGAGGCACAGTTGATTTCATCGGTTGCTCCTTGGTGGACATCCGATAAAATTTATAATTTCAGTTACGTAAAGGCCAATAGATCGACAAGGATCAACTAATCGACTTTGAAATCAAATTAATCTATAACCACGATTCGAGAACACTTGCTTATAGAATTCTCTGAAAAATGCTGCTAATCTAGACAAAGTAGTCACCAAATCACCAATAAGTAATCAAACTCATCACACCATAAACAGTTACTTGTTACTCAAGGCAACGTTCAAGTACCTCTCATATTTCCATTCCAACAACAAAACTTAAACAACTTCTAAACCCTAAACATGCAATCGAGTTATACGATTCATCACATTCTCCCTCACCTTCTCCACAGCTCCCACAAACTCCTCCAGCTCTTCCAAACCCATCTCCTCCACCTTCTCCTCCTCCCACCAGAACGTCCCCCGGCCGCCGCCGCCGCCGTAGCGGCGGAGGACGGAGTCGGCGTCAGGGTAACCGCAGGGGAAGACCTTCCCGCCGGGGGAGAATGCGATGACTGCCACGTGGGCTCCGTACAGGAGCCCGAGCTCGCTGGCTTTCTTGAAAAGACCTTTCCTGCGCTTGCTGAACGTGACCTGAAGCTGGCTCTTGTCCTCTATCTTCCTTATGGGTATTTTCTGCCGCCCTTTGGTTGCTTTCTGCAGCTTCTTCTTTACCGGCGATCTATCGTCGGCGGCGGCGGGGATCGTCATCGCATTCTCCTCCTCCGCCATGGTTTGCTGATGACAGAAGGGAATCTTTATATATATCCAGTAGAAAGTAGAAAAGGAAGTCGGGAAGTTAAAATATAATATATGTACACTCTATATATTAATTAGCCGAAAAGTCAGGACAAATTTCCGAGATTTTCTATTCAATTGATTTTGTTTCCTATTCTTTGAACTTTTTTTTCTCCCTATTTTGTATACTAACTTCCATTACTTCGAATTCTGTAAGAATTACTAGTTGGAGCTGTGCATGGACTGAAAATCGTATGAGATTTGAGGGTTAGGAAAGTAGTTCTGCATACTGATTCACGTTAAAGTCGTTCAATTGATAGAGACCGGTATGCTTAGTCACCCGCATTATATTTATGTGAATGAAATTCGGCGTATGTTAGTTTTAGGTTGACACGATTTCTTATTGATTATGTTTTTCGGGAGGGTAGCTATGCGGTGAACTATTTAGCTACTCTAGGTCATCAAATGGTCTGCGAATAGGCGAGTACATTTTTCCTTCCCCTAATCTTTCGTTGGGTGTAATCTTACACGCAGTCACCACAAATCGAGCAACCCAGACATAAGATCAGATCGGCTCAAATGCTACTCAAGTATATTATTATGCATCAACGAGTTGATGGCGTGGATCGAACACAGGTCTTTAATATCTCGAACCAACATCCCCACCAGCTGAGCAACTCATGAACTACACCATTGAAAGAGTTTTGGTCAACCCTTTTAAGTTCAATCTCCTTCCTTGGCTTCCCAACAACTTCCCATCTACTAACCAATCCACTAACATTTGAAAGCAACACATAGTTCATATGATTTGAGGGCTCCAAGTCTATCAAATTCCTGCCAATAACTTCATCCACCACCTCCACATTCCCATGTATTTCTCCACAGGCACTAAGCAGGGCTCTCCAACAATCACAAATGCATCTCGTAACAACCTCCAAGTTGGCATGGAAGAGAGGTAATAATGAATCTTTTCATTATATATACCATTTCTCACAATCATCTCTATATATGTGTAAGCATAATTACAGGAACCCTTCAGGGGTTAATGGCTGCATCAACTACATAACTCTGTACCGAGATGGTTCCATTTCCACCCTGATTGTAGCTCCAGGGGTTAGCTCTGGTCCATCTATGGCTGGCTTTATCACAGTGAGGAACAGTACATTGTAGAAGATGCTGAAGGCAAATAGAACCACTACAAGATATGGAACCACAGTAACTGGAATCTCTCTGAACTCTTCCTTCACTTGCTCCCTTGTAATCTTCACTTCTGAAGCTGCTCCCACCAAAACACAAGATTTACAGTCTCAACAACAGAAGAAACAGAGGAAAAATTGCAGACATTGGAGAACACAGCAGAGAGAAAAATTATGCCCCAATTGGCCAATTCCATCTCTCTATGTAGAACTCCAAATCCCCATTAACTTTGGAGGTGAAATTTCGGATAAAGCTTGTGACTTTACTCCAAAATTGACAGAAAGTTGTGAACTTTTTTTTTTACTCCAAGCTACAGTGTTGTTACCTTTAACTTTTGGAGGGGAGACTTGCTTTGTGGAGAGTTCTTGGAGCTGCTGATCAAGTTTCTGCAGGGCTTGCTTAGCCTGATCTGGGTCTATCTCATATTGCTCTTCTTGTTGTTCTTGAGAGTTCTTCTTCTCCACAGCATGAACAGCAACCCAATACTTTGAAGAGCATGACTTTCTTCTAATGACTCTGTTGAAGAAGATTCCACTAGCTGGGGAAGCTTCAATGAAGTTTAGAGGCTTGTGATTGGGTGGGAAGGAGAGTAGTGGTTGGAGTAAGGAAGAAGATTGCATAATTTGTTTTGAGAAGGAAGAGAAAAGGGTAAGTTGTAAACTGGCTAAGAAGAGTGTTTGGATAAGAAAAAAAGGAAAGGAAGGAACGAGCAGAGTTTGCAGCTTTCTGTTTACTGGGGCAGTGTTTGGTATCTCATGTGGGTCTCTCTCTATCCAAATATTGGATTTCCTCTCTTTCTTCTCTATTTGTTGATTAGGAATAGGGTAAATTTCCATTGCCTTATAAGCTCAAAAGTGTTGCATAAACCAATATAAATTTTTAGGTATAGATGGGTCTTGGTGGATCAAGAAGACCACTAAGTTGTATTATTTTATAGATTTGAGAAGTCTCCATTATTTAAGTTTCGATGTATGAGATTTTGAAAATTTAAGACAAGTTTAACGTGCCGATAAGTATGCTTATTATGAGGCAAAAGGAGAATAATTGCTGATGTAGTAGAGTTAACCTGTAGTTCTATCTTTCGATATAGAAACTGTCATGCCGATGATTAATCTATAATGACTCGTCAATTTTCCAGATGAGCGATGAAACAAATTTTTAATTGATGGTGTAAACTCCCAAACCAACAATCCTTGTCAATTTCTAATTGCGTCCATAACTATCATATATATATTTGGGCATCTGTCGACAATCCATAAACGGATTGAATTGACTTAGGACAGGGCCAAAAATTAAGGGAAAATGAGGACCCGAACCGAACCAAAAGCATATTTGGTTCATTTGGTTAGACTCGACTCGACCCGACCCAAATTCAATTTATGTTTCTTCATACTTAAGATTACTTATAGATGATAGAACCAAAATCGAATCAAAACATTCAAACTAATCTGATTCAATCCAAATATCAATTGGGTACGACTTGATCGGGATAAACAAGATAGTTGACCACCCCTAACTGTATATGTGATCCGATAGAACAAAATAACCACCTAAATATCCACTTTTAGCATTTTGGGATTTTTTATTAGAGAAATTTGAGATCTTTTTCTTGTATTATGTGTTGACTTTCTTTATTTCATATTTGGGATCCTGCTCAAAGAATATTGATTACCCATCCTACAAGGTAGGTCCCTTCAAGATCCCAATGTGATGACTTGGCAAGATCTTAGTGGTGCAGGTGGATCTACCCATGTCATTAGCCAGGGAACGGCTACGGTGCTAATTGTACAATAGTTAACACCGTCCTAACCAAGGGAAAAACTACTACTAGTTTGAATTAGTAGTGATTTAGTTTGGATGTTTTATTGATTTTATAATAATCCGTAGTGATTTCGTTATTTTTAGTAGCGTTTTTGCTAGTTATCACGGTGCTAACTACTATAAGATTTAGCACCTAATTCCATCCCCATTAGCCATGATGAAACAGGTAGCCAGTTAGGAGAGAGAGAGAGAGCCCAATGCTTTCTTTCTCCAGCACTCACTTTGCTTGTAATTTCAAGTTTTCAACTGCCTAAAAAGGAACAAAATTTAGAGATAAAAAACGGACAATTCTTACCAAAATTTTAAAAAATGAAAAAGGGTACATATGAAAAATCGAAGTGTCACACAGAACAACAGAAGTAACAGAGAAAACGATTAGAAATCAGAGAGAAAAAAAAAAGAAGAAAAATTCTGCCCCCAAATTGAGAGAGAGAGAGGGAGAGTGGGAAGTAATGCGAGAGATGAAGAAACCCGGCGGAGCAGACAAGAAAAGGGTTCGAAGATCGTCGGCAGCGGTGCAGAACGGGGGCCGAGATCCCAGCTCCGATACTCCGCCTAGGGTTCGTTTGATCTACTCTGCTAATTGTCGTCCTTACCCGCCTATCTGGATGTAAAATGTGGCATCTTTTTGATCGTTTGTTGTGATGTTGGATTTTGTGAAGTTGGGTTGGCTCCGTTTTGCAGTAAATGCATCTCCCTCGTGTTTGGTTGCCGAGAAAAGTCGGTGGAAGGGGGTTTTGATTGAAGGGTACGATTGTTGGCTGTGAAAATTTCGTCTTTTGGTACTGGAAATGTCATCAATTTGGTGTAGCAGGCTAGCAGCGAGAAGGGTTAGTTAGAGCTTGTGCGTACTAGTCAATTCGTTAGTTGAAAGGGAGAGTTTACGAATTGCATCGAGTTCTTACGTTGTCATTTGTCTTTAGTCCCACAATTGAGCGTACTGGGATTAGGGCTTATTTCTCTTGTAGAGATATGCTTGTTAATACACCTCTTCACACATACGCCTAGGTTGATTTGGTGCTTGAGGATGCGATTCTTTGATGCTGTTATGGGTTCCCCCTGTATGCTGCTTGAAATTGCTGTAGTTTTCTTCTCCCATTCTGTTTCTAGTGTCTCATGTAGTGAAATCCCTCTTGTTAGTTGCTAATTCTTCGTCGGAAGGGCTGCACTAGATGTAATTGGCTGGCCAGAATCACAGACTTGTACTAACCAAGTTGTGTGGCTGCTTCTTGATATACAATTTTTACAATCTGCTCCCCTTTCATTACAACCAACGAATTCATGTGAGCCTTACAATGTGCCATGGAATTGGCACACTGCTATGTAGTAATTTCAGCTGTTTGTGGTTTTGATGTCTCTATATCTGATGTCTGGTTTCTATGAAAACTCGTAATCATGAGAGCCTTGCGGCTGTACTTCTTCTTCCACTCTCTTCGGCTGTTTACTTCAGTGGTTATATTTTTGCTATGTTTCCCATTGTTTGCCCATTTATTGAAGTGCCCTTGCTTGTGTTATTTGCTTCAGAAACAGGCTGCAAAGAAAGATGTCTTCCAGTTGTTTGCTGAGAAGGTGAGGGACCACAAAGAGCTGGTCTCCCGTTGGGCTGTCCTTCAGGAAACTCGCGTGGAATATTTCAGGGGGAAGGACTTTGTAAACTTTCTGAAAAATCATCCAGAGGTGAAGGAGATACTGGAATCAGAAAAGAACTTGGAGGTCGAAGAAATCGCCGACGTTTTATTGAGTAAAAACCTCTTGGTGCGTTGTGATCGGGTGGTGAAAACTATTCGTCCTGGGAAGAAAAAGTTGTCAACATGGCCAGCACATTTAGAGATATTCCCTGTAAGGGCCTCTTCTTTGTATCTGTCAATTCTCATTTCATGTCGTCTTCATTAAACTTGTGTTAACAATATGCTATCTTTGGCAGGATCAAGTGTTCTCGGATAATGATGCTTTCTTCGCATGGGCGTTTGTGAAACGAAGGCCACTTTGGCAAACACTTCTCTCGTTTTTCTGGCCCGTCTTGACTCTAGCAATATGTTTGTTTCCTGTATATCCACACCGGTGCAAGCTTCTGATTCTCTACTCATGTGCGGGTGTCCTTTTGCTCATTCTCTCCCTCCTTTTGTGTAAGTGCTGCTTTCTTTAACTTGTTGATTGAGGTTGAAATATCCTGTGGTCATCTCTGCTGGTAGTCGTGTGCATGGTCCGTTGTGATCCATATACTGTCTTGAAAGTAAAGAGAAAAGGAGGACCTGAATCAATTAAAAGAGAATTTGATCCGGTTTGTCTGGTTTGGTCTTGATTTGGTTTTCTTTTTCCTTTTGCTTTTAAGACAATCCATGGAATCAAAACTCTCAAATATGAGAATCAGGCCCCGAATCAAATTTATTAGTTGATATGGTCCCATTTAATTCAGTGAACCAAATCATTGCATACCCCCAATCCATGGATATGTAATTATGTATGGACCATCATGGTTATGGGTCATTCACTCATTTGACATATCCTCTAATAATTGTTGCAGTGAGAGCCACGGTATTTGGTACTCTATATATCCTTCTAGGAAAACGAGTTTGGTTCTTCCCTAATATCCTTGCTGAGGAAGCTACATTGAGCGAGTTATTCCGGTTCTGGCCCCAAAAGGACGAGGAGGAACGCCCTAAGTGGACAACGAGGCTTTTGTATACTCTTGTTGCTGTGTCAGTTATATTGCTGCTGAGACATCATGCACCTGATGAGGCAGCAAGACTTAGGTCCGTCCTCTTCCTACCATCTTCTGTTCTCCTGTACATATTCGGTCCCAGACCACATGTAGGGAGTTTTTCATATGGAGAGCTGATGTTCGGGATCCATGTTGTTTGCAGGTATCAGAAGAGGATGTCCAACATTATCGATGACGTGCTTGAGTGGTCTCCAAGGCTAGCGTTATCCGGGTTCATGGATAAGCCACAAGATGTAGCTAATGTGACTGATTCTGGAAGCAATTATGCAGACGGTAGTGGTGAAGCACAACCGGAGAATACACATCCGGTTGAGGATTCTGGTGAGGGAGATGAAGCTGTGGTGGAGAGTAATGAGGAAGATGTAGGAAGTTATGAAGAAGACAGCAGCAGTCATGGTGAACAGAAGGATAATCATATATAAGATAATAAAAAAGAAAAGGTTCATAGCAAGCAGGTCATAATACAGTAGTAGTTTGCTTTGCCTTTGTCTGGGTTTTCAGGATCCTTGATTTTGAGTGTTAGAACCTTGTAATTTCAACAGCAAAAAATAATGCTTTGGTTGTCACTAGGATGTGTAATAGCTATACATATAGAATTCCGAGGATGATAGTAGCCAAAGTTGTGGAGTTGAACTCGACTTTTGGTTCCTAATCTTGAAGATTTTGATTAAAAATCACATTCCCAATTCCAGAAATACTTACATGCTGGACCAAAATTCTTAGGCTGGTAGACCTATGGAATCAGTTCAATATTATATGATTCAGTTACTCTTCTTCAAGATTTAATTCAGAAATGCTTACGGCTGGATCAGAATTCTTAGGCTTCTTCGAGTTTTAATTCAGTTCTATGTCGATTTGGGTCGATTCAATTTGCTTCTGAGTTGGACAAAACCATGCTTATACTATTTGACCCCAATTCTTGATCGAACAAACCTGACTCTGACCATGCCTATCTCACCACACCAATATATATTATATATGCAATCAAACTCCCAAATGAAGCCAGAAACAGAAAAAGTTTTGATTGTTGTAGCAAAACATGACTGATAGTTTCCTTCCACATAAAACTTTTAACTATCTGTTCAATCATATATCCATCCCCCTAGAGGTTTATTGCTTAGTTGGTATGTACACACAGCAAGAGGAGAAATCCAAAACAGTACTCTTGAGCTCAACAGCAGAATCAACTACTGGTAAAGGAAAGCCAACAACCTAAAAGAAAGCTTTCTTTCCCTTGTCTGCTTCAACCAAAGCAAACCCCATGAGAGCCCACACAAGCACACACGCACAAAAGCCAAGGATGATTTGCCTCCACATCTGGTCTGCCTGAGGTGGTCACTGGATTGCAACAGACCTCTGAGAAGCCCGACTCGAGATGCTCCCACGGTGCTGGATCGAACAGTCTCCATCCTCTCCACCATGCCCACCGCCGTCTATGTTTCTGTATTGGTGACCCTCAAAGCGACCTTGGGGGTGGTGGACTCTGCCCTCGTGTTGATGACCTTTGGAGGAGTTCCAAGTTTCGCTGGATAGCAGTGGCTCGGAACCAGACGATCCCCCAGATTGAGATGAGGGGGCTGGACCGGAGCCGCTTCTCCTGATCTCAGCAGCTGAGCTGTTTGAAGCATTATTCAGCCCGGTTTTCTTGGCGAAACGTCCTCCAGCACCACGCGCCCTCCTCATTGCATGTTTATGTCGGGATTCGTGGAGATACGGCTGAGAGAAATATCGAATATGCAAAAGTTCAGAAGTACTACCAAGTGAATTCTGGTCCACATTGCTATACAAAATAGAAACTGATAAAATATCCACCAACATCAGTTTCATATACTAAGTCATGCTGGACATCTTTAACTCGAGGAGATGCAAATTACAAAAGGTTCAGCATTGCGATAACATTAGTCATAAATTCCATAACCAGAAAAAGGAGCATAGACATTTACCTTCCGTACTTTAATGAGCTTTTTCTCGACTTCTGCTTTCGCTCGGGCCTGTCTTCGCCTCAAAATACCTTGGTACTGTTTCGCATTCACGTAAACAGGTTCCTGGGCCATCTCAAGGGGCAACGGCATTCTAGTCTGGGGAACTCCAACAAGATGAGGGTAGCCCTGAGATCATGGTAACACATCAGACGTTTCTAATTCCAGGAAGGTTGCAGAAACAATTCACAATTAAAGAAGTTACTGACAATAGAACAAACAGAATATAGCTAACAAGATGATAGATTTGGGTGGTGGATTGTTGCCCTAAATCCATCATCAGATGGATTTCCAAAATCTTTGGTTTGGATGGTATTGATTGGTGGTGGAATGTGGCAACTTAGACATGGGTGGAATTGAACATGCTAGCTTGGTAGGTGATACTTTGAAATCTCCAGACTCCACTAATTTTTTCCATACTTAATTTCGCAACTTACACTAATGCCCGCTAATAAAATAAGTGGTAACATTAAGGGCCAGTTAGCCTTTTAATCACAACTCCCACGATCCATCCCCAGAATCTACTACATTTTCATAATCCACCACCCACATCTATTTCAAAACCATCATTTTTTCACAATCTTGTTTCAACAATCCAGCAGCCAAACAAACCCCTTAATCAAGCATTAGACAGTAATATTATTGCCAAACATCCCGAAAACAATAACTGACTTACCAACGGCTGCTGTGCATAAGCTGCCATCATTCCACTGTAGTATGGATCCTGATAGGGGTTTGGTGCAGATGTCTGGAAAAAAGAAAAGTCGGACAACAAGGAATCAGTTATCTTAGGAAGTGAGAACAAATTGTTTCAACTCTAGCAAGCAGCTCAATCCCTAAAAGCATCCCGTTAGTTAATTCCCCTTTCATCCTTTAAAATGTGTACAGTTCTGTTTTTCTTTTGCTTTCTCTGTAGTGAAACAATGGAAGATTGTTATGCAGAAGTGCATACAATAGAGTGACCGACGAGTTCAAATTGCGGAGGCTGTGCGAGCGTCTGATCCAGAGCCGTAGTAGTCATGCCTGGAGGAACATTCTGCGGATTGGGATGCTCATGTCCATGATTCCCGACTGATAAAAAGGGACGATTGAAGAACAAGCAAAAAGAAAGCACAATGGTCAGTCCTGTACACTTTCTGCTTGTGACATACCGATACTCGAAGAAATAACCGGAGGAAACTAAATTTACATAAACTGTGAAATCTAAAACTACGGCTAAAATGTCCACCTAGCTTCAGTAACTAGATATGATCTGAAATTGCACGAGAACAGAAGCTATTAAATTAAAACTCTGATGAACCATAGGGTCGAAACATGACTAAACCACTACAGAGATATACATTGACATTACAGGATGAAAGTACCAAGAAGAAAGCTAAAACTGAAATACGCCTGACCAGAAGGTACTTCATAAAGAATTAAGTTCCTCGTGACTTGGATTATCAATCAGAATGCAAATTGTGGCATCTCTGAGTCACCTGATCGAGAAGATGCAGTAGCTTGTGATTCTTTTGCAGCATCATTGTCCTCTTCCTCGTTTGTTCTGTCATCCGAGACAGATTGATCATCAGTTGATTCAGATCCCTCGGTTGAATTTTTGGCATTTCCTATGGGCATGCCTGCAGCTACAGAGTGATATCCAACACCGCGCCACCACGGTTCAGAAGGAACTCCATACGATGGAAGGACAACGTGTGAATCTGGTGGCAGGCTATGTCCAGCACCAGGTTTCGACTGCATTGCCTCCTTCTGCTACTTCAGGCGGCTACCGATTTCGCAACTAACCCAGATGTATATATAACTGCAAAGCACCAACATTTGCAATAGACAATTGAGGTGTAATATAAAAGTTTCCATTCTCCAATCTTCATACAAAATTGAGCTCTAGATGCCTACTAAACTCACAATTGACACATCCGATACGTGAAACTACTACGATTCCACAAGAATTTTTGTACATCAAGACACCTGAAATTTCACAACCCTAGTGAGAATTTCCCATTATAGATGCAAAGCAATCAACTTTAAGCAATCTAATCACGCCATGCAAAAGCTTTACCCCCTCCCCAATCCTAAGAACTCCCAAATCCTTCGCCCCCCCATGTTCAGACATGTCTGCAGTTGGGGAAGCATACGTGCGAATCTGGAGAACCAACCCCTCCCCCAGCCGCCCAATTATCCTTAGCCTAACTGAAAGACTAAAAAGTCAAACTTTGATGAACAGTCGGGCGAAATTGAGGTTTTTCTGTAACAACAATCAGAAAGCCAGCAGCAATTGAAGCAAACCCGACAAATTCCACCGCCACCCCAATCGCAGTACACAAGCAATCGGACAAAAGAAAGAAGGGGGGGGGGGGGGGGGGGGGGGGGGGGGAACAGAGGACTGCGGCGGCCGGCTGGCGGGGGAGAAAGGAGAGAAGGGGAAGAAGAAGAAGAAGAAGAAAAAAAGAACCGTGGGATTCAAGGCGAAAAGGGGGACATGCAAATCGGGGAGGGAAACTGATCGATTGGAAGATCATTGAAAAGAGAAAGCCAATTAGGGGAAAAAGTAGTAGTAAGCAATTGGGAAGGGACACTTACAAGTGGGCAGGGGAGAACCCTAAATTGGGTTGGCGGGGAAGTTGAAGGTTAGACGGTCGATAGAAAGGGAGAGACAGAGAGAGTCAATGAAGATTCTTGGTGGAGTGTCTGTAAGAAGGGAGACGAGGAGAGAGAGAGAGCAGGGGAGGAAGAAAGGAGGAGACTTTGGTGATGACAATGTGCCTCCACGTAGGTTTCAAGCGGGGAGACACCTGGGTTCACCTTCCTCCTCCACCCGCTAGCTAAGCTAAAAGCTACAGTTTCCTTGTTGGTCTTTTCTCTATTTCATCTTGTCCTCTTTCTCTCCACTGTTTTGGTCTCTTTCCCTCCTATCCTATGTCCTCTTCAATTTGAGAGAGGCTTCAAAGGATAGTTCGGCTTGTAAATGTGGGAGTTGATCAAATCTAAAATATATTTTTGGAGTGGAATTGGAATTACTTCACAAAAAAAGATTGGATTATCCACTTTCTTTGGTTTGGATGTGTGTTCTTTCTTTCTTAAGGTAAGGTAAGTGGATAAGAAATCTTGATTCTAAAAGGTGAAAATGTGAATGAATTATTTGGTCTTAACTTCAATAATGAAGTTAGAGGAGAGATGATATGAATTGGGAATAAAGTACGAATGAAAGTGGCTGAAGAATATCAACTAAAAGTTAGTGACGAAGAAAATGATAATACGATTATAAGGTATGGCAAGATTGGGTGAAGAACATCCTAACTTTTGCTCCCAAATATTGCATTGTCTGCTGCATGATACAGCTCCCAAATCATTCTTTCCAAGTATTTGAGAACTTGTAGAAAATCAAATTAATCCCAAGTCACATATATGATGCGTCTCTCATTTTATATGCATACGGTTAACGGTACAAGAACATTGTAGGGCAACGTATGTATTTTTTTTTTTTTGGTTTGTCTTCTCCTAACTTGATGTGGATTATTCTTTCAAAATAAAAAAACTTGATATGAATTAACTCACTTGGGTTTGAATGCGATAGATATTGATTAATTATTTGTTATTGTGTAGGATCATATTATCACCTCAAGTAATTGCAAAACATTGTATTAGATTTGCTTATTGGGATTAGTTTCAAAGATTAGGAGATCATAAAGTATGAGGCGATACTTTCATGGTCATAGGAGTTTGGTTAATTGTTTATATATTTAAAGATAGGAAAGAAATCAAGAAAGCTTCTTGATATTGTAGAAAATGGGAGTTGCATTGTAACACTATGAAGTTACTAGATATTTTCAATAAATAGTTCACATAATATAAAAAATTCTTCACAATTTTTGTGCTTGTTATACTAATTCATATGATATAAATGATCATATGCAAGTGATGAACTTCGTTGCTATATAGTGTTATTTGTTGACCTAAAACTTCAAATGCATTCACAAATTCCTTCTCTAAAGAGAGAAAAAAATGAAACTTGAAAGAGATGTATGTTAAAATTTATTTATTTTTAAATATGTTCTAAGATATGGGAGGAAATTAAAGAATCTAATTCCAAATCTCTCCTTGCATCTCCCAAATATCAACGACTACCCCAATTTTTTAATACAATCAACCTGATAATATCATTCCAAATTTATAGTTCTTCTATTTAACTATGCGTTCCTTTGAAGGGTATACAACAAAATGTATCGACTGACAAGTTCGTGGTGTTTATGGACTTGTTCAAGGGTTAGAAACTGTTTGCTGGTTTCTTCTTAAGCCGGTTAGATCCATACCTACATGAGTTTGAGGTATAAAAAAAAACATGTGCTGAGAGCTAGGAGAGAAACAAACACATATGAGTTGATGAAGACTCTTGATAGAGTTACTAGTTTGAACGAGAGTGAGCAAGACCTCAAAGCTCACATCATAACATTTCAATATATCTTTAGTGACTTATCTACTAGGAATTTACCAGTAATCGATGGCGATGGAGCAGGGTTGAGGATTGAACACATGGTTGAAGAGCTTGAACATGTTTGGGGATAAAGTTCATACTAAGCTAACTAAGAAAAACTAGTTGAAATAATTGAAGGACATGTTGATATGGATACAGAATCTTATGCAAGTGCTTATTTTATTATGCTAGTTTGTTTTGGATTTTATGTTGAAATGCTATAAGAATGTCTCCAATTTGTTAATGAATAATAAGGCCTCTCGTGCTGGCTGCAATTGAGGACGGGGATGGTTGATATGCTCTAAAAGCCATGTATTTCAATTTTGGATTGTGAGATGTTTCATCTTATGCATTGACACCTATTGACTAGTAACTGAAATGTTTTGCGTTGTTCTCCTCTTGTTTTCAAACAACAGGTGCTTGTCTTTTCAATGCATTTATGCTATGCAAGGAAACATGAGAACACGTCTAGGTGCGAGAGAGGGGAACAAAGGAGTGGCATTTACTCATCACAATATGTCTACGCAAAGGTCTGGCAGCAATAACAAATTGGCAAACATAAAAATGGAATGTGAGTGAGCAGGGGTGAAGCAGGATTTGTGACAGGCTATTTTGCTTTTATGCTTTTTTTGCTATTAACGCAACACCTGTATATAGGTTCGTGACATTACAATCAAGGGCCTGGAGCTTTTCGCCAAACTCAGCCCTCATCGTGTATCCAAAATAGCGGAAACAATAATCCCACTACTTTCTAATTAAAAGTGAAAAAAACAAAAGAAGAAATTGCGTGATTTGAACAATGTTTGGTGAAAATAACCGAACCATTATTTCTGCCAGACTACGAGTATACCATGGGGAGGGGGTGGGGGGCATTGGCTAGCTCCACTCATTTGAGTGAGTGACAATTAAAGAAAGTTACAACACTCGAAATTCACTTATCGCTGATTGACTGGAACGACTCGATGAATCTCCCAAGAAACAAGTTACAAGATGGAAAGCGGAAAGAAAATGAGTGAATGCCAAATAAAGAGAGAGACAACCGTGGGATTGTAGTGTTCGATGATGGATGTCTTGATAATAATATAAAGAATATATAAACAATTTGTGTTCTTGAGATGGAGACCCTAAACAATTGAAATATACAAACTAAAAATGTAACCAAATTACCATTATCATTGTCCATAGAGGAAAGCGAACGCCAAAGACCCCCCAATCAATCAATCGACCCCGTGCCATGCATCAATATGATGAGATATTGGAAAGTAGTTCATTTTTGCATGTCCATCATTTATATTCTCCCATACTTGAATAAAGGCAAAGGATTTGGCCGCTCCCTTTCATTTCATCTCATCATTTAGTTGGCAAATTGCACATACCTGACAAACCATGTAATTTAAACACAACGATTGATATTGGGTGTCGTGATGAGGACTTGAACACGTGATGTCAATGACAAACTAGCTCTTATACGATGTAATGAACAAGTTGATCTCAATAACTCGAAACACAACTCATATTGATTTGAAATTTGCACATGTCCAAATACCACATGCTTATCAAACGAGGGCCGGTCACTGGGATTTGAACAGAAAACCTCTCGATGATAGAAGGCTCTGATACCATATTGTAAACCATCCCAATAACTCAAGTTATTAAAACATATATATTTACAAAAGCTGTAATTTTGCATGCTAAGGGGAAAGAAAGAAAATTAGACTTTTACCCGTATCCAAATCCACACAAAAATCGTGTAGAAAATCAAAACCATGGCCACACTGGATTGAGTTTTTATATCCATGATTATCATAGGTAATAATTTTTTGACATAACTTTAAAAAATATGTTAGCAATTAATAATGACACTAAAAAATTACAAAAATACATCCCTAATTTCAAGAAAATTAGTTAAAGAGAACACAATTACATGAAAATATTATATATTTATAATAATAAAAAATATGATGGAAAAATATAATGACCATTTGTAGATAAAATACATACACATAAGTTTAATTATGTGGGTTGAGGTTGGATAGTGATAAAATTATTTCCATCCATTACCTACAATGTTCGGATTCCATTTTCGCTCATACCCAGTTGTGAAAGTTTCTAGGTTCTGATTTTACACTACCTAATTATGTCGGATTCGAGCGGTGTGGATAATTTTTATTATCCCTAATTCCATGTCTACTTTCTTTTCGAATAATAAAATCCTTCTTGAAAGATGTACGATAAGATATACAACTATTATAAAAGAGCAGACTGTGAGATATAGCCGATTTATTTGATAAACTAAAAATTTGAAGAAACACACTCCCGGACAATCGCCCGGGCCAAAATGCAAATTGAAAAAGGTTCATATATGGTACTTATAGCTACCTACTTACTTACATGAACAAATAGTTTAATTAGAGATACTAAACTTTCCCTTACATGAACAAAGATATGATAACATATTGGTTTCATCAATAATTTGACCGATGAGATTCTGTGAAAATAATTAGCAAGTGGCAAATGATGATCACAACCCGCACGAGTGAATTTTTTTTTTCCCCCACTTCTTCATTGGATTCTCTTATCCATGTTGGGGTTGGTAAAGAGACAAGCTGACACCCTCCCACCACTTATTTGGCTTCTCTTTCCATCATGAAAAGAGATCAACAATTATGAGATTAATAAAGTAAACAAATAGTAATAATAGATCAATTCCAAATTATTCCGACTAGATTGATTCATCCAGTTTTTTCTAGCAAACGAGATAGTTAAATTAAATTGATCCTATTACAATTCCCTTTCTTTCATATGACCTCTAAGATTTGAACATGTTTAGACACTATTCAATGATTCGAACCACTATATACATCTACAAATGCAATTACTAAACTATGTGATTCAGAGTGTGTGATATTATCAATCCACATGAACCCTCTTCTCAAATCCACATTCTAAGCTGATTGATGGAAGCTGCATTCTCTATCATGACATAGATTAGCAAAAGCATGTAATTTTACATGCTGAGTGGAAAGGAAGAAGAAAAGTTTAACAAAGAAAAGCTGATGGAATTGTTCAGTTTCTTTTCTATCTTAGTTATAGTTCCATTTTGAGCCCATTGCAGACATTGTTCTGCTCTCTCTGGCCATATTGTTTATTTTTGCACTTTGGGATGATGATGATCCTTCCATTCCACCATTTTCAGGTGGCCCTCTGTCACACTATCCCCACCAGGAATATAATTTCTCAGCCTTTTATTCTTTCTTTCTACTTCTTTTTATCACTTTCTGCCATGGAAAGCAATTCATAGCACTCATAGCTTGCTAACCAGAAAGAAGAAGAAGAAGAAGGGAAAAAGAGGAAGAGTATCAACGCGGTTTTGGTGGAAAGGGAGATTTGCCATTCTATTATAATGTCAAGAGCTAGAACATGATTGTATAGAAACTCAATATTTGTGAAATCATATGAGAGATCCATTGATATGAACAAAATATTGAAAACATGGTGTAAGTTTACTAAACAACTTCATATGGATTAATAGAAAATTGTTGTAGCTTCGCGTGCATGATATCTTCGACATGGCCAGTCAATACGATATGATTGTGCAAGAAAAAATTTCATGGTTAGCTAGCTAGACACCACTTATTAGAAGAAAGTAAAATCTCTTCGTGGTTACGGGCTTTTACTCGAGAGAAATAAATATGTTATGCTAGATAATAAGCATCGTTCTGAGCGTAAAAGTCGTTTTTCCGCCGATAGACACCTTGTTAATCAAGTTCAATGTCAGTAACAAACCAAAATAGTTAGGAGACAACTACCATCTATAACACAATATTTGACGTCTAAAAGTGATTACCTTCAGCGGTGAATGCTTAATTACTTAAGAGGAGTTACTTTGATTAATTACCATGTGATGAACACATAAACCAAGTGGATGAAATAAAGAAGAAGATGAAGAAACTGGTCATAAACATATGCATAGAGATTAGAAAATCTTATCAAATAACAGTAAAGAAAAATTCACACCAACGCCATTAATGAACCTCACAAGCTTCAAACACATCTCTATTAAAAAACTCTCTCTTCCCCTGCCTCTCTGAGTCAGCCAAACTACTAACCACACTGTAAAATTACCAAAATGTAAGTTAAAACAACAAGTTAAACTAATACCCAGATGAGGGTTAAAATCTAAGAGAGCAGTGACCATTTCCTAAGGCCATTCTGTTGCTTTTCCCATCATCACACTATAGCTTAGTGTTCAATTGGAAAACAGAGAAAGATCAATCCACTTCTGTATTTACATACCAAAAACAAGGACAAAAAAAGTTTCAAACACTAACGTTGAACCATTCAAACTGAGATGTGTCGGCGGGCAAAGAAGAAGAAGAGCTCGAGATCGGGCGGGGCGAAGAACGCTATGGGCCTTCTCTGCAACGAAGAGCAATTGGAGCGTTGTGAAGATGAAAACAGAGCATCATCGTCGGTGTCTCTCTGTTTCTTTCTTGGCGCCGGCGGGCAGGAATTTATCTTCGGTATCCGAAACCTCCGGCCTTTTGGAGTCGAGCATATGCTACTGCTTTCGTTCCCAACAACATCAATATTTTTGGAATCGAGCCCTCCATTGAAGATAATACTGGACTCCTCGAACCCTCCATCAATGATATGTTCCGAAACAGAGGAGCTGGAAGAAGCAGAAGAAGTGGCGGTTGCTAAATGAGCTGCTTCTCTCTCCATCTTTGTTCTGCGAGTGGAATTTGATCTTCTCTTCGCTGTTGTTGATTTCTTTGCCGCTGCTGTTGTTGTTCTTGGCTTCGATTTGGGGATGGTGCTGATGGATTTGACTCTTCTTCTTCTCCTGGTATTACAAGCCGGAGCCATTTTTGACGAGGCAGGGGAAAAGGAAAGAGAAAACAGGGGAGGTTGAGAATTTCTCTGTGTGGGTTTAAGGAAGAAGGAATCTTTGGGGAAAAACAAAAAGGGGTTTGTCTATCTAAGGTAAGTACGAGAAACTTTGATTGGAAGGAAATGGGTTCTCCTTCCTTTAAACCCTAATCGATCTTGATAGAAGGAATGATAAAGATGGAAACTTTGGACGAGAGGGGGAAAACCCAGAGAAAGGAAGAAAAGGGAAGTGATTGGAAACCCTAATCGAGAAGAAGAAGAGGGAGATTTTCAAATGTGGGGAAAAAGATTTGATTGTTGGAATGGTGGGAAAGGAAGAAGAAGAGGGAGATTAGGACTGTTCGTGGCTGGTGGGGGATATAAAAAGGAAGGCTGGGGAGGAGTCATACGGCTGCCCGCCTGCCCGGATTAAGGCTTTGATAATAATTCAAAGGAATTGAAGTAAAAATAGAATTAAGATTAGGTGTTAGAGTTAAATTGGGCCCATTCCAATTTCTAAAGAGTGAAAATTAATAGCTTTTTATTCTTTTAGTTTTTTTTTTCTGATGGGTTCTTATTCTTTTTCGTTCTAATTCGTATTTGAATTTTTTTAGCACAGATTGAAGGAGTTTATTGTGATACCACCTTCATTTTTAACTATAATTTTGAAAATTTTGCAAAGAAGGAAAAAGTTATTCGTGATATATTGGATCGACAAATTTCTTGAAAAAAATATGGAGGACCAAAATGTACCACCTCATACCACCCTGGTATAGGGGTGGTAACTGGTGGTAAAGAAAGATGAATGTGATAAACGATCGTTCATATATTCCGACAATAATGTATTCAACCATCCTGCACTATGGTATGTCCATACCAACATGGTACACTTCCATACCACATAGTATGATATTAATTATCTAATACCAAGCATTACCACCATGGTATAAACTGGTACTAAATATTTCAATTTTTTTGTTTCATAAATATATTTGATATAATTTTGAAGAGCAAATTTAATATGATTTATCTGAGAAAAAAATTAAATTATGACTTAAAATGAAAGAGATGTACCCCATTAAAATTTATAGGGGTAAATGTTAGAGGCATTCCCTAAATGATGATGTGACAGCTTATACATGGTTATTGACCATAAGGTTACTCACTAGAACTGCTCACAATGAGTTGTGTTATGAGATAGTTATTCCCCTCCCTGATTTCCTTAGATGGTATTATAGATAAGAGATAACAAGAGATCGCTATGATGATTTAGTCAGAGCCATAAATAAATAAAAAGAGAATTTTTCTAGATGATTGAGTGGTAATATTCAGCGTTGTCAAATTAGGATGAGAAAATATTGAAACCATAAGAGTTATACTATCAGATAGAAAACTCGTCAATCCGATAATTGCCCTTTATTTAAATCACAAGGGAAAATCTTACAATAGATGCGGTCTTATGGATAATTGATAACCGTTAATATTATGATGATTCATATAGTCAAAGCGATCAATCATAAGAAAGATAAGTTTACAGATAATAAAAAAACTACAGTGTTGACCATTACTAAATAGACAGTCCACTCAATAGAATATGGTTCATTCTCCGAAAATGAGAAGGAGAAAACATTGGAAAAACATAAGAACTAAGTGAATCAAACAACAATAGCAAGACCGCAATCTAATCCCAAATTACAACTAATCGAGTCACTGTTGCACGCAAACCTATATATATATATAATAACTCGTATTCATTAACAAAGGCCATATTTTCTCCTCATTTTTTTTCGTTTTGAAATTGTATTTTTCTTACTCGTGTAGTACTTATAATAGCGCTCTATTGATCAAATAACCAACTTCCAATTCCATCCTATTACGAAAGGGATATGAATATTGAGATACTTTGTCTTTCTCTATCATCTCTTCCGGTGAGAATAAATTTTTTTGGGGCAGCCGCAGCACTGCCCGGGCCCGATAAAGTAATATTGATTATTGCTTCTTTCTTCATTTTGCTTTAATGATTCAATTTTCAGTCAAATTCGAGTTCCTCCCTCGGATTCCATGAGATTAATTAAAAAAGGTACGACTAATTAGAGCTTTTACCTAATCAAATCAATGTGAGACTTGTCGGCTGGGAAGAAAAAGTCCAAGTGAAACGACAACATACATAGAGACACATGCAGTGTGGTTTTGCTTTCGATTTTGCTCACTGTCCTCTGTTTTGATTACACATCGATCCTTTCCTAGGATACCCCAAATTCGATTCAATGGATGATGATAGTGCATATTCCAAGAAAGAGGTTAGTTTGGCTAATGATGCTTAGTCATCACAAAACTGAAGTCAAATAATAACATATATATGTGTAGTATTCCCTTTATATACGAGTTGTTTGATGTTAGAATTCAATGGGGTAGGGTTTTCTTGAATCGAAAATAGATCGACAATGCGCATATTTTATGAGGTCTGTTTGGAACATTGATAAAAAAGAACGATATTCGATGTTTAAAAATTATGATTCACTAGCAGTTTTGGGAACAGGTTACAAAACAAAAACTACAATATGCGCGTTCATTTTGAAATGAAAATTTTGTATGTATAGAATACGGAAGATTTCATATGTAATTATGAATCTTATAGTATTGGATTTTTTTTTTCTCAAAACAAATTATTACATCCCAATCCATTTAATTAATTAGTTACCATTTGACATACAGTTTTTAACTTTCACTTGGTTTAGGTACCTCGTCTACCTAGATTATACAAGAGACATCTCTCCTCCAATTACCCCTCTTCACAACAAACCAAAACTTTGCTTATTAACAAGGTTGCCTACCCGCAGGTCGCAGCCCGAATCATAGGTTGCCCTGGATTGATTAGGAACTGGTGAGGAAAATGGGAGCCACACACCTGTGGGTCAACCCGCAACAAGGTTCCTGAGGTCACACAACATCGTGCTTTTTTCTCTTTGGTTTGCGAATTGCAACTCTTTTTTGGGTTTTTTCATTCGCCTAACCTCACCTTTGCAATTCTGAGTTAAATATTTGAATGTTGATATAATATGATCGTGTTTGAATTTTTACTATATGTTGGATCCAAAGTAGTACTGTTATTTTGATATTATAGTGTATGTTATTATCCATATGTTATATGATCATTTATATAATTTATAAATGCATGAACAATAAAGTGAATTCTTCATATATCCAAGCTAAATCAAGCTAAAACAATAAGACCATTAGACCTCAACCCACTTGCTCGACCAGATCAACAAGCTAAATTGGATTGACAACCTTGCATATTGACCTCAATGATCAAGGATATACTTAAAGATGCTTAATTACTAATTTACTTAGTACATAACCACCCCAATTATATATTCTGTATTAAATCAAATTTAAGTGTTCAGATCATTAACACTCAACCCACTTGCTCGATCGATCCAACAAGCTAAACCAGATTGACAAACCAAACTCTCTCATCTTGTTTAGTACTTAATTAATTCTCAAGTTTAATTTGCCGCAAAACAACAACCAAACAAACAACTATCTAAAGTGTGATCAACCAACAAGATTTTGTCCCCCCTCTAATTTGTTTTCTATCTAGCCACTTCTTCATAGATCCATTGCATGTGTGACACACGGCAATGGTCCTAGATCTCAGCCACCAGGGTTTGCTTTGCTCCTCCTAGACATTATTACAAAGAACAATAGATTAATTACGTTACTAATATGGACACGAAGAACGATTTGTGGCTAGCTAAATAATTACAGAGTTTAGTTTAAACTAGTATCCCCGCCTGCTAATGACAAGACTTCGAGTTTAATTAACCATCAATGTCTCTGTTAATCTGTCATATTGTGGGTTAGAGAATCAGATTATGTCTAGCAGTAGCAGGGGATCCTAGAAAAGGGAATCCCCACGTGGAGGCTGCCTCGTTAATCCACAATTTCAAACTTTCATGCACTAAACTAAAATTATTTTAATCTATCTTAATTAATTAGTTTTTATAGCCCTAGCTAGCTAATTGCAATTTGTTTTTGTCATGTTATGTGTGAAAAATATTATTGGGATGCTCTGTTTCACATTCTTTAATGCTCCTCCCTCACGTTCGTTGTATTCTAAGCTAGAAGAATGAATCAGTTAAAAGAGGAGGCGCCATTTTTGAGTTTGGATTTTGCATTGGAAGGAGAATATCGATGATGTTGCAGCAGTGGCAAAAGTCAAATAGCTAGCTTGCTAGGTGTATGCAATTTATATGGATAAATTCAACTAAGTAAGTGCATATGCATGTTATTTACTGTTATAATGAGCATAGATTTCACCACATTTATTAAGAAAAACACACACTATAGAATTCACCACCATGTATTTTGGATACAGAGCACTCATCATTGAAACAGATTCGCAACTAGCGACCCAGTTGGTGAAGAACAGAATGGATCCTTTGCACCCGTATGCAGCTTTGCTCACCGCGATCCGGAGGAAGATCTCCCAGGACTGGGTGGTGAGTCTGGTACATGTATACAGGGAAGGGAATAGAGTCGCGGACTGGCTCTCGAAGCACAGTCTCGTCTATCCCTTCGGTATGCATGAATTAGATTCACCGCCACCAGAGCTTCTCCCTCTTCTTCAGGATGATCAACGGGGAAGTACAACTCTGAGGAACATTGTGGTGAACTCTACAGCCCCCTCCCTGTAACCCCTCTGTTTCTGCTTGTTCCCTCTTTTCTTTCTTCTTCGGCCGTGTGCCTCCTTGTATGCAAAAAAAAAAAAAAATGTATGAGTTGCGGTGAGAGGCGGGAGGTGCAATTGGATTGTGAGTTAACATCAAAAGCAATTCTCTAACTGGACATTAAGCAAGTTAACTAACATTTATAATGAATTTATTACAAATTAATAAGATTGTAGCAATTAGATACCTCTCACTTTATATCATGTGGATCCGCTAGTATTTGATTATTTGCATTTGATCTTTCGTCACCCCAGCCAATTTTTAAGAAAATATTGGCGTTTTTGTGACTTTCATATAATTAATAGTTTATAATTTGCATTATCAATATCTCATAAATATATACAACATAGTAACCAATAGTTTTGAAATTTTTTATTTATTCTCCGAATTTAGAAGTCGATTGTCAGTGTGCAGTGCGGTTAGGAAATATGATGATTATATAATATATAGTATAAACAAGACATAACATTTTTTTTTCTTGTGGAATAGGATGTGGGTCATTCAGGCCAGCCACAACCCACCCACCACCAACTCGAATAATTGCAGGCAGAAGATTTATCAATCCGTAATCGACCTACACCAATCACACACACTCGCCTTGGTTCAGGTTATTTGCATCATTAAATAGACATGTCATGAATGGTTGTGACTATTAAGAATATAATGTTAGGTCATTGCTGAAAGGTTATCATAATTTCAATGTCACCTTAGTTGTCATAGTAAATTAAGCATTTCAAATTAAATCATTTTAACTAATATTTCGGCCAATAGGTCGGACACCAAACTAGTGGGAACGGATCCTCTCAATAACCTACTTGTTAATAACATGCATAATCCAACCACCAGCCGCCACATACATCAGCACCCTCTGCCACTTATGGAAGGCCTTTAATATTTACCACTTCAATTTTTAAGTTTTAACGGACACTTTCTCTCTCATTTTAAGTTGAGATTTATTTTTTTTATATGTAAATCAGATTAATTGTACTCTTCAAAATATATCCACTTAATATATTCGGGAGAAAAAATTAAGGCATTTTATTACCAATTTATACCATGGTGGTATTGATTGGTATTAAATAAGAACATGTCATATGATATAAAAGCGTACCATGGTGATATGAACATTATCAGACTGTAAGATGGTTGAATACATGATAGTAAAAGTATATTAACGGTCATTTACGACTTTCAACATTATGTACTACAAGATACTAATGCACCCCCTATAGCCCGGAAGTTGCATTCCTAAATCCTCATCGGACTAGGACACCGGCAAACCAACATTATATATAGCATTAGGGCTCTGATCGATCTCCTCTTTCGCCTTAACGTCGTTGGAATCGGTTGGTACTCAACCAAACCCTAATGCCTCCTCCTCCTCCTCGCACCATGACGGCGATCAACAACAAACTGGGTGACGACCTCCTCGTCGAAATTCTCATCCGCAGCTTCCCAAACCCTAAACCCGCCTGCCGCTCCAAGCTCGTCTGCAAGCAGTGGAACTCCCTGATCTCCGATCCCATCCTCTTCAACCGCCGCTTCGTCTCCCACCACAAGAGCTCAAACGAAGCATCACCGCCGCCATTAATTGTCACGCCATCTCCCCCCTCAACGACTTTCCGCCACCACTACCCTTCCCTCAGCTTCCTCCCCGTGCCCGACCAACTCGGACCGCATTTCAAAGTCTGGGATTCCTTCAACGACTTGCTCTTATGCGGGTTTTGGGGTGATGGAATCAACAAAGTACGAGGATTATTGGGGAGATTTTACTTCGTCTGCAATCCGTTTACGAAGCAATGGGTCGCCCTTCCTCTGGCCCCCGAGAGGCCATCTGGTTGGTGGATGGATACGTTCGTCGCTTGGCTAGCTTGTGAACCCGTTAATTCTACCACTCTTGATCTAGGAGGAGGAGGGGATGATCATGGTCTTCAATCTTATTATTATTTCGAGTATCGCTTTCGAGTGGTATGCATGTATCTACAACAACAACAAAACAGGGACATGAGAGCAGACGTGTTTTGTTCCGAGTCGGGAGGGTGGACGAGTAAGGCTCTCGATCGTCCCCTAGGAGACGAAATTATAAACAAACCGTGCAGAGGGAGGGTTTTTTACGAATTCACACGAATCGACAGAGTACCTCGTTACGACGTGAATTTCAGCTTTCTAACACTCTTTGTGGTGAGTCCGTTCACTCTCGATGCGCATCGTACGCGTACTACTACCGATCACGGTTCTTTGGTCTTTCCGGATCCGACTATACTGCGGATTTTGGTCTCGCAAGGTGTTCTGCACGTGGTCCTGTTGGAACTGGAGCCCAAAGGTTGTTCGAGGAACGCGTTGACGGTTTGGAGACTGGAAGAAGGCGGCGAATCTTGGCGGAAACTGCACGAGGTGGTGTTGTTGAAGGAGGCTGTTGTATCGTCTAATTATGATCTCGAGCGGTGTTTCAGAGTCGGTCTGCATCCGCAGAAGCCCGAGATCGTCTACTTGTATTTCGACGAGGTTGGTGATCGTGAGAATGTGTCCATCTTGTCGTACGATTTGACGGGGACCGGAGAGGTGGAGTTTGTCGATGAATATCGTCGCGGCTGGAAGGCCTTCCAACCTAAGGTCTCTTGCTGGCATACTTTGATTCCGAGATACGAGGAATTGCGAGGTGGGTACGATGAAAGCTACAACTATTTGCTTCAGGCAAAGCAAAAGGAATGGATCCAGATGTAAATGGTAATTAATTACTTCTATGCTTGGAACCATGAGAACTTATCAAATTGGTTTTGTTGCTTTTACTTATTGAAACTCTGAGCTATGATTTTTTTGCCACTTGTTCTCGCAATAGTTGTAACGAGTTTTCCCTTTCTTGGCCCCGGCGGGCAAGTCTCACAAGAAACTAATTAACTAACGTCAGACCGCAAAGGGGATGGAATTAGGTGCTAACCTTTATAGGGGTTAGCACCGTGATAACTAGCAAAAAACGCTACTAAAAATAACGAAATCACTACGGATTTATTATAAAATCAATACAACATCTAAGCTAAATCACTACTAATTCAAACTAGTAGTAGTTTTTCCCTTGGGTAGGACGGTGCTAACTATTGTACAATTAGTACCGTAACTCCTCCCACCGCAAAGAGCCAAAGACTGAATAATTAACTCTCTGTCTTTGTGTTTGAAGAATTCGCTTATTGTGAGCCTTTTCCATTGAGACTTGAGAGAATTCACTAGCCGTTAATCTAACAAACTAATTAATTACTAACTAATCAAAGCTGTAACTTGTCAATCTATTTGGTAAAAAACAGTGGCGAAAGGAGGAATGTACCTTGAGATGTCCTCTTTCAAAATTAAAATAAAATAATTAAATTAAAAATACCTGATTAGTACAGTTTACGACAAAAAATACTAAGTGTTTTCATATTTTTTTATAAAATGTAAAATACGCTCCGTGTATGCGCTGCTCCAAAAATCTGTATATCATACTACACCATCATTCATAACTTGTTGCAAATTCAATTTCGAAACTTGGTCATGGAGGGGCGCTAAAGCGGGGGAAAGCGGGGCAATCCGTTCATGAAGCAATGGGTCGCCCTTCCTCTGGCGCCCGAGAGGCCGGCTATGATGAATGCTTTCCTCGCTCGGTTCGCTTGCGAACCCGTTAATACTGCTAGTCTTGATCTTGGAGGTCGTGGAGGAGGAGATGATTCTCATTTTTATTCCGAGTATCGCTTCCGAGTGCTGTGCATGCATCTAGTGCATGCGGATGCTGTAGCAGCGTGTTTTGTTCCGAGTCGGGAAAGTGGACCAGGGAGGCTCTTGTTCGGAGAAAGAACAAGAGCAGTTCGATAATAACGAAAATAAATCCGCGCAACGTGAAGATATTTCGTGCGTATGCAGATTACAGAGGAGGAGGAGAGTTGCACTCTTTGGTACTCGTCGTGGCGAATCCTTTCCCTCTCCTTGATCTACACGTGACATCTACTCGCGATTCCTGTGGTCTTTTCGAAGCCGACTGTACGACAGATTTTGGTCTCGCGAGGTCTTTGGCACATAGTTTTGCTGGAGGTGGGATCTAGAGGTTGTGCGAGGAATGCCCTAACCGTTTGGCGACTGGAAGAAGATGGTGAATCTTGGCGAAAGCTGCACGAGGTTTTGTTGCTGAAGGAGACGGTGTCGTCGACGACATCATCGGTGTGTAGTTATGACCTCGAGCAGTGTTTCGGAGTTGGCATGCACCCGCAGAAGCCTGAAATCGTCTTCTTATATCTTGACGATGCCGGTGGTGATCGTGAGAGGGCGTTTATCTTGTCCTACGATTTGACGGGGAACGGAGAGGTAGAGTTTGTTGATGTGTATCGTCGAGGCTGGAAGACCGTCCAACCTAAGGTTTCTTGTTGGCCTACTCTGATTCCAAGGTACGAGGAACTTCGAGGCTCGTACGATGAAACATACAACTATTTGATTCATGCAATGCAAAATGAATACATCCGGCGGAGATAAATGGTAAATTACTTCTAATTTGTTAAGAGTTTTCACTTTCATTTCTGTACTTCTCGATATCGTGCTAAAACGTAGAATGTGGTACCGGATGTGCATGAGCACTTTTTTTTTTTTTTTCCGGATGTCCCCAAAGGGACAGAACCATGAGCACTTGAGCTGTTGAGCAGTGACAGTTATTGAAAACAAGTTATGATTTTTCAATGGGCGGGACGGGTATCTCAATACTCAGTTCCGGCCCCACGCTACTGCAGTTCGGGGCTTGGTATTAATACCCGTGAGGTTACGGGACGAGGCGGGTCGACTCACTTTTGCATGTTATATGAAAATTCATGCAAAATTTTACTTTTTACGATAAAATGGAGGGGAAAACACTTTATGAATGAAAAATAGTGTGGATAAAACGGGTAATTAAGTATAACTAGTTAAAATGTCGAGTCTAATTACTAGTTGAACAAAAGTCAAAATATGAGACATATTAATATGTCGAGTCTAATTACATTAATTAAGTATAACTGTAAGAATTTGAGGTAATATCCACCCCATCACGGGTCAGATCGGGTAATACCCATGATAGGTTCAAATTGTCATCACTGCCTACGAACGCTACCTCTAGGATAGTATAAGTCTATGTAGTGGCGGAGCCAGAATTCAAAAGTATCTGTGTCCTCTTTTCAAAATATAAACAATATTAAATATAATTAAAAATAATAATATCCAAATAATTCATTCATACATAATAAAGAAATAACCAATTAATAAAATCATTGTTTTCATAGTCTAACCACTAAACACATTTTCATATTAGGAGTTAAATTAAATATATTTCAGCTTTTGGACAAAAAAAAATATTTTATAGCACGTGGTATAACACTCTTATATTGCCTAGAGATCATGAATTCAATACTTAATTTACGTTGTTAAGCAATCATCCTATGTGGTATATCCGAAAGGTTTTACGTTGCTAAGAGAATCGTCATTTTGCATAGGATTAAAACCAGTATCCTCTTTTATTTCCGGGCTTGACGAGCTGGCCCCTGGGACACACACTTTCTTCCACTCTGCCATCTCAAGTAACTCGTAAGTGGCGAGAGAGAGCAATTAGCAATGGCGCCAAAGTCCGAACTTCCATTCTCATCGCGAACCACCCAAAGGAAAGCCGTTCCTGCATCTAACTTCTTCCTCCTCCATGCCTATATTAAGGATTGGAGCCTCCAACTCTTACTAAGAAAGAAACCCAAACACACTTGTTGAGTGGACGTTGTTGTCGTCGTTGTGCTTCTTCGATTCCATCTTCGGCCACAAGTTTGGGTTTAAAGGATGCAAGCCGCTGGCGGCCATGGCGGTGGTGAAAGGACTCCTCTGTTATCTCGCGGAGTAAGTGTCTCTTTGTCATTTTGACGTTTGATTCAGCTTCCTGAGGTTTGCTTGCGCTCAGAGTTTTGAAATTGTTGCTTCCTTTTATATATAGTATATGTGGTTTCCGGGGTGAATACGGAATTGAAGCTTTTGCAATTCAGCTTTCTTACCCATTGCTGCCACCCCATTGTTTCTGGAGTGAACATTTTGGATCACTTTTTTTGTGCTCATCAGGTGTTCGATGAAATGGGTTTTGGTTTTCACTATATGCATTTGCCAAAGTTCTGATCTTTTGATACATATGATGGTCAACTGTAATCGTTCACGAGATGAGTGAAGTAATCGCGTGTTGGAACGCCTCTGCTTCTTCTTCTTCTAGTTTTAGCTCCTCGTCTGATGTATGTTTTTTTTTTTTTTTTGGCTGAAGGAGGGACGAAAGAGGAATGATCCTGAGGGGAACGATCGATTGTCAGACCTGGAGCATGGAGATGCTGTACAGGTAAGATTAATTTTCTCTTCCAAATCTTCCATTACATGGTTATTATGAATGGACCTGCTATGCTGATCTTCCATGTGAATCTCCAGGCCGCAAATGTCAGCTTCGGGCGTGTTCTTGCACTTGTAAGTGTCTACCATTTTCTAATTGCTAGTTGTCAATGTAGAAACAGCTTAAGAATAGAAATATAAATTTTCCTAATGGGGAGTCGTCTATTAGGTAAAACCTGATGCAGGGAAGATGATTCTTGCTACAATAGCTCTCCTAATTGCCGCCACATCAGGCATTCTCATTGTGAGTTTGAAATCTGGTTTTACCATCTATCATGGAGTTAATAGCTGCCTTTTGCTTTTCGGATGAGACGTTACTTTGTTGTGAATAAGTTTGTTTTGGTGACTCTCCAGCCCAAGTATGGTGGCAAGATAATAGACATCGTTTCAGGAGATTTGGACACACCTCAAGAGCAGAACGAAGCTCTAAATGCTGTGAACAATACCATACTAGAAATCTTTGTGATTGTTGTTGTAGGGTATGGATTTCTTTTGTTATGCGCTTTCTGTAATTTTTAGGCCAGCTGAAGGTTTAATTCATATGGTTGTCTCTCAAGTTCAGAGTTAACCATAATTTCCTATCGTTCTGAGAAGAAGCTAAATATAAGATCACACAATGAATCAGCAAACAAGCACTCCATTACTTTACTTGACCGATCCATATGTTTGTAACACTAAAGAAACCCGGTAAAGGCTTTATTACCTGTATTGTTTAATGTACTGCTCGTATAATTTCTGACCTGCGCAAGAGTTAAAATTTATGGTTGTTAAATTAACTTTTGTTCCATGTAGCTCTGTCTGCACAGCTCTTCGGGCATGGTTGTTTTCTTCTACTAGTGAACGGGTGGTTGCACGTTTGAGAAAGAGCTTATTCAGTCACCTTATTAACCAGGTATCATTGCTGAAATTGGTAGGAACTAATGTCTTATGGCTCTCAGTAACAGTACTTAGTTGACTGAACGTACCCGTGGATAGCTTTTTGCTTTCTTCGTCATAGTTACTTCTGACATTGAAATGACAAGCTTTTCAGGAAATAGCCTTCTTTGATGTTACTAGAACTGGGGAACTACTGAGCCGCTTATCCGAAGATACACAAATCATAAAGAATGCTGCAACTGCTAGTCTTAGTGAGGCACTGAGGAACGTGTCGACTGCAGTTATTGGTCTTTTCTTTATGTTCTCAACATCCTGGAAATTAACCTGTGAGATCTCTGACCACTGCCACAATATCACTTCAACTCTTTACAGCTACAGTCTTGCTCATGATGTGCAACTTGTCTTCATCTGTGCTTAGTGTTGGCTTTGGTTGTTGTACCTGTTATTTCTATGGCGGTAAGAAAATTCGGCAGTTTCCTGCGTGAACTTTCTCACAAGACTCAAGCTGCAGCGGCAGCTGCTGCTTCAATTGTTGAGGTAAGTGCTGAGAGCTATTGTTACTTAATACTTTCTTTCATCTATCGGCAGTGAAAGAGTTGGAAAGGTGAAAAGATATCTAAAGGAGTGATATTTTATCAAACTACTACTCAATCATGGGAAAATGTACTTTTCTGCCATCATATATGTAAACTATACCAGTTATATGTATCTCTTATGACTTGTGTGGTCAGGAATCTTTTGGTGCCATAAGGACTGTTAGATCATTTGCACAAGAAGCTTACGAGGAGTCACGTTACTGTGAGAAAGTTGACGTGACACTGAACCTTGGACTTAAACAAGCTGTGAGTTCCTTATTATTCTAATGTAGTACCATCTTTGCTATCCTCCTTCCACCAGTCCTGCTTTTTGTTGATGTTTCTTGCTGGCATAATTTTATCTTGATCATTTGGTGCTGCAGAAAGTTGTTGGGCTCTTCAGTGGAGGGATGAATGCAGCAGAAACACTATCAGTTATTGTTGTGGTGATATATGGAGCTAATTTAACTATCAAAGGCTATATGACTGCTGGTGCTCTTACCTCATTCCTTCTATACAGCTTGACAGGTGATTTCCAGAGCCTATTAAAATAGGTTAACAGTAATAGTCAATTAAGAAAATGGAAGTTCCTACGACTTGTATTGATTTTGTTTTCCACTTGTAGTTGGATATTCTATATCAGGATTATCAAGTTTGTACACAGTGGCAATGAAAGCGGCTGGTTCGAGTAGGAGGGTTTTCCAGCTTCTGGATCGGACCTCAACCATGCCAAAATCAGGAGACAAATGTCCTTTAGGGTTAGTCATCAAATATCCACCCTTTGGGTTTGTCTGAATGTCTTAAATATCAACATGAACTAGAGTACCAATTTATTGCTCTAACCATAAACCTCCGTTCTCGAAAAGAGAAGAAAAGAAAAGAAAAGAGAAGAAAAGAAAAAAAAAAAGATAAGAATCAGTGTGAAGGAAAGACTAGATGAGCAGGATGTGTTTTTGTATTTAGATAAAATTTGCCGATCATTAGAGTTCGCAATGGTTCTCTTCTTCCTGGGTCATGCAATTGAGTGGTTCATCCTTATTTCATGAGATTATTCTCCAAAATGAAACTCTGCTCCAACTCCTTGTTTACCTGCTGGTAGTGTTGTAGAACTTATAAATGCATGCTTTCTACTGCAGTGATCAAGTTGGTGAAGTGGAGTTAAATGATGTCTGGTTTGCATATCCATCCCGTCCTAGCGATATGGTACTCAAGGTAATTGGATTCTTTGAACTACAGTTCAGTTTATCAATGTGCATCTTCCTTGCCTGATTCTAAACCCTTCATATAACTCTGAACTTCAGGGAATATCATTGAAACTTCAGCCTGGCTCAAAAGTTGCTCTTGTGGGACCTAGTGGCGGAGGGAAAGTAAGTTTCTTTCTGGACTTTGAAGTTACTGTGCTGTTTCTCATTATCGTCACATTGCTTATGCTGTAAAATTAACTGAAGTCTAAAGAGTTGTTGTTTTCCTTGCTGCAGACCACGATAGCAAACTTGATCGAAAGGTTCTATGATCCAACAAAGGCAAGATTTTCATAAATGGAGTTCCTCTGGTTGAAATAGCCCACGAACATCTTCACAAAACGGTAGATTCAACTTGGATGTATAGCATCACGCCATTTTTCTCTATATGAAGTATTCAAATGATACAGCTACTTTGTGCTTGAAGTTCGATTACTTCTGAACTTTCTCAAGTATAAACAAACTTCTTTATTGCTGGTACAGATCAGTATAGTGAGCCAAGAGCCTGTTCTTTTCAATTGTTCAATAGAGGAAAACATAGCCTATGGCTGTGACGGAAACATAAGCAGCTCGGAAATAGAAAATGCAGCTGTAAGTCTCTCTATCTCTCTTTTGTTCCTGCCGCAATGATATTCTGACAGCAGGATTAACATGAATCCCGAAAATTGCAGAAAATGGCCAATGCACATGAGTTTGTGTCGAACTTCCCCGACAAGTACAAAACTCATGCAGGAGAGCGTGGGATAAGGCTGTCTGGAGGCCAGAAACAAAGAATAGCAATTGCCAGAGCCCTACTTATGAACCCCAGGATTCTTCTCCTCGATGAAGCCACAAGTGCTCTGGATGCTGAGAGTGAATACCTAGTCCAGGTACCAAGATTCAAATGCAGACTCACAATTACCTAACAGTCCCTAGGTTCCTAGTTCTTCCTGAAGCAAAATGGTGAACTTGGTTTCCCATTTCCTGTAGGATGCAATGGATTCTCTGATGACGGGAAGAACCGTCCTAGTAATAGCTCACAGGCTATCAACATTCCAAAGTGCCGACACTGTTGCAGTAGTTTCTGGTGGACAGATCGTTGAGAGTGGCGGACATGAAGAGCTACTCAGCAAGAATGGAGTCTGCAGCCTAGTATCCATATCAAAGTAGTTGCTGTTTTTTTTTTTTTATATATATAGGGTCGCCATTACTTGGCCACCTTTTTCTTCATCCCCAGAGGGTTGACTTGTGCTGGCATGTCTGCTTGCCTCCTGCTGCACCTCTTCTGTTATATTTACCAAGACCTCTCAGTTTGTACGATCTCATAGCAATAGTAACTGGTTAAGTAGTGTCTTATATGTTGAATGCAAAAGAAAAAAATGGTGTTTCTGTTTTCATGCTGAATTGGCAATCTCTCCAAGCTTAAATAAAACACTTTTGAGAGCAGGTACATATCTAGAGAGTGCAATAGGAGAGTCGTCAATGGCGAAATCCATTAATTAACGCAGTAAGCAGCTATCGAAGTCCATGGAGGTGATGGTTCTGTTCGAGAAGATGCAGCAGACCAGTCTGGAGCCAGATGAAGTCACTTATATTTCGGTTTTGTCAGGGTGTGGTCATTAAGAGTTGGGTTGAGATCAAGGACAAGGTTCATACTCGCTGTTTGTTTCGGGCTCCTGAGCTTGCCTGAGGAGATACCAATCATGATCCTGAAGAATCTCAGGATTTGTGGGGATTGTCATTCATTTATGAAGTCTGTGTCTCTACTGATGAGGGGAGGGAAATTATTGTTAGGGACACTAACAGGTTCCATCATTTCTGGAATGGACATTGTTCTTGCAATGACTTTTGGTAAACCAGTGTTTGAGATGCATACTGATTTTTCAAACAGTTAGGAAACCGACACCACCCAAAAGGGATAACATAGAACAAGGGTAAAATGAGAGATAAGTCTGGCAAAGCCTAACCAATTTTCTTCTGATTAATGAAGGAAAATACATTGATGCCCCAATTGATCAAGCAGACGCAGAAGTTTTACTGATTACATATCAGAAACTAACAGTCATATGAATGCGTTCGAGGTAGATTACCGAGGTCTCCAATTCTCCAGTGTCAGCAACTTGCCAGATCCAGCACATTTCACAGGTTATAATGGTTCCTGGTACAAATCTGACAGAGTTCAGCAATTCTTTGGGCTTGAGGCATGCAGTATCAGCATGAAAGAAGCAGGACACAATAGAGCAGAATGGTTGAGATGTAGAATAATTGTCCATGCCTTTAACCAGTATTAACCTAGCCAATGAAGAATTCAAGTAAAAATCCCAGCACTTAGTCACAGTTTGTAAACGCTCTGCATCCTGGTTCCTGCATCATAAGACGAGACATCAGCACTTAGTCACAGTTTCACTTAGAGTTAGAGGCAAAAGCAAGAAACTTAAATACTATATCTTACCTGAAATGTTTTCTGGGTGGACATAACTGAGGCCATGGATGGCCTAGAAAGTAACAGTTCTGTCAGCCACATTTCTGGAATTAGGACACCGTCTATCTTGCAGACAGTCTGACAAATTGCCGCATCGAAGAGATGCAGAAAACTGTGGGGTTCAAAATGCTGCTTCATCATTCTAGGAGAATAGGAAACCAAGTCCAAGACTTCCAAGTTGGTTAGGGATTAGTCAATTTGGACTAACTCAAAGAGTCCATAAACAACTTCATATTCATCACATCTTCTTTTGAGTCGGAGTAGCTTGGTGATTTGAAAAGCTTCCACATTCCAACTGGATGTTGGCTTTTTGAACCTTTAACAACATCCCCTGAAAACCTTCCATATAACTTCTCACACTCTGGGTATGGCTTGACATAGAAATTGTAGAACCTAAGCCTGCTCGGCTTTACGATATCTTTTAGTCCTACCTCATCCCCAAGTCCACCTTTTGCATGCAAATACTGAATCACATTGTACCGTGGAACAATCTGCTTCTCAAAACTCACACCTAAAAACTCGGGAACCTCGACCAAGCAACGGGCGTTGAATCCCATTGTGTTCACTAAGTAATGAATTCTCTTATCAGTCTCCTCCAAATCATAAGCAATCACCCGTGGCTCTTTCCACAGGACTTTGAATGCTTCTCGATGAGTCAACCCGTGTCTGCATAAGCAATCGATTCGAAGCTTCACATCAAAGCCAGCTCTGAGTTCTCCATTACTGAAGATCTTCAGCTTAATCGGTTCTCTGCATTTCAAACTCCGCAGCAAATCCAAACACTTCGATAGTTCTCCTACTTCCATCCCCAAAATTCGGGGTACCGCAAGAATCTCCTTCCTTACTAGTTCTTGGTTGAAACCCAGTTGTTCGAACTCATTGAGTAATGGCATTAGCCTGTTCTCAACTCCAAAACCCAGTACCTCTGGAAATGAATATAGAACCCAATCCACCCCATCATTACCAATCCCAATCCTCGAAAGAAACTCAACCCTTTTATGTACTTCACTTTCCTTCATCATAATCACCCGCGGGGAACCCTCCAATGTTCTCCTGATTGTGCCTTCACTAAACCCTAACCCCTTCAAAACCCTTAACCTGCTCTTAAACCCACCAGGGTCAAGACTAAACTTCCTAGAAAGCTCCAAAACAGTTTTAATCACCGAAGGGTTAAAAACGGCTACTTCCCCACAGTTCGAAAACCCCACTTCCCATTTCTTCAAAAACTGCAAATCCAGAACCCCTGGGCAGTCACTAACCAGAGAAACGAGAGACTTGCGGGGGATTTTGAGGGACAAGAGGATGCCCAGAGACCTCTCAACGTCTTGCAAGTTCCAATTCAGGACGAACCGGTTTCTACTAAGGAAATTCTGGAGCTGAGAAGGAGGGAAACCGTACCTCTGGAGGAGATTGGCGAGAGAAATCTGTTTCCTGTAGTCAGTTTGATTCCAGGAACCGGGATTCGTGCTGAGGAAACGGAGACCTCCTTCGACTGGAAGCAATTTTGAAGCTGCTGTGATACAATGGTGATTGGACCGTGTTCCGAGAATCCGAATCGCCATTGATCGGAAGCTCAGATCAGATGCTCGCCTCACTGCGTCGCCCTCGGGGCTGATTGCCCACAGGAGTTCAAATTGTTTTCTTTCCGACTTTTTTTCATTAAGAAAATAGAGCGGGACTGGTTTGTTATCTTTGCATAGTTGAGGGACAGGTGTGAACAATAATCCACGTATATGATAATTATCAAATTAAATAAGTTTATATTTTATTAAGTACGGAATATAATATTATAATTCAATTGAACAAACTAATACAAAAATCAAATTAATCAAATTAAATTTTAATCGATCTAGTTAATTGGTTAATCGAGTTAATCAATATAACATGGCATTATCATTATACGAGAAAAATTCTCTTCTTAATGCATCAATTCGTAATTTATATAATTAATAAAATATATCAATCAACACATAGTTAACTCTTAACATAAATACATGCAACTAATACAATTAGCTTAGAGTCAATATTAATAGCCTCCTAACAAAAATACATGCCAATGGTATGAGATCAATGAATTGGTGTGTCTGTGTGAATTACATTGTTTTAGTATCTTAGCAAGGGTGAAAGAGCCGTCCCCTTTCAAGTTTTCAGCCAACATATGTATAAGATTTATCTAAATTAGGTGTTGTCTACACTCTACAAGAACAAATATAGTATGTGAATAATATTGAGTTTTATTTTTTGATGGGTCCAAAAGGGAAGAACGCTTCACTTTTGAGTGATTATGAAGTATGAGCATATAATATATTAGATATATGATTAATTGATTTGATTGATTAGAAGTGTCTGAAACCATACTAAATCAAACAAGCTAAAAATTTAGTCAAGCCAAACCAATTATTCAAATTAATCAAATTAAATTATCTTAATACTACTAATTAAAATGGTTACCATGGTAACCACTATCAATACCCTACTTGATGTGATTAGTCATTTATATCTTATACATCCTATTTTTGTTTCCATTTCTATAGTCAATTTCACGGCTTAGGATAGGGTCAGTAACCAATGGTTACTAACCTATGAGTAATTAAATCTGGACCCTTAGATTTAAGTGGGTCCAGAAAATCCAGATCTAAGGGTTGTCAATTAAAGACATTTTATTTTCCATAGTTTTCTTAATTGGCTCTTATCTTCTTCGTTCTAACTCGGATTTCAATTTTTTTTTTTTGCACAGATGGAACGAGTTCGTGGTGCTCTACAAAATGAGATCAATTTTCAATATATTTCGAGAAACTTTTTTTTACCAACTACATACCATATGGTAACTTCTTCGTTTTAAGTCATTTTTTAAACGTTTGCTCAGAAGGAACGAGTTCATCATGATCTATTAGATCTATAAATTTCTGGGTGAAAAAAATACTGGATAAAAAATTACCATATTTTACCAATATGGTATGTGATTGGTAACTTGTGGTAATTTGTAGTAAATAATGATGAAAGTCGTAAATGATAGTTAATATACTCCTATTATCATGTATTCAACCTTCTTACCATATTGGTATGTTCATACCATCATGGTACGCTTTCTTACCATATGGTATTAAATTGGAGCATACCATATGGTAATGACTGGTAAAAAGTTATTCAATTTTTTTGTACTAAAAATATATCAAAGTTGATATCATTTTGAAGAGCATATTTAATCTGATTTATCTATGCAAAAAAAATTTAAATTTCAACTTAAAATGAGAGAGAAATCATCCGTTAAAGATTAAAGGGGAAAAAGATAAAAAAACTTTCAAGGAGAGAGAGGCTACTGATGTCATGCTGATATGGACAGATTACTCATGGTTACTAACCATAGAGTTACTGACCTGAACCGCTCCACAATTTCACAAGGAGATTTGTACATAATTCTATGTGAATTAGGAATGTTAGGAGCTGGAAGGCGAACATCACGTATAAAATAAATAGAGCATGCATGCACGCACTAGGGTCTTTTGGTGATGCAAAAGCAAACCCAACCACCGCCGCCTCCCACGATGACGACGACGATCAACAAATTAGGAGACGATCTCGTCGTCGAAATTCTCATCCGCAGCTTCCCAAACCCTAAACCCGCCTGCCGCTGCAAGCTCGTCTGCAAGCGGTGGCGCTCTTTGATCTCCGATCCCATCCTCTTCAGCCGCCGCTTCGCCTCCTACCACAAGAGCATCAACGAGAAAGTAGAACCCCCATTGCTCGTCACGTCATCGTCGTCAATATTCCGCCACCAATCCCTCAACTTCCTCCCCGTACCCGACAAAGTTGGGCCGTATTTCACAATCTTCGATTCCTTCCAAGACTTGCTCTTGTGCGGGTTTTCGGTGTGCAGGTTTCGCGAAAGTGAAGAATTTGAGAGATTTTACTTCGTCTGCAATCCGTTTACGAAGCAATGGGTCGCGCTTCCTTTGGCGCCCGAGAGTTCAAGCGGGATTCTGATTACCGCTGCAAGGTTAGTATGTGAACCCGTTCATTCTACTAGTCTTGATTTAGGAGAAGGTGGAGCGGCGTTTGATTATTCTTCCTATCGTTTCCGGGTAGTGTTGAGGTGTGAACCGAGTGGGGATGAAAGACTATACGTGTTTTGTTTCGAGTCGGGTGAATGGACCGAGGAGACTCTTGTTCTCGAGAACAATATGTTGAAAAGTATGGTTTCCTGCGGTGGGAAGTTATTTTTCCACCTTAATGATGGCGCATTCAGATCTCGTGGTGATGGCGCTCTTGCATTCAGATCTCTAGTGCTCGATGAGTTTGATCCTTTCCGTCTTGATCATGCACATCCTCGTCGTGTTCATACCTCCATCGCCTTACCGGTAGGGGCCAGGTATCGGATTTCGGTTTTACAAGGTGCTCTGCATATGGTTCTATTGGAGTCGAAAATTTCCCACTATTCGAGGAATGCTTTGACTGTTTGGAGACTGGAAGAAGACGACGACGACGGCGATGTATGTTCTTGGCGGAAACTGCACGAGGTTTTGTTGAAGGAGACGATGTTGGTGCACGGGTGCAACTACGAGCTTGACCGATTGTTTTGGGTTTATTTGCACCCACGGAGGCCCGAAATCGTCTTCTTGAATTATCTTGATTATCGTATTGAAAAGAAATTTGTCTTGTCAATGGATTTGACGGGGACGAAAGAGGTGGAGTTCTTCGATACAGATGGTCGTTTTACTTGGAACGTGTTCCAGCCTAAGATCTCTTGCTGGCCTACTCCGATTCCCAAGTATGAGGAATTGCGAGGTACATATGGCGAAATCTACGATTATTTGCTTAAGATCAAGAATAGTACTAACATATCTCAATGAGGTAACAGGTAATCACTTCAGCTTGTTAGGGTTTTTACTCAGCTTTTTTTTTTTCTACGTCTCTCAAACATCCTATGAATATGTAGAGAGACGTACTAGCTTCGTTTGCTAAGCAAGATGATGCAAGTTTCCCCTCTATAGAGATTCTACTTTTCTTTGGTCTTTCTCTCTTTGCATGGCCGTTTTCAGAACTAGATACTTCCTTTTGCATGGCCACCATGATCATTTACAAATGTTCTCTACAACGACGAACAATTGGTGGATTGTTAAAAAAAATAATTGAAAGTTATGTTTATTAATTTGTTATCAACTCTTCATGTTTTATTAACTAAATAACTAAACGAGACCCACCCAGTAAATCACAAACCCCAATCATCTTAATCGATAAGAAAATTAACAACAATGAAAAGTGAAATTGGTAGCAAGCTTTTGTATATGCAATTGGACGATTATAACTAGCTAAGATAGATTTTCATTGCCTCCATTTGAAGAACACACAATGGTAATTTTTACCATCACGTCACGAATGAGTTATCGAGCTAACCAAGTTGTTTTGTAGTAGTACGATTGTCTCGTCAATTCGAAGATTATGACAAACTGCAATTCAAGATGACATGAAAAAAGACATAAAACGATGGCGTTCTCTAAAGTCGGTCCTAACCCCAAACACCAGCCAGCCGCAAGTATAAATAGAGCTTGCATGCATAAGGTTCACTCCGAGGTTAGTTTGTGAACCCGTTCAATGTACTAGTCTTGATCTAGGAGACAGTCGACGGGCGAGCAACGACATTCGATTACTCTTCATATCGTTTTCGGGTTAGTATTAGTATTGAGGTGTCGAACGAGGACGAGTAGGGTCGACGAAGGACTAGACGTGTTTTGTTTCGCGAGTCGAGTGAGTGGACCAAGGAGACTCCTGCTCTCAAGAACAGTGCGTGTTCGAAAGAGTAGTGGTTCGTGCTATGAGAAGTTGTTTTTTTTTTTTCAACTCGGGGTGTGCGATAAACGGGTTCGACACTCCTCCAGCACTCGACGTGTTTAATCCTTTCCGCCTTGATATCCCTCCTAGTCGTGTTCGTACCCCAATGCCACGGAGACAAGCTACGTACCAACACTTTGCAGTTTTACAAGGCGCTTTGCATATGGTTCTACTCGAATCAGAACCTTTCGGTTGTTCGAGGAATGCTCTGAGTGTTTGGTGACTGGAAGAAGATAACGAGTATACTTGGAGGAAATTGCATGAGGTGTTGTTGAAGGAGACCACGTTATTGCGGGGTTTGCAATTATGAGATTGAGCGATTGGACTGCGTTTGCTTGCATCCACATAGGAGCGAAATTGTCTTCTTGAATTACCTTGATTCTCGTAACAAAGACGGGGATATCTTGTCAATGGATTTGACGGGGACGGCGGGAGAGGTGGAGTACTTTGGTGCACATGGCCTACTCCAATTCCAATTCCCAGGTATGAGGAACTGCGAGGTACATACGATTGAAAGCTACAATCGTCTGCTTAAGATCAAGATGTACAGCTGACATACCTCCATTGGACAATGGCTTAACTGGTAATATGACTTATGGTTGCTAGAGTTAAAAACAGAGATGCAACAGCCGACCAAAGAACGATGAACAACTGATGGGTTGTGAAAGGCGAGAAAGAACAGAGCATGTAATGTTTATCCATACTAATACTGCAAAAGAGAGCTCCACAACATATACAGGCACAAGATGGCAAAAGGATAACCTCATCACTCTCAAGTCTAAAATAAGAATCTGATTCAACTTCATTCATTCTCAATCATCAAGCTAAGCTTTAACAGAAAAAAATGCATCTTCTCGAGAAAAAGGAGAATGACAATCGTGCAATGAGTCACCTTCCTCTGGACACAGCTTCTTTCAACTCCTCCACCGATGAAGGGAACAGCTCAATGTACCGACTTCCCAGTGTCATCCTATCCTTCTCCATGGCCGCCTTTGAATCCTCGGCACTCTCGAACTCGACAAACGCCTCCCCATTGGGTCTCCCTTCTGAATTTGTTAGTATGTAGATCGATCCCTCTGACAATGCTCCATAGCCCTTGAAGAACTCCATAATGTCGTCCTTCCCTGCTGAGAATGGCAGCCCCCTCAGCCGCAACATCCCTGTGTGCTCCGCTGATTCCTTCCCCTCGTCGTATGATCTCGCTCGTGCATAGCCTCGCCTTGGTGAACTAACACTGCGATACTCCGATACTTCACCTATTAGAGAGACAACATTGAGCGTTAAGAGTAATACATAATGTTAGGATAGTTGCAGACTCAAATGAATTGTTGGTTAGCACCTCACCTGCTATTGCCTTGTAGTAGTCCTGTCTCGTGCTTCTAAACACCTCAACATATCTCCTCCCCATGTTTTGCCTGTTCTTTTGGAGAGCGAAATCGACCTGAAGAGGGTACCCCAGCACACAGAACGCCTCGCCACTGAACTTATTACCGCCCTTGTGAACAAAGAGGATATCTACGATGTCTAGACCTCGGAAGAACTCGGCCACATCACTGTCCGTGCAATCAAAGGGCAGACCACGGAGTCGCACAACAGGGAAAGGTGGAGGTTGGCCAACATAGGCATACGTTGGTTGGTTGTACATAAAGCTCGTCCCAGCTGGAGTAGCCCCAAAGAATGAAGGGCCCTGGTCAACTACCCGCTGCCGCTTTGCACCCATTTCACGGCTACCTGAACCATCGCCATACCTGTCATGCTCAATAAAAAAAAATGCCCACTTAGTACATAGCATCGAAATTTAGTGCCTCAGGCCATACAATTCAAGCACATGCAATCCAAAGCTCTAAACTATCCATCTAATATGGAGTTGCTATCACGTTAACCCTTACTGTGTATTTCACAATGAATACTAAATCAGCCACTGGTTGGAAGCCACAATGACAATGGAATCTTGGTAGGCGTCTGTGTGATCACTACCCATCTAACATGAACAGACAAGAACAAGTGGCGCTAAATTGAGAAGGAAGGAAGTAACTAAGAACTACGACGAGACCTAAGTTTAACAGCTCAAGATAACCTAAAATCACCCCAATTTGATCGATAAAATTCGAAACCCTAGAATCCCAAAATAAAAAATACGGGCAACAATCACCAATCAAACAGACGATATGCATAGAGAGGTAGCGCGGTGGAGCGGCGAAGAACCCAGGAAGAAAAATTAGGAAGAATTGAGTTATCCTGAAACGGGAAACGAGCGTACCCTCTGTAAAACATCGTTGGGCGGCGGCGACTATTGGGTGTCGTCAAGACTGCAACTTTTTCGCCGGAGCTCCGACTTCGCGCTTCGCTTTCCTTCTGGGTTTCGAGGTTTGACGCTGAAACTTGAAGGCACGTTCACCGTTCGCGCTATTTGGTTTTGTGGCCCGAAAATAGCAATGTACGGCGCCGTTTTGTTGTGGAGGGTCAGGCGTCATTGAAGCTACTCGAACGGCGGCGTTTGATACATACATTAATTTTGGTATTAGGGAATGGTAAATTTTGGTCTATAGACAAAATTATCTCAAACTATAGTGATGTCATGTATAAATTTGGTTCAATCATAGGCAGTAGAAATATGAATGATAAAAGTTGATCTCAATACTAGGTTTACCTTTGTCCAAATGTTAGATATGAATTAGTGTATGATCCTATTGATAACTTTTTAGTACGTTCAGTTACTAATTAAGAATTAAGTGATTGCGATGCTTACATTTATATTAATAGAAAAATGAAAACCACGAGATTTCTAGTGTGCTGGTGTGAGAGGCTACACACAATATCTAATTGTAACTTGTAACAATAAAGATGTAATATATGTAAAAAAAAATTTATCGATAACCAATGCATCATTGCTCCAAGAAAACATCATTTGTGTAGAAGCTCGGAATTACGCTAAAAGACTCATTGATAGTCATGGTATAAATTGTACCATGCCTCTAGGAGTGTTAAATCATGCCTTACTAAAAGGTTGTTCAAGGGGCCAAGTCTCACATCGGCTCTTGTCAACTCTCAATCGATCTATGTCAACCCACACGCATGACCAAGTGAAACAAGCATCGAGATTCGAAGGCCTCGAGCATCATCTTATAACCTCAATCCGACTACAAGTCCCACCGGACAAGCATCAAGCCGTGACTCTTAGCCTTTATCGACTATGTCATGACGGCCTCAAAACCAGGTGACTAGGGTCACGACTCTCGACGACCGGCTCCAAGAATCTAACCCTGAACCACAACCCCGAACATCTTGACCCGTAAGGCCAGTGGTTAGATGTCTTGCATGGCTTGCTCAACGTAATAACATGAGCAATCCAAGCACGCTACATTCTACATTCCCATCCAAACCCAAAATCCAGGACTTGCAGTTTCCGTTGACAAACTAAATGCTCATGTTCAAAGATGCAAACTGAACACGTTCATAGTTGGGAAATTTCAAAGCCAGGAAAAGCCAAGTGGCAGCCCACAGCCAAGCCTTTTCCCACCAACAAGACCGTCCAGGTATCTAATAACCACCGTCGCTGAAAGAAAAACACATTTCCGCTACTTACTAGATTCTGTCGTGTGCTTCACCTTTCCCCTCACTGATTTTTTTCCCCAAAGTTTCTTCTGGGGCCAAGTTGGAGAATTCTCCACCTCAGAAATTTTGCTTGGTGAGGAGTCGTCTCACGCCTCCTCTCGCCAGCGCATTCCCCCTTTCTTGACTCTCTCTGCTTCTTACCCTCTGTTTCCCTCTCTCTTAACTTCAATTCCACGCCTTTAATTGCGCCCATCCCTCCCTGTTCCCAGATTCTGCAATCTCCACTTAGATTCCTTCCTCCCTTTTTAGTATCTTCAACGACCCTTCCCAGCCTTCACAATCTGTCAGAATCCAGTAGAAAAGTAGCAACCTTTGATCTGGGTTTTCTGAGAACCTCTGGATCCAAGAGAATGGTTGGGGGAGCAGCAGCAGCTTTGCCGATGGTGGGTTCGTCGGTGGTGTTAGATTCCCTCCCTGATTTGGCGATTCCGAGGAGCTCTTCCATGAAGAAGAAGCAGCAGCTGGCCGGAAGGTCGGTGGAACTAGGGAGCTCTTTTGCCATCTCCGGGATTTGCAGCAGAAGCAAAGGTATGGCGAGGAAGCAGCAGCAGAGGAAGGACCAACGGAGGCTGGTTATCGTCGCAGAGCTCGGTGGCCAGTATGAAGACACCTTCAATGACGTTAAAACGGTATGAGGCATTGGAAGAAAGCACAAGTGGGGTAGAAAGGTTGAATCTTTTTCACCTTCTGTTTGATGGGTCGTCTCTTGATATTGTTGTTGTTGCAGCAAATAATGAACTACTTCACGTACAAGGCAGTGAGGACGGTTATGAACCAGCTGTATGAGATGAATCCAACTCATTACCGTTGGTTTTACGAGTAAGCATGCGAAATTGCACCAAGAATCTTTCAAGTTTTCAATTGGAACATAGAAATAATATAGTCTCTCCTTATTCTTTTACCTATTTGGTTTGTAGTTTTGTGGTCATGAACAAGCCTGGAACTGGGAAGCATTTCATCCGAACCCTAGCCAAAGTAAGCACTTTATATTAGAAATTTGAATGAATTACCTAATGGAGTAAATTGCTGAAAGAAGTTTGAATGTATTGTTGGGTGAAATACAGGAGAGGCAGGACCTTGCTGAGAGAGTAATGGTGACGAGGCTTCACCTGTATGGAAAATGGATTAAGGTAATAAGGAAATGTGTTTAGCTTACATTATGCAAGCGAGTGAAAGTAAACAATGTGATTAACTGTGTGAGTAATATGGTAATTGTGAATGCAGAAATGCAACCATGCGGAGATGTACCAAGAGATTTCGGACGAGAACTTGGCGCTAATGCGTGAACGGCTCCTGGAGACTGTGATATGGCCATCGGATGATACCAACACGGAGAAGATTGGCTAAATCGAGAAGTTGCTGCTGGAAGAGATCCACACCAGAAAAGAAAAAGACTTCCAGAGAAATTTTTGCTTGCTTCTTCTTTGTCACTTTGTAGCTCAGGGAATTCACTCGTCAACGGAACTTATTGGTTTCCTTGGTTGATCTTTATATATGATCCAAGGCAAAAAGAAACTGTCACAAAAAAGAAAAAAAAAAGATATTATTGTCGCATGTATAATGTAAGCACCTTTTGTGTATATAATGGTACAAGTCAAGCATCTATCAATGGTAAGATGGTTACCTTTCTTTCGAAGCAAAGATATGGCGATTTCTTCTGCTGCAGAGCTGTACCAGCAATAAATACCCTGGCCCTGCTTTACATATAGCATATATCAACATTAACCTCTGATTTTGCTTGCTAATGAAAGATATCGATTTAATACTCGGCTCCAACGCATTAAACCCAGTATTATAAACACCAATGAGATTCTCAAAATAATGCCAACTAGAGAACAGCATATGCAGCAGCTAGTAGAGACAATACCGAAGAGAAAACCTGAAGTTTTGCATAAACTCTCTAAGCAAGCATTTTACAGTGCCATGCAAACTGATGGCAGTTAATGTACAAAATACAACAACAGGAGTCCTCTGAGATAGTCAACTGAATAATGATACAGCCATTTGTATGCACAATTTCATGTTCAAGGGAACACACTCTTGACAGTTGAACTGCATCCCACAATGTTATAAAGGCATCTCCTCTCACACTGCTGTAATTGTGAAAACAGGATACTCTAAACTCTGCACCTACAAAAGGCAAGAAACGGGATCATGCACATAGTTCTTCAGCTAGAACGTCACGACGAAAAGAGAAGATCAAAGCATGAATCTGATCTTTTTTCACTTCATCACAAATTATCTAGAGAGAACAACTATACAGTTTGAGCAAACATGTAACTAACCATGACAAATTTCCAACAGAGAGTAAATATTTTTGGGCTTGCTTACGTCAGCAAGTGTGGAAAGTTTTTATGAACCATTTTCGATGTGTTAGGGGTCACCATACCAAATGGTTGATGATGATGACCACATAAGCCATTGTGTTTTATTCATCCGAAATGTGGGCAATCCACAAAAACACACAAGAAAGAAAACTTCAACTAGTCCAGACCATGAAATGTTCCAATTTTCTGTACTTAATAAAGATTCTATAGTTCATTCAGCACCATGAAACTACAGCAGTAGCTTGAAACTACAAACCTTGGCTGAAGCATGATACGTTGCCTGGAAGAAAGCTGGAGATATTACTACGGCTAAGTTTAAGATGTAAAAAAACAAATGTCCGTCTCCACTCATCTCTATGATCGAGTTGTTTCAGAGGTTAATCCTCTACAACTGAGGTCAAAAGTCACCAAGCTCAGTCTGGGTGAGCAATGTTTTTACTCTAATCTGCAGAAAAGAAAGAAGAAAGAAGAAAAGAAAGAGGCTTCCATTAGCAAGACCTTTGACACATTTAGAGAAAACCCCAAATCTAAAGTAATCGTTAATCGTTATATATGAATTTCCGGTTACCTTCACATCCAAGCAAGGATCATTGACCATACTCCTTACTATGGACAGCACCCCTTCTTTCTGTAGTCTTTGTTGCCGATTCAATGCTCCAGGAGATGGCAAGGTGAGATTTATAAGGACCCACACAGTAGCAAGGCGCAATCTACTGTCAGTACTCAGCAAGAAGTTGACAAAGAAAGGCTCGGGTCCCCTCCCCACTAGTGGGAAAAGCAGGCACATAACTGCTTCCTTATGAATCTCATTTCCACAGGCAATGTTTCCGAGCACGTACATTCCCTACAAGATTAGAATGTCGTTAACCCGTGGGATTGAAAATCATTAAATAAAACGAAAAATTATATAAATAAAAAAGTGGCAGGAAAGTAATTTTGAAGTTTTTAACCAAATGAGAGTATGAATACAATAAGAACTTGGATGTTGGAACATTTTTCTCGGAAAAACTGAAACTAATGGTCAAGAAGTATGAAATGATGTTTGTGAAATCTGAACCTACATATAAAAATGCACAAGACATGAAGGACGGTTCTATCCAAACACTAATCAAGCATACAGGTCTACTGCATCAGCAGTTTATCTAGAAGTACAATGTCCTTCAGGAATGCATGCAAACGTATAGTATACCGGAAGTTTAAGATGCTTCAGAACTCAAAGTTACCATGGCTAAACCAAAGTACGCTCTAAATAAAATTAAACCATGCATCAAGGGTGTTTACCCTGAACCTACAGCAATAGCTAAAATTTTCAGCATGTGGCCATGTCCAATTGCCAAGTGAATTGGCAAACAGGATAATATTCACTGGCAAGCAAAGATGTAAAGCATCCATCTTTCTTCGGTTAGCATGCGAAAATCTGGACAATGCCATATAATTTATTGTCATCACTAGCAAATATTTTCTTCTGACACTATTGTATACAGAAGCTTTAACAGCCACAGATAGCAAGACGGCCACAAATGACACAGCCAAGTAATTAATATCTTCACCTTTCCCTTTTGTGTGTACCAATATATTCCCCTCTCTGTTTATTATATATCTATATATTCGTCAAAATAATTAATAAATTCTGGTTGCACATAATAATTATTGGAACCAAGAAAATCATAGTTGGAGTTTTCAAACCTGTATCAAAACTTCAGCATTTGGACCACACTGTAATTGGCTTCCGGCAGCATCTAAAATAATACCATCATCGGCAAAAACTTGCTCAATTGACTCAACACTTCCATCAACAAGATTGCGAACAAGGGCCAAAGCTTGCTCCTGAACAGAAAGCTCGTCGTCTGCAATAAAATGTAGATTTATCTCATTTTTTAGTAAGTGCGCAAATCACATGCTTCAGCTGAAAAAACTAATTGAAAACATTAAATTTACCACATATAAGATCTGCAATCAGTGACGGGGTCATCCCGAAATAAACTGCTTCTTTACATTTGTCATCCGCAAGGAACGTCATGTTCCTTAAAGCCCAGAGGGCATTTGACCTAACTGCGGGAACCATTGATTTTGATAAACCAAAAAGCTGTTGCATGCCTTCATGTGCAACAAACATTGACTTTTGTGTAGTGAAATCAACAACAATATTGCTCACAACACCAAGAGCTGCAACCTGAAAACCAAAAAAAAAATTACTGGGAATAATAGTAGCCACGTGTGCTTTTACCAAATTGTAGCATGTCATAACCTAATTAGTACCCCTTAAATGGAAAATAATAACAAGAAGCATCAGAAACCATGTGATCAATTGATTTCCTTAAATTGATGGATTTGATCAACGATACTGGATCTCTTAGAGGGCACAAATGTTTTTATTTAGTAACTAATACAAATTGTGCTCCCTAACCTCAACCTCTCTCCCCTACAACCAAGGCGCTGCCTAACTACAATGATCCGAGACTGGTGCTTAGAGAAAACCTGGAGTTCTTACAAAGGGCTTGCATTACTAAAAGGTAATTTATGTTCCAGAAGGACTTGAGAATAATATTACCTGGACTTCCTCCGAAGCATCCATCAGCAACAGAACCAAAGCAGTGACGAGGGCTTCATTTTTCATAAAGTAACCTGCACACAAATTCTGAAAAGCATTCTATTAGCTAAAAAAAGGCATGACAGATCTTGAAGTCAAGAATCATAAAAATTAGCGGGCAGATGGCGCACCTTGATTGATCGAGTAACATTTTTTAAGCAGTTGCAAGCTGCAATTCGTATATCTTCCTCCTTATGGTTTAGGAAACCAACAAGTGGTTTCAAGACCTATAAATCCAGTGACATAATGTTAGTACAGGTTGCAAGCTGAAAAGACAGCAGGATAACCTAGACATCAGACCCATATTAGCTATGGACAGTGGGATTGGCACTGATACACTTCATAATGACGAGCCAACACATCAGATACTTCTATTGCAATCCGGATCAGTTCTCTGACATGCCAAACTCAATATCCATGTTATAAACATGTCTACTATTCACCAAAGTAAAACTAGCCGGGTTGAGCTTAGCATTAAGCAAAGCACGTTGAATCGCTTGGAGGTCAAGTTTAACCAAGCACCCTAATGCAACTTAAGAAACATAAAATTATGTTTCAAGATTAACTGGTTAAACTTAAAGTGGACCCTTTTAAGGAAAGAAATGAATATCATTTGGGAAGCATGCAACCTCCGCTGGATGCATTGAACATACAGGAAATATAACTTCAATAGATAGATTTAGGGCAGGCAAAACTAGCACAGATAACAGAGGAAAAAGACAAAACATTAAAACTAATTGGATTCTAATCATGCATTGTACCTGCATGGATAGGAATGTCGATCTACAGATTTCTAACTTTGAGCAGAGATCAGCCAAGGCCAACAATACACCTCGAAGACGCCTAGGATTGACATTTTCCTTCTCCATGCAATCACGAAATTTAACCATAGCATCAGCTTCAAGAGCTATCGTATGTAGATCTTCCTTCCCTAAGACCAGACTAGACAATACAAACGGGGACTCATCTCCAACTTGACCTGGATCATCAAGGAGCTCGAGGAGAGTATTGACCAACTTCCTATTGAGCCCCAATTCCAGGATATAGCAATCTGTAGCATCCCTAATGACAATCAAGCACTGGCAAGCAAGCAGCCTCGTCTTGGCATTGCTATCCATGGTCAACCTAAGTATGGCATTGAACAATTTCCCGCCATGAGGTCCCAGAAACTCCTTTATGACTTCAGAGTTATTTTTGAAAGCTGCAGCAAGAGAACCTAAGCTAGCATCTCTCTGACCTACACTCCCATCTAGGAGGCTGACAAGCCTCTTCAGAACCCCAGCCTTGAGCATAACTTTCTGCTCTTCGAACGTCCTGCAAGAATGGGCTATGATATGAGCACCTAGTTCAGTAACGTTTTCACCCTCTCTATTCAGTAAGGAAACCAGGAATTCTAAGCTTCCACGTTCAAGGATTTCATATTTGGGAGCAAATTCAGACTGGTAGATCATTTTCAGGGAGCGAGCACCAACATCCACTACCTGAAACACCAAATGACCAAAGCAATGGATTATCACCCATTGAACAATCATAGCAAAAGGATTGAAGAACCTAACTTTGAATTCCAATTCTCCCCGCCTTAATTGGCATTGTGGTTCATTTCACTTTATAGCAAGTTAGGTCTGCAGTATCAGACTCTATTTTTTTTTTTTTTTCTCCTTCTCAAATTTGTGTTCATAGAAGAAGGGGAAAAAAACAGGAATAAGAATCAGATAAGCACGTTACTTTGTCGTCGGGATGATCGAGCAGTCTAACCAGAAGCGGCAGAGCGCCCGCAGCGAGAACTGCCTGGACGCCGTCGTCGAATCCGCAGGCGAAGCTGCCAAGAGCTGCCGCCGATTGGACGACGACATTGCTGGAATAGCCGAGCATTCCCCGCACAGAAGCGGCAGGAGCAGTCTGGAAGCAGTCGCCGTCGGCAATTGCGGCGGAGAGAATTGACGCGACGCGGGGGACGGCGCCGAGCTTTATGTAGCTGAGCTTTTTCGTCTTGCTGCCTATTATTTGGTTCTTGACTTCCCGCAGGGCCTTCAGCTTGACATCGGGGTCACTGGAGGAGAGTCGAGCGACGAGGGAAGACGGACCGCCGTCGGACCCGGAGGTGGTGGAAGCGGAGGCGGTAGTAGGCATGGCGGTGGCGATTGATGGCGGCAGAAGAATGGCATGCAATCGAATTCGTAAGGATTTATGAAAGAGAGGAAAGGGGAAAGGGAAAGGATTTTGGATTTTTGTAAAATAATTAAATGAGTTAGTTGGGTGCGGGGAATCCTTTTTGAAACCGTTGTTTTTCATTTCTGACTGAGTTGGAATCATATTTATTTAATAACTATATAACAAATTACTTTTTTTATATATGGAATCACTACTAATTCACTATTATGAATTCTTAAACCGTTTTTTTTTCTCATTACAACTTATCATTTTTCTTCCAAATAAGAGGTGGGACTGCTATTTCAATACCGTGGTGATGTTAAAAAACTACGAGTTTTTGAGATTTTATTAATGATTTTCTAAAAATTATTGTTTTGATCATGGCTGGGAATAGGGTTGTTAATGAGTCGAGCCGAGTTTTGCCATAGTTCGGACTCGGGTTGTTAATATATTTTCAGGCTTGAGCTCGGCTCGTGTTCGTCACAAGTTTTAATATGCAAGCTCGAGCTCGGCTCGTTTATGAAAATCAAAGCTTGAGCTCGACTCGAGCTCGCTCGTCAAATAAGCTTAACGACCCCAAGATTGACCTAGAACTGAGCACAAAATGACATTCAAACTTGTAGCAAAGTCAAGCTAAGTAAAACACAATATTCATCATAATTTTAATACATAAAATCAATGTATGCTAATCTTTTTTTATGCCAAACCATTAAATGAGCTTGTTCGCGAGCTTTCGAGCTGAACATGGTATGGCTCGAGCTCGGCTCGTTTAGTTAACGAGCTTGTTCACGAGCCGGCTTGATTAAAACGAATAGAGTGTCGAACGAATTTTTCTCGAGTCGGACGCCGAGTCGTTCATGAGCGGCTCGGACGCTTGGTTCATTAACAGCCCTAGCTGGGAATATGAGTTTTTTCACAAATTTCTCCTTTTTCCAATAGCAATTGTGTACCTTTTCAAATGTTATATTCATAATAATTTGTCTATGGAACCAGATGCGGGTAATCTTGTTTAGATCAAATAACAAAGCAAGCCTCTTCTATCGAGTAAAAAATAGGTTACACTAATAGTTTATTAATTATATTGAACAAGAAGTAGCAAAAACCACCTGATCATCATGAAGCATTATGACTCTCATAAAAAAATGAGGTAAAAGAAGTTGAAACAATCAAAAATCACATCTATCACATTATCGGTATGTTTTTTTTATGACAAATCACTTAATCATCATGAAGCGTTATGACTCTCATAAGGTTTCAATGCTTTTGTATCCAATCTGATAGTAGTTTCAGATTATTTCATTCGAATTGACACGTCAAGTATATATATAGGTGCAGCCTATGCACCCAAATCGAAAAGTAATTTTAAGATATATAATTTTGGACTTTAATTGATAACATTAGTCTAATGGATGATATAACATAAGATCAGGACTAATGAGAGAACTAATAAAAGGTTCTAAAGATCCAAATCATCTTGGGTGCTCTGCCAAAGCCTCGAAATGGTTGTGGAGCTTGCCCCTCCCACCAAAGATCTTAAACTTCATTTGGAGGATCACCAAAAAGGCAAAAATGCAATTACCACAAAGACAAATCGTTGGTTTGTCTCCTTCATTTGTGGTGTCTTGTGTGCAATGCAGACATTGAAGATACTTGGCATTGCTTCTTCGAATGCTAGCATGCAAGAAGTTTGTGGCAGCTTGGATTTGCCTCCTTCCCTCTTCGGTAGAGGGATTTGCTGATCTTGATGTGACTTTACCACATCCATGATTTGCTCCCAGCCTATCGTGGGTGGCAGTGGTGGCAAATCTTTGTACCATTTGGAATGCCCGTAACGACTTGGTTTTCAAGGGGATTCGCCCAGTTCTCCAAACTTCATCAATAATGGTGAATCTCCCTCTTCTCTGATTGAAGCACGTTCCTCCCCCATCTCCTACCAGTTAAGAATGACAACTATGAGGCGAGTGCAACCCTGTAATGAGGTGACCAACCTCCTTTGATTTCATCAATAAAGATTGTCTATCAAGAAATCCATGTATCGTGGAATTCATGGTTTGCGTCTCCAACATGTGAGTTTAGTCTATAACCTCACTAGGTCATCAGTCATCACCACGGATGGCAATGGGTCGGGTCAGTTGCGAATAGTGCATATCCATTACCCTACCCAAAATAGTTCGGGTTTTACCCATACTCATACCCACATAAGAAACGGGTAGAAAATCAAAACCATGCCCATACCCGTTCGGGTTTCGGGTATCCACGGTTATCCATGGGTAATAAATTTTCTTCATAACACCAACCAATATGTTAACATTCCCGCGTATTGTCACATGACGTAAAAGGAAAAATACAACAATAATTCACTAGAATTAAGAAAATTAATTAAAATAATACAATTTCACGAAAATACTATATTTATATGCTAAATATTAAATATGTTACAGAAAAATAATGATTATTTCTATACAAAATACACATGAATGTGTATAATCGGGTGGTTTCGGGTTGGATAGTAAGAAACCCATGCCCACCTGAAATTGAAATAATGTGTTTCCCAAAAATTGCTACTATTCACTATTCAGCACTATTTAATTCCCCAAATAAAAGCTGATGGAAAGGGAATGGAAAGTAAACACTTTTTCATGTTTGCATTTCTAAATGAATGAAATGGAATGACAAAACAGGAATGGGAATGGTTACTAAATAGGGCATAAGGTTTTCGACATTGTGAATTCCAATTTCCATTCCACCAGATTGCATTCACGATTAAACAAAAATTAAAGTTCCTGATTTCATGTAAGACCTATAGACGTTTTTAGGAACTAATTAAACATAACAACCAAAAATCAAACATCATATAGAGTAGTAGAAGATTAATGGAATAATAAAGGCAACATGATTTCAATACTCAGAAACATGCATAATGACAACGAAAGAATCTATCGACATCAAAAGTAAAAGTAAATAATAATGGTACGTGGCTACATGCATAACTTTGACCAGAAACATACGTAGAACAAAGTTTATAGATCATGGTTAATTATTATCTGATGGTAAATATTACCAGTATCATTATTTAAGATAGCTCCTTGGAGTTCCGTCATTGCAATTGAGGCCTTATCAAACTCAGAAATCGAAGCACAAAGCTTATTTTGACTATATGGTTGATGTCAACAGTGTATATTAGGTTATGTTGTAAAAAAAACAAAAAGACGTTTGCTCATTGATGTCCATAGGGAACCTTTGTCGACGGAATGAAGGACCAAAATCAATTGCTGGAGACAAAAAGAGAGTGGGAGGAGGAGGTTTCATGAGAGGGCAAGCAGTATGAAGGTGGCTGCTGCATGGCTTATGGGCGGACAATATTGAGAGTGGGTTGCTTAGGACATATGACATGCGATAAAATAAATATGGCTTGTTCAAGATTGTTAAATTTGATGAATCTTATAAATCATAATCATGCTTACTGCAACTTCAATGAAGCAAAAGTTGAGATCGAAGAGAAAGCTTAATTATACTTAGAAAGCTAATGCTGATGATATCGAGAGTGTTAGATTATCAGCTAAATAAACAATCAATCTACTGGCATTGCAAAGTGGTGGCCGTGCACTCAATGGATTTCTAAATAGTGATTACTATAATTATGTTTCTTCACAGATACGAGCTAAAATGATTAAAGGAGATCCTTGTACGATTTTGAATTATTTCAGAAGAACACAATTAGAGGATCCATCATTTAACTATTCGGTGCAATGTGATGACGATTATCTTATACTGAATGTGTTCTGGGAAGATGGTGAATCCATTGTTGGTTATGAACACTTTGAAGATGCTATATGTTTTGATACGACTTACACAACCAACAAATATGGTTGACCCTTTGCACCATTTGTTGGAGTCAATAATTTGAAGCAAACAACTATCTTTGGGGCATCACTACTTTATGACCAAACAATCACATTTTTTAGTGGGTGTTTGATGCTTTCTTTAGTGCAATAGATTGAGACCATCCCAAGACTATACTAACAGATTAGTCATCAGCTGCCATGGCCTTAACGATTCAAGAGGCATTTTCTCAAACTCACCATCGTATATGTGTTTGGCATATTTACCAAAATGATGCTCACATTTAAGCCATGCATTTAAATCAAAAGAATTTACATGTGAGTTCAGTTCATGTGTGTAGGATTATGAGGATGAAGATGAATGGTTCACTGCTTGGAATAACATGCTTGGAAGGTATGGTTTGGAAGACATTGAGTGGTTGCATGAAATATTTTCGAAGAAAGATAAGTGGGCTATGGTTTATGGTTGTCGTATGTTTACTGTTGATACGAACAATGTGTTGAAGAAGTACTAACAAAACACAATATTGTGGTGTACTTCTTCAGTTTCTATACTCGGTTATTAGAAGATAAAAGGTATGATGAACTATTGGCAAAATTCAAAATGAGAAACGCAAGGCAAGTTTTGAAAGCAAATGTTGAGATGCTACAACAGGCTATGAAATTTACACTCCTAAAGTTTAGAAGATGTTTGAGGAAGAATATGTGAAATTTGGGATTTCAAGATTGAAAAGATTAGCAAATACGAAGTTGAAGCATAATATAAAGTGAAATATGATGGTAGAACTACAGAGCACAAGGTCCACTTTGGGTATGCTTCATGTTGGGGGATATTGCAAAGAGTGGAGCTCAAGCAAGGGCATGGCGAAGCCCAATGAAGATAGGTGTGGTTACCCATAGGGAGAAGCCCATGAATGGGCCTGCCGGGCCAAGTTTTGAAAGCAGATGTTGAGATACTACGAGTCTACGACAAGCCTATGAGATTTACACTCTTGAAGTTTTTAAAATGTTTGAAGTAGAATATGTGAAAATTTGGGAGTGCCCGATTAAGAAAAATAGCAAATATGAAGTTGAAGCATAATATAAAGTGAAGTATGATGGTAGAACTACAGAGCACAAAGTCCATACTTTGTGTCTGCTTCCCATATAGTTGAATGTAGTCGCATGAAATTCAACTATGTAGGGATTTCGTGTGCTTATGCTTTGAAAGTCTTGGACAAGAAATCCCTGGGCAATATATAATACCAAGATGGACAAATTATGCAAAAGTCGGGGTCTTTAGAAGTTCACGATCTTTTCAAGCCTTTGGAAGTTCTGAAAACTCCGTTGAAAACAATATTTCACCTTGAATTACGATTTTCGAGAAATTTATACACTTGCAATTGAGAGTGATGCTATGTATGATCATCCAAGTGAAGTTTTTTCAAAGTCGTTGCGAGAAAATCCTCAAGTTCATGGGGTTTTATTCACAATGACACTCCACAGTTTTAAACTGCCAAGGATGTTTACTCGGATTGTGAAGACCATCCAATTGCATTAGCAATTAAGATGAAAACAACAGTAGGACACCCGAAAAAGAGACCGACAAGGGGCATTAGAACGTCGTAAAAGTCACAAAATTCAATCAAAAGAGCAGGTTTTATTTCTTTCACCCATTTTTTTAATGACATTGTTTATTATTCGGTTATATTTCCCCATGTGTAAACGTTGAGTTATTTTCTTTGCCTACTATATTGACTATTGAATAAGAAGAAGAAGACTCGGGTTTCTCAACAGGGACAAAGTGATATTGAAATCCAATATCAAAACAAAGGTTCGTTCTATTCTAATTTATTTTATTTGCTTTAAAATTTTACTTCGTTAGACTAACTCCAACCCTATAGCTAAAAAGTCATTTACCCATTTTTAGCTCTTTTTTTGTGCTCCAACCCACATTATTTTGGGGAGCTAAAAATGGGTATTGGTGAATTGGGAGCCAAATTTAGCTTCCAAAAAGGTGGAAAAGCCAAATTTGGCTAGAGGAAATGGTGGACCCGCGGTGGGTCCTCTTTTATTTTTTGTTTTTTGTTTTTTTGTGGGATTTTCTCATTGGTTGATTGTGTTGCTTTTCTTTTTGCTTTTTTTGTGTGGTATTTTGTCATTGGTTGATTGTGTATGTTGTTTTTTTAATTGTTTGAAAGAAGATATGAAATGTTATATGTTTAATTGATATTTTTTCATTGGTCCCGAAGTTAACGGTAATAAAATAATGACTAATTTTCCGAAACTTTTTTTGTCTCCAAATTAAAAAATATTACATCGAAAATTTTGTTTTCAAAAGTAATAACTAACTATAGAAAATTAAAGTGAAATATGAAAAATTAGAGGTCAAATAAGTATGCTTTATTGTAATAAATTGAAAAAAGGGAGATAGGAAGCTAAATTTAGCATTGTGTAGGGTTGGAGTGAAAATGAGGTTTGGGGAGCTAAAAAGCCATATTTGACTATTTGGGGAGCCAAATT